TGTCACACCTGTTAGGTCTCCAAGGGTGCCACAGCAACTGATCCCACTGTGCATGTGCTGAGGTTCTGTCTTGCTCGATCACTCAGTCTCTTTCCCAGTGGTCGGTATGTAGTCCGTCGCCTCTTCGTCTCTCTCCTGCTCGTTGTGTCCCCGCTATCAATGTCTTTTAAATAGGGGTCGTCGCAAAAGTTATTTTGTCGTCCCTGAAACGAACATCGTTCATTTCGTACTCGGACACGCTCCCCTCCCTCTGAAATGAACACAGTTTGCAATGCTGGACGACGAAAATCGCATGCATGTACATGTACAGTGTTGGTCGACTTGTGATTTTGGCTCGCACCCCACCCCCCCACGAATGATGTTCTTTTCAGGAACGACAAAATAACTTCTGCGCTGACCCCTTACCGACTTCTCTCGCCGTCCTAATTGCGACTGCCCTGGTGTAACAGCTTCTTATAGAAGCACAGCACCACCCATACCTGGGTGTCGCAGATAGACCTTGTGGACAAGCTTGTGGACAAGACACAGCAACTCACTTCTGCGGTGTATCGGGATACTTGATACGCATTTCCCGATTCTTCAGCACCTTGCGGTCGAACGCCAGCAGCATCTTCTTGACGCTGACGGAATCGAGCGATGGCGCCTGATCCACAGTGAACCGAAAAACACAGCACGACAGGATAGTAGGAATCAGCGTACTGTACTGGTCTGGGTTAGAGGGGTGGCGAATATAGTGTGATTGAGCATGCTCAAGTAGTCATTGATATTATTCATCTACCGTACTTGTAGCAGCATGCACCAACACACAAACAAGGGCAGGGCAGCACAGACTTCATAGCATGTCGTGCACCCATAGTACACCACACAAGCTAAGGCTGGTCACTGTACCGGTATACCCGGGGGCGATTTCCAACTGCATTGGCCACTGACAGCTACTAAAGTCTGCACTTGAACTGTATGAAGTTCAAGTCATAACTGCTGTAAAACGTGCAATTTTCGGTGTAACTTTAATTTCGGTGATTTCGGTAGAGAAACCAGGCACCTAAATTTAAATTACACCTAAAAGGCACTAGATTATGCACTGTATGTGAAGGGAACGCTGGTCACCTAATTCTACATTACACCTGAAACCTGGCAGGTCCCTGGCACCGAAATTTTAATGCACATAAAATTACATGTTTTACAGTATGTCAAGATTATCACCTCGGGATTGGCCTCCTCGACCATCTTGAGGATTCTCTGCCGCTCCTCCTCGTCAATGCCAGTACTGCCGGATGCGGCAGCTGCACTAACAGGACCGTCTTGCGTCCAACGGGTGCTTTTGCTGCTGCTGCTGGCGGCACGGAGGTCGCTTGCGCTGACAATAGCCTCGGGTGGCACGAGGCGCGCCATGGGGTTGTCGAACCGTGACTGCCGGCCAGAGGCGCGCGGTGGCGACACGCGTTTCCGCTTGCGGCTTTCTGCTGCCGCCGCTGGAGCTTCATCTGCCGCTGGACGCTTCTCAGCAACGACCTCCCGATTCGGCTGCATACACACACACGCACACGCACACACACACACACACACACACACGAGCTTGCATACATACATACATACATGGACCCAATCGGACGCAACTCCATTTTAATGGCCCTGAACTTCTAGCGATTTAAAATACAAAGCTGACGTACGCATGTTCATAATGTATGTGTACTTCAAAAAGTACGTGTGTGTGCGTGTGTGTGTATATGTGTGTGTGCACGTGCGTATGCTCTGTCTTCACGCCTAACAGTGCACAGTGCACAGTGACGAGCTTATCAATGGCGCATGTACAGTGTGTGTGCTAAGATTAGCTGACCGCCAATTAAATACACTCTCTGTATTTGATTTTTAACCTCGCACATCATCCTCCAGAGCTAGGCTTGGATGATGCATTAGTGGGATTCGTATTCAGCACAGGCAGTTCTCAATAAAACGAGCTGGCACAACAGCCTCATCTGTACATGTATACAGTACGTTTACTGTGAACTTACCTGGAAACTCAACAGGTCTTTCAAATCCATCACTGATGCTCTGATGTATTTACCCAGTAGCTACCATGAAATAGAATGACAGCGGTGCATCCGATGATGTTTTGCAATTGTTGTGTGGTGGCCTTCGAATTTACTGTCAGCAGCAACTCTAAGTCATACCACGGCTGCTGTAGCAAGCACTACAATAGGGCTGGTACTCAGCATAGGATAGGATGAAAGGCAGTCAAAGTCTTGTAGCCAGGAGGATAAACGTGTTTGTAATTATTTTCAGAAGAATATGTGAACGGAATCAAACAAAAACAGCAATCAGCATTCATGAATCATGATTTGATTGGGAGCTATTTTGAACTCTGCTTTTCCCATTTTTTTTGTCCAAATATTTCGGCGTTTCGCAGCTGCAGCCTGCGCTGCATGCATGACATAACCAACAGAAAATCTGAGAAACTGGTGGTGAGTGAGTGTGTGCAGTGATCTATTGTAGTGACCAGGGAGTAGTACAATACCATTATAATTATTATTGGTATTGTACTACTCCCTGGTAGTGACGGCAGTGCAGTCACGGGCCCACTGGCCACGGCTAGGCTTTTCCACATTATGTTTTGCATAATTTTTGCATCTTGGGGGTAAAAATGAATCCCTGTTGTAAAAGTGCATCTTTCGTGATTTTTGCCAAATTGTCTTCAAAAACAACAACGTTTGCGTGTTTTTTGCCAGATTTTCTTCAAAAATAACAAATTTGGCGTGATTTTTGCCAGATTTTCTTCAAAAACAACAAGTTTTGCAAGTGTTAGCTAAAATTTACCCTACACTACAGGCATTTTCTTCTGCTGGCAAGACGACCTTGCCCCGCATCTGACGTAACCTGACTCTTGTCAGTCTCGAAATATGTGCCCGGCCCGGCATGGCATGGCAGGCGGCAGTGCGTGATGATGTGCATGCATGCACGGGTACATGTCCTAGAATAGATCCTGTAGCCAACATGACTGTACATGCTTCGAATCAGGGAGTCGTAAAATACCGGTATTTTACGACTCCCTGCTTCGAATGAATTTGGCAGCCATCTTGTTGCCATGGCAACGGGTGAATTAATTTTCGCACATTGGGTGATTTTTTGAATTTTTTTAGATTTTTTTCAAATCTATCAATTTTTGAGAATAACATCATTTCCCCAAAAAATCGAGTTTTACATCCACATCTTTCCAATATTTTTTCGAATAATGTGGAAAAGCCTAGCCACGGCACTCGACTGGGATTCACAATCACGTGAATGATCTTTTTGTACGCACGGAACTCGGGAGCTGGAGACGCACGCACAAAACTTCAAACCCGGGTTTCGGAGCGGCCATGGGGGCCGTGTTTACTGCTTGACTTCCTCTTCCTCTTCTTTTTGCTTCGAAAAAGAAACTCACAGACGTAACGTTGCAGAGGTGTGATGACAGATGTGACGCCCATTCCTTTTTGATTGGTAACCAGTTACCTAGCTGGTTTGGAGGCTGTTGATAGGGATCTCAGCGCGTGCAGTGCGCAGGGTGTTTGCGCATACATTGCGTCATCGAGTTTTGAGTGCAGCTCGCGGACACAGCAGAAAAATGGCGACGGTCGATTTTCGACACTAGGGGACGCGGTGGACACTAGCGGAATCGTCATCTTCATCGTCGCTCGAACATACTTTGCCCGCCGCGAGGACAGCGTGGCCAAGGCGATATTGCCCCGGTCGATTTTCCTATAATTTGCCATGCGGCAAGAACCCACTTCAGAGAGGATTCAGTCAAAAATTCAGACGTTTTCTCCGGTTAGATTGTCCTAACTTCGATTTTCAGTGCATCAGCCATCGCGAACATCGCCGCCATTATTACTCGGAGAGAAGACATCGCGCTCAGTAGAAGAGGTGTTCACGCTGCGTCCAAGAGTGAAAGATTGTGCTCTTTGACCCTCCATAGTTCCGCTGAGAGAGTGTCTGGGAGATAGGTAGCTTGGAGATGGCCGTAGAACGTGCTTTCCTGGACGCAATATTCAGCCATTTCTACTGTCTTCTTCAACTTGATTTATTTCGAAAAAAATGTTCTTTTCCACGATTTCTGCACTGGACGCGTTTGGGGTCGAAAATCTCACCTGCGCAGACCGGCTGCGCAGTTCACGCGCTGAGATCCCTACAAGTGTTGACTTTGTTTGGACGTTGGTCGCTTTCTGTGCGCGACAAAGATTAGCAGTCATGTTTCTGCTCTCGTGTTGATGTCTGGACAAAAAGCATAATTCTCTGGCTGTTTCTCTCCGAACAGTTTCAGCTCTTTGAAACTGAATTTTATAGTATAGGTTCTCTTCCTTGTTTCTTTCGCCATGGACGATTCAGAGAAGAGATCTGGAACTAGTGCTGCTGATGCAGCGGGAGTAGGGGCCAGTAATGCAGAACTGACTAGCATAATCGGTATTGAGGGCATGACTTGCGGCTCTTGCACGCAGGCAGTGCGAATGGCTGTTTCCAATCTGCCAGAAATCTCGTCGCAGGACATCTCTTTGGCGCAGAAGAGAGGCACGTTTCTCCATGGTCCCGGAGTCACTGCGCAGAAGATTGCCGAGGCAATTGAAGACTGTGGCTTTGATGCGAGAGTTATCTCAAACGGCATTTCTGATGACGGAGAAAATGGTAAGATATAAATATTTTTTTGAGGTACAGTACACTAGTACTACAAGTAGAGTCTCGTATACACGCAGTGAGATCATACCATGCCCATAGTACCCCTAGTAAATGCACAACACTGCCAATATCCATAGTGAATGCTCGGTACAGTACTGTCAGGCGCCATGGAACGGAGCGCCGAAGAGCGGCTTAAAGTCACATACATCTACTTAAAGTCACATACATCTACCTCTATGGTGGGCAGCTTACAAGGCACCAGCGAGTGCCATGCTCTGCTCTGGACGAGCAGACACCGTATTGCCGCAGCCGTCCAAATGCACACATGCACCACCCGAAATGCAGTGACCTTCGCCGTGCACCTGTGCCGTCCCGTGCGAGGCACACTTCAGCCGAACACACAGAGTGCGTTCGATTATGCCCGCGAAGCGATGTTGAATCGATTCATGAATTGCCCCTGGCTATTCACATTACCCCATGTGAATAGGATGAATAGATTCCGAACCGATTCCAGGGCTCATGACATGACATCGAAAGACGAGATTCCATTCATGGTATCGATTCATCGCGTGCAGTAATCGAACGCACCCACTGTGATACCAGCCCTGCGTAAAAGGTCATGAACTGTGTGTACTGTCATACTCACACATATAGGTACATGAACCAACAGCATGTTTCAACAAAACAAGGCCTTAAGGTTTATCTATCTATACGTATATTATACTGTAGAGCTGGCTGCACCTGCCAAATATGGTACAAGTGCCCCACAAAAGGTGACTGCAATGTTTTATGCATAGTCGTCGTTGGCCACGAATGAGTTCAAGTTGTAAATTCTAATTTTCTTCTTTTTTTTGTCACTCCATGCGCAGATGACTATGGCAGTGATGACCTGTTTGATGATGTCAGTCCTCTCGTCGCGACCGGGGCTCAGTCGCCCAGCAAGCAGGCGACGTCGCTTCTGAGCATCATCACGCGGAAGAGTAAGAGCAGCATTGCGTCGGCCAGCAGGAGCCGATCGTCTCTCGACGCCAATCCGACGGGCTCGGCGGGTGGCAAGAGTCAGAGCAGGAGCCACCTGACCGTACCGGCGGCGGCTGCGACGACAGCAGGCAGGACGGGCGGAAGAAGCAGTTCTCCTGCACTGGAGGACGAGGAGGAGACGGATGGCGACGTGCTACAGCTGAACGTTCGCCTTGGCAACGCCGACGTCGGTCACCTGGCGCCGTCCTCGTTGTGTCGACTTAAAGTAACCGGCATGACGTGTGCGTCGTGTGTTGGCAATATCGAGAGAGCTCTAACTCAGCGTCCAGGTAAGCTGACACATGGAACTCTGCTGTCCTTCTTTAGAAAAATCCCATCCATTTACCTCACCCCCAAGTTCATAATGAAAGATTTTAACTATTGCCTGTGGATCAGGCGTTTAGCCAGAACAATCTGCCCAGGTACCTGCGGAACATGCACACGTGTCTAGCATGCCATTTGTGTGTCCGTTGTGCTGGTATTGATTAGCAACACATGAATGCATTCGCACTGAAGTGCTGATGTTCATTTGCTGCGCGCGGGCATTCACGGTGTTGTGCCGGTATTGATTTGCCGCACACACACACATGCATTTGCACTGTCGCGCCGATATTGATTTGCTGCATGCAGGTATTCAGCATTCACAGTGTTGTGCCAATATTGATTTGCCACGCATGCAGACATTCGCATTTTTGTGCCGATGTTGATTTTCCGCACACGCCCACAGGCATTCACAGTGTGGTGGTGGGCCTGATGAACGAACGCGCCGACGTCAAGTACGACCGTGGCGTGGTGTCTGACGACGACATCGCCGCCATGATCACCGACCTCGGCTTCGGGGCCACGCTGATAGAGGAGGATGAGCTGGAGGGCCGTGTTGATCTTACCGTACGTAGTCTACAGAGTGCTGTTGGTCGCCAAACAACTGGGGGGGGGGGGGGGTCACTCTAAAGAGCAGTGCTCCTGACTGCAACCTGAGACGCGGCTGTTGGCCACCGTGTGATATGGTGCAACCAATCTAATCATCATACCTAGTCCACTCACAACTCCGTCATAATCAATATGGGCATACTCGTGTACAATACATTTCGATTTGTGTTCCCGGGGATGGCCATCAGATCATGCGTTTCATATGCGTCCAACACTTTATTGGGTTTGGATGTAATAATGCATGTGTAGTAATTTGGAGGAGAAACCATAGTGAGGACTTAGAGATGCAAACAGTGCACTTTAGCTCGGCCTCAATTCCATGTGTGTTTGCGTATACTTTTTGAATTACGTATTCAATACTACTCATACATATGGGTGCTGGTACTTACTTACTTACTTACTTGTTGCTCACTGCCAGAACTGGTCACGTGAGTCCCCCCCGGGAGAGGGGAGAGAGACTCAAAAGGAATCTTGGAAAGATGACTCAATTGGTTATTGAACCGTCCAACGGCCGACACCCCCTGAAATCCCCAAAACTCTGGGTGGACTTGAAAATGATCCCACTTATGGGCTCACCACACCTCAGTAAGTGGGTGAGGACAAGGTGCAGAAAAAGGATTGACGGCATCAGGTATCCGTCCCGGGATCCAACTGCAGTTACCCCTGCCCCCAGTGAAGGTAATATTTGCTACTAGTGTGAGTGGCTAAATCAGAGTGGATCTGATAAAAGCTTCACTAGCACCATTGATTACACAAGAGTTAATCTAGCCAGAAGCAGTCCATGGTTAACAGGTATGTATACTTCAAATAGAAAGTATATGAACCCTGGAACCAACAAAGGTGGCAGGTACAACATTACACCTTCAAGCAGCCGAGCCTGTTGGCAACAGACCCAACACAATCAGGCATAAGTGTACCTACCAACCGAACTAGCTGGCACGGGTGCTGGTAACACACACACACACACACACACGCATGTGCTCTCTCTCTCTGTCTCTCTATCTCACTCTCTATCTCACTCTCTATCTCTCTCTCTCTCTCTCTCTTCCCTTTTCTCCACAGGTGGAGGGAATGACGTGTTCGTCTTGTGTGAAAGTCATCGAAGACTCACTGCGCGCTTTGGAGGGTGTGATATCAGCATCAGTCTCCCTGGTAACAAAGCGGTGTCACGTTGAATACCATCGTAACAAGATTGGTGGTGTCCGGGACATCATTGACGAAATTGAGGTAGGTGAATGTTGAGTCTGATGCAAATTGGCCGTTGCTCACTCATGCCGTCCCTCCCCCCCCCACACACACAAACACACATGCACTCATGCATGCGTGCACAGACACACGTCAGCTCAATAGCTATACACATGTACAAGTATGAAAATGCCACCAGTACCGGGCCAGGAGGTAGTACACCAGTAAACAAAGTACCAACTTGTTGTAGGTATTACGAGCAGAGGTCCGCCATTGCTGGCATTATACAGTTGAACATCGATTATCCGACCACCTCTGGGCAGACAACTGTCAGGCGGTGTTCAGATAAGGCAAATGTTCCGGATAAGAAAACACACTGTTAATACATGTACATGTACATTGTAAATAGAATAGAGTGCTACTTTTCAAAATTTTCGTATTTTTGAATGGCTCACTACATGCACAGTGCATACTCTACGGCACGTGCGCCCAAAAAAACTGTTACGGATAATCGAATGGTCGGATAGTCGATGTGCGGATAATCGATGTTCAACTGTACTTCTAGTTGAGAGGCACGCTTCACTCTCTTAGAATTTCTGGAGTTTGGATATACTTAACGACCTGGCTGACTTGTGGTGTGTGTGTGTGTGCGTGTGTGTGCGTGTGTATGTATGCTTATGCGTGTGTGCACGCTTGCATGTGTGTGCTTGTGTGGTTGTTCCATCATGGCAATGTGACCGTGGCTTGAACAGCGCATTGGGCATTTCACTGCAAAGATAGCTCCGAAAGATCTGAATGCTGACGAACTCAAATTCCAGGGGGAGATCTCCAAGTAAGTGTTGCTTTCTTCTTCCTCAACTGACGCTAGTTCGTAATTGTATGAGCATGAGGAGTTGTGCACGTGGCTATCAGTGAGTGGTGTGTGCGTGAGGACATGTGCACATGGTAATCAACAGGCCGGCCGGAACCAGTCCGGTTGGTCAGGTCATCAGCGGACCAACTTGTTGACCATCAACACATGTTTACTGCTGAGGAGGTTATGTGCATCCGCCTTATTAAACACAATGAGTGAAAGCTCTGGTATGGCCGGACCAATTGAAAACTGCTTCTGGCGGTCCTGATCAGTGAGTGGTGTGTGCATGAGGACATGTACATTCAGGTGTACGTTCGATATGTTTTCATACCTCCGGGTTATCTGGCCGTTGATGATCTCTCTCTATTTCTCTCTATCTGTCTGTCTGTCTCTCCGTCTGTCTCTCTCTCTCTCACGCTCTCTCTCACGCTCTCTCTCTCTCTCTCTCACTCTCTCTCTCTCTCTCTCTCTCTCTCTCTCTCTCTCTCTCTCTCTCTCTCTCTCTCTCTCTCTCTCTCTCTCTCTCTCTGTGTCTCTCTCTGTATCTCTCTCTGTGTCTCTGTCTCTCTCTCTGTCTTTCTCTCTGTCTCTCTCTGTGTCTCTCTGTCTCTCTCTGTCTCTCTCTCTCTCTCTCTCTCTCTCTCTCTCTCTCTCTCTCTCTCTCTCTCTCTCTCTCTCTCTCTCTCTCTCTCTCCCCCCCCCCCCTCTCTCTCTCTCTCTCTCACTCCAAGTATATTGCCGCAAGAGAGCTATCTGGGCTGCAGCGTTGATACATGCCTGTGTGATGTGCTGTTGCAGGTGGCGCTTCACATTCTTCTTGAGTTTGATATTTGCCATTCCGACGATGATGATCATGTTCAATCCGGCCTCATTCCAACTGGCTTACAAGGTGGATTTGAACAACACAGGTCGATTGATAACGCCGGGCCTGGACCTTCGTGTCTTGCTACTGTGGATACTGTCTACTATAGTGCTGGTACGAGAATCTGCTTAGACATGCTAAGTGTAGGTGGTGTGTGTGTGCGTGTGTGTGTGTGTGTGCGTCCCATATGGTGCAGTGGTATGTGCAGCGATTTCTAATCGATAGATTGCGGGTTCGATTCCCGACGATTATGGTCACACACGTCTTTCTTCTCTTTCTCAGACTCTTCCTGACTTTTCTTTCATTCTCCTGGGTGGTTACCAACAGCCAGTGCATGCCGGAGTATGTGGTGTGATGTGTGTGCGGGGAAAAAAAAATGAAAAAGACCAAAAATAGGGATTCACTGGCCAGAAAATGTCACTCCACATAGCTGTATGGTGTAGACCAGGCTGAATAGTGACGGTCAATTCTTCAGCCTTGCAAGCTGTTGAATGGTGTAATCCCAGCACAAGTTGCTATGGCTTCTGCCGTAGCATTGCTATCATCGCCTCCGGCGATGGGCGTCAAAGGTCAAGGTCAAGGTGTGTATGTGTGTGTGTGTGTGTGTGTGTGTGTGTGTGTGTGTGCATGCGCACGTGTGTGTGTGTGTGTGTATGTGGAGGGGGGGGGGGGATATGTGTGTGGGTAGGTGTGCACACGTGAATATTCTCTATTCAGGTCCGCTTGTCTGACCATGTCCGACCAACTTCATAAATGCCAGTACATTGTGTCCAGGCTCTGTCTAAGGTGTATTGTGTTCGCTGCACAAGTACTCACATGTGCATGATAGTAGGGTCCTGGTTAAAGTTGTACTTGCAGGACGGCATTGATTTTTGCTGCTGTTTTAAAAACTCTGGGACCTCGGTTGAAGAGGACCACTGGTAATAAGACAAACTTTCGCTTTAGAAGAGCTAGTATTGGTGACTGTATTGGACGAATCACAGTACAGTCAGACCTCGCTTATCCAGTCTTCTTTTATCCGGATTCCTCGCCGTCCGGAAGAAAATCGTTGGTCACCGATTTACGGCATATGTCATGCATACATACAGTATTTGTGTTCGATTATGCAGTCCACTCGCCTGGGCATCCGATGCGGATAAGAAGTGCCCAATGCTGGGAGCTAATTCCATCGATCCCTTGTTGTTTGTCTTGAGAGGCTGGGCTGTAGATCTGCACTCTTGGCCAATGCAACAAGTATCTACGTCTACTCAGAGATATTCACACAAGTTTGAAGGAGTTGAGCACGGTAAAAGTCTTTCTCGGAGAGTCGTTGCTTCACCTGTTTTGTCTCGTGCTGCTGCCGTCGCCGCTGCTGTGCCTGTCTGTCTATGTATCTGTCTGTCTGTCTGTCTGTCTGTCTGCCCGTCTGTCTGTCTATCTATGTATCTGTCTGGCTGGCTGGCTGGCTATGCTGCAGGCAATGGCAGGCCTACCATTCTACAAGTCTGCGTTCCAAGCATTGCGTCACAAGAGTACAAACATGGATGTTCTAATCATGATGGCTACTAGCATAGCTTATGTGTACTCGGTAAGTGATGCTGGTGCTGCTGGTGATGGTGCTGCTGCTGGTGATGGTGCTGCTGCTGCTGCTGGTGCTGCTGTTGGTGGTGGTGCTGCTGCTGCCAGTGATGGTGCTGCTGCTGCTGTTGGTGATGCTGCTGTTGATGGTGCTGCTGCTGCCACCACCGCCGCTTGGGGGAGAGGTTGGTTGTACATTCAATTCCCAGTTTGGAGTACACTAGTAGGCTTCATGGCCAGTTTGTGTTTTTTTGCAGCTTTCGAAACAGAATTATAACCTTTTCTCCTGCTGCTATGGATTTGTATCGTACTCGTTGCGCAAGTTTTGTGAAACCTGGCCAAGCTCACGAGGCCAGACTCGTAGTACATGCCTCATGCGGTATGCCTTGTATGGTATGGCGCATGATCTCCAGAAAAGTAATAGTTGATGTCAACAAAACATTCCGCAGTGTACCAGACCAAGTAGAGGTGTACACTCTTGCTGATGTACTCTTGCTGGTGTAGAATCCTCTCTAGTGCCCTGCTGAATACTGTGCGTTGGGGTAGCACTGGCTTAAAAAAAGTACTTCTAGCATGTATCTGTTTGCCGTGCAGTGTCTCTGTTTAAACTGTGCGTTCATCTAGCTTCAACGCACGTGTTTGCCTGTCTTTGTGCTGTCATCCGTGTAGGTCTGTGTGGTGATAGCTTCTATGGCTCGCGATTCGACGGTACCGGATGTGTTCTTTGACGTACCACCGACGCTGATCACCTTCATTGCACTCGGACGCTGGATGGAGCATATTGCAAAGGTGTGTTTGTGGGTAGCTGTGTCTTTGATACATGTCCACTAGTTTGCTCTTGTTCAGTTTTTGAACTGACAGACTCTGTGGGAAGTGCTGGCGGGCTGTAGATGGGTAATTCTGTTTCCAAATAGGAGTGTTGCTGTTCATGCTCTTTTCAAGATCAATGTGTTGAGCTGCACGTCCGGCATGTATGTCCGAGAATTGAATGGCTGCGTCTTCTCTTGTATGTCAGGTGCCTGCTGCGAAACAAAGTCCTTAGAAACCTCTGTAATTGCGATGCAGGTCGTGATGACATGTGTGTGTGTGTGTGTGTGTGCTCATGTGCGTGTGTGTGTGTGTACGCGTGTGTGTGCGTGCGTGTGTGTGTGTGCGTGCGCGTGTGTGTGCGTGCGCGTGTGTGTCTACATACATGTACATCTGAGCAGGGCAAGACGTCTCAAGCTCTTGTTGACCTTCTGTCGCTGCAAGCAACTGAGGCCTGCCTCGTTAAACTGTCCGTGAAAGGAATGATTGAAAAGTGAGTTGTTGCCGGTAGTATCTAAGTAGCCTGCTGCCCGGTCTGTCTACTTATGCCATGGAAATGACTTCCATGGCTGCATAGAAACTAAAGAAAATAATTAGTCTAAGGCTCTTCCCAAGCAACGGTTTTGAAAAGTTCTACTAGCACTTTCATCGCCTTCTCTTCAGTTGGATACGTGGAGCGGAAAAGAAACTGACCAGTATAATCACTGATACCCAATGTAAAGGTGATATACGCAGCACTACATTGTAGCAGGATTGGTGAGAACAACACACCGAGAAACTGTTGATTGTCAAACGTATTCATGTAGACAAATAGCGTGTCCTATAAATAAGTTTGGTTAGTTCGTTCCATTTGCCGGGTAATTACAACAAATCTGGACAAAATCTTGAAAGGTGCAAAAATATTTTCCTGGCTCCACAAATTTTTGTATCTGAAAGTGTTGTTACCATGGACAGCATTTAGTTACTCACGACTCTATTGTTACCACAGTGCAGATCACACCTACACTGACCTCTGCACACTTAGACCACTTGGGTATGATTGTAGCACGGCTGGTTGTCAGTTTGTTTTAATAAGAGTCAACACTTTCTTTACGTTGTGCATGTTGTCGCTAATCCTGCTACTGCTGCTTATATCACCTTTACATTGCACTGATTAGTTTATTTTCTGCATGTATCCACCTGAAGAGAAGGCGATGATGTAGTGGTAGACATTTTCAGACGTGTTTCTTGTGAGGAGCCTGAAGCTAGTTCTTTTCTCTAGTTTGATTGTATTTCTTTCTCCTAGAAAACTATGACTGTGTATTACGCAAGGGTTATTTGTGCATGCTGGTGTGAACCTGTGGTAGCTGGATGGCTCGCTGCGATGTGGGGTGTGTTTGGAAGTGCCTCCCCCCCCCCCCCCCCCCCCCTCTCTGTCTATCTATCTATCTAGCTATCTAGCTATCTCTCTCCCTTTCTCTCTCTCTCTCTCTCTCTCTCTCTCTCTCTCTCTCTCTCTCTCTCTCTCTCTCTCTCTCTCTCTCTCTCTCTCTCTCTCTCTCTCTCTCTCTCTCTCTCTCGTTTGTTTGCCAGTATTGTTCACAGTACTCTATCACAACAAGGTTGTGAGTAACTTGTACCATAGGGTACAGCAGTGGTGGAAGAAAACGTCCCGCTTGCATTGTGTAGACGAACTAAACTGCTGCCTTTTTTTGTCTGCTGCCAATTCCCTTTTGTCTGGCGATTGTTGAACTGGTGCCTTTGTTGGTTGTTTGCTGTAGTGAGCGTACTATTCCGCTGGCTCTTGTTCAAGCTGAGGACATCCTGAAGGTGGGGCTACATCTCCATCATTTATAGTACATGCCCTGGCACCAATGATCTAAAGAATTGCCGTTGGGCATTGTGTCCGGATCACTACAGCTCTGTACTCATGTGTCATGATCGCGAAAACAACCATGGCACTGTGCCTAGCCCGATTCTGTATACTTTGTTGGCCAGTGCTATTGTTGGCATCCTAAGGGGCCGTCCGTAAATATCAAACTTTTTTCACCAAACGAATTATTTTAGTTTAGACCCAACCCCTCCCTCCCCTCAGAACGTAAAACATGTTGACATACATGCATATACAGTCCGTATCGCCTATAAGGTTGGCGGCTATAGTAATATACCGGATATAGTGATCAATGTCTCAAATTCATTTTCATTTGCCATAACTAAGTATACACAGTTATCGCGTATAGTAATAATCGCCTATAGTAATATATCGCCTATAGTGATCAAATTCATATTTCAAAAGACCTTTATTACATTATTTTTGCATCGGTTATAGTGATTGATGTAAAATCAAGCGATGTCAGAGGAGAACAGGGTGTTACTTCTTCGTGAAGAACTTGTCCAGTGAGTGTTGTTTGGTGAGTTTTGCTCGAACAAGTTGCCAAAATATGCCTCCATCATGAGGAAATGCTGATTTTGTGTGTCGGGAGCTACAGCCAGCAGCTACATGACATTGTGTATGTATGTAGTGCGTATGTGCACGGCGCGCTGAGTCGATCGTTTGACACCCCACTCGCATACATTGCATGCAGTATCGGTCATAGTAATATATCGCTTATAGTGATAAAATGCTCAAAATCAAACACCTACGCTATAGGCGATACTGACTGTACAACGGCTATGTACATGAATCAATGTTTTCTGAAACGAAATTGGTCCACCCCCTTCCACCCCATAACGAAATTATTTCGTTTTGTGAAAAAAGTTCGATATTTATGGACGACCCCTAATGCTCTGAATTTTAGTAAAAAAGATGGCTGTGTCCATAAAGCCCCATTGGCGTCCACAATACAGCTGATCTGCTTGTGTTCATATCACCATTTTGCGGGTCTTATCACCATGTTGCTGGTCTTATCACCCTATCTGTGTGCAGGTCCTCCCGGGGGACCGGATTCCCGTCGATGGCAAGGTGGTGTCGGGCCGATCGTCCGTGGACGAGTCCATGCTGACGGGAGAGAGCCTGCCGGTTCCCAAGGTTGTTGACGACGTTGTCCTGGGCGGCACTCTGAACCAGACGGGTATGCTGCTGGTGCAGGCAACACATGTAGGCGCAGACAGCACCCTGGCCCAGATTGTCAAGCTGGTCGAGGACGCTCAGACATCCAAGGTAGGTACTTATGTGTCATAAGGTGATGGGGGGGGGGGGGGGGGGGCTGGGGTTGTGTCGTCAAGCAGACCAATGCTGCTGCTGCCTGGCGTGCTACCAGGACCCTCTGCCATGACGGCAGTGCTGAAACTTAAATGTCGTATAACCAAGACTGTACATGTGTGTGTTTCTGTGTGTGTGTGTGTTTCTGTGTGTGTGTGTGTGTTTATGCGTGTGTGTGTTTCTGTGTGTGTTTCTGTGTGTGTGTGTGTTGTGTTTGTGTGTGTATGTGTGTATATGTATGTGTGTGTATGTGTGTGTATGTGTGTGTATGTTTGTGTGTGTATGTGTGTGTATGTGTATGCGTGTGTGCATGTGTTCGTGCACGTATGTTTGTATTGCAGGCCCCGATCCAGTACTACGCCGACTGGATAGCAGCAAAGTTCGTCCCCGGTGTAATTGCTATCTCACTCCTAACCTGCATCGTGTGGATCATTGTCGGTGCCACCACTCCCTCAGCGCTGCGTGTAAGTGGAAGTAAAGTGGACGTGAGCGACTTATGAAGGAGATGCAATGTGTGTTAGGTGTTTGTCTGTGTGTGTGTGTGTGTGTGTGTGTCCGTGTGTGTGTCTGTGTGTGTGTGTGCGTGTGTGCGTGTGTGTGTATTTGCGTTGCACCGGACAGGACAAGCACTGTGTTCCCAGAAACTATGGCAACGGCACGCAGAACGGCACGAGTGGTGGTGGCGGTGGTGATCACGCGGAAGTACCGACGGCGGAGTGCGTGATTGAGAATGCCTTCCTGTATGCTGTGACGGTGCTGAGCATAGCGTGCCCGTGCGCGCTCGGTCTGGCTACACCCACTGCTGTGATGGTGGGCACTGGGGTCGGGGCTAAGCGAGGTATTCTCATCAAGGGAGGAGAACCACTGGAGACAACGCATAAAGTAAGAACACGTGTGCAGTGTTGGTACATTGTACCAGGGAGTAGTAACGTACCGGTATTTTACTACTCCCTGGTTGGTACATGTACTGTAATTGCTTTAAACCCGGGAGTAGTAAAATAGCGGTATTTTACTACTCCCTGGTTGCTACTGTAATTGCTTCAAACCAGGGAGTAGTAAAATACCGGTATTGTACTACTCCCTGGTTCAAACCACGTGTAGTTCATGAGAACCTTTCTAGTCCACGGACGCTACAGGCCTGGCGAAACTGGTCTGGTTGGCCAGGCCCAAGCTGGCATGGCAAAGTGTTGGCCACTGGTATGTTTCACTGCTGAAAGCTAAGCAATCTACTGCCAAATCTGCGAACAGTTTTAAACAAAGCATGTGTATCAGTCCTGCCCTAGAGACCCGACATATCTGCCCTGATCACAGAATGCACTGCATGCGTATCATGGTATATGGCTGGCAGTAGGTCTTCGAGAAAGGAAGCGAAATGGTGCGCCGCATGATGCATATGCTGTGTAGTGTGCACAACCGCTGTATCGCATGTCACACTTACAGAGCGGTAGTGAAATGTTCTCAGCGTTGTTGCCATCGGAACTAGTTTTTAGTATTGCTACTATCACTGTCACCACCACCGCCGTCGTCGTCGTCGTCGGTGCTATCATGTTCAAGTGTGTCTCTGAAGCAATCTTCTTTTCTTTTCTTGCATGTTCTAACGCCGGCCCAGGTGAAATACGTCATTTTCGACAAGACCGGGACACTGACTCACGGCAAGCCCCGCGTTGTCAACTTCAAGCTGGTCGGTTCCGCAGCCACAGCCGCATCTGCATCCTCCGGTGGCAACGCAGCTGCTGCTGCTGTCGCCGCTGAGGAGAAGCTGAAACGCGCCATTGCGGTGGTGGGCACTGCGGAGAGCGGTAGTGAGCATCCGCTGGGTCAAGCTATTGTGGAGTTTGCCAAGGATGTGAGTATGTACACCAGTCAACTTAATGACTGTTATCCCCGGGTATGACAAGTGTTATGCTATCGACATGTATGTTTTCAGTGAGCTAGGCATGCATCTGTTTCTCACAATGGTTCTCGTTAGTCTTTACCGCTTACTGTAAACCGTGAAATTATTGCGATGGTCTAATTTCTGCGAAATTCGCGACCGCGTGGAAATCGCGAAATTTAGACAGCGCGAACAGGAGATCCATGAAAGGTTTAGCAAGAATGCCACAGGTTTAGCAAGAATGCCATTCTGCAATCGCAAAATTAAAACCTCGCTAACCCGTCCGGATTCTGAAAACGCGAACTAAAAATGCCGCGAAAATTTCACGCTTTACAGTACATGCACTGATTAGGCCGTTATTACACTACGGCTCGCGTCTAGCTCACGTTTGATCAGATTCTGACGGTGTCGGGTCACGCGATCCAAACGCGAGCCGTGCCGTGAGCAAATCCAGACTTGGGCTTCCGAGGACAGGTCGGCGTTTCCGCGAGCTCTGCCGTGAGACGGCAAACGTGACGCGAACGCGAGCCGTAGTGTACTAGCGGCCTTACAGCCAGGGTGTGGTAACCTTGTAAATTACAATAGTGCAATACCGGCCTTACAGCCAGGGTGTGGTAACCTTGTAAATAACAAGCTCAGCTATAACACCAACTCGTAAATAGCGACACTATCTTCAGACCTAGTACCACTGGACTGCTTACTGTCAAACACACTCACGGATGACAACTCGCGAATCATAGCATTATTCTCATGTCCAATCGAGGCCCGCTATTCGCAAAGCTGACTGTACATGTACACCATTACTATGGTCTAGTGAGTGAGGTGTGAACAACTTGATACAGAGTGCATTGCGGTTCCGACTCACAGAGTGATGTACAGTCGAACCTCTTTAGGACGAACACCAAGGGACCGACGGGATTTGTTCGCAATACCGGGAGTTCTTCTTATCCATATCTTATACCCAGTGAATACACCGTGTCTTATCCAATAGAGTTACAAATACTAGTTTGTCTTAAGCGAAAGTTTGTTTTATCAGTGTTCTTCTTAGCGAGGTTTCACTGTATCTGCTATCTTCTCTAGGGTACTGTTTGTATCCATATGGATACAAACAGTACCCTAGCACTCAGCTGGCCTCTGCAGGGGGTGGAGCACCCGCTACGACTGGTACGACCATGGCCGTACCACTTTTCGAAAAGTATGGTCTATCTGGAACGTGCAAAACCGTAATAATAAAAAAACGGGACCCATCAGATCTTTGACTTTTGTTTGAGTTTGACTCAAGCTCGACTCAACATGTCTATTGGGTACACTTGGTTCACGGCAACTTAGTTTTCTGTACGTGAACCATAAAATTCCATGAGTAAAAATTAGTAAAAAAATGTGCAGAAAGTACCTAGAACACAGGATTTTCTGTCTTTTTACAACATTTTCCTGGGGGAAGACCCCCGGACCCCCCCCCCCCCCCCCCCCTTCACACCCGGCTTTGTCCTTTGATTGTACCAGTTCCCAAGCACCTCATACGCCCCTGTTCTGTAGATTGTAGTTTCACACCTGTCTGTCAGCTGGGTGCTGGCTGCAAGTCCTCTTGTTCTGGTTATGCTCCTGTCTGTGACTTTAACGTGTGTGTGTGTGTGTCTGTCTGTGTGCGTGTGTACGTGTCTGTGTGTCTGTCTGTGTGTGTCTCTGTGTATGTGTATGTGTGTGTGTGTACGTGTGTGTGCGTGTGTGTATGCGTGTGTGTTTGATCAGAAATTGAACATCAGCACGCTGGGCCAGGTACATGGCTTCCAGGCTATACCAGGCTATGGTCTGAGATGCGATGTCACCAGTGTGAAGTTCTTGCTGGCTACACAGACACTGAGTAGTAACACCATGGAAGAGACCAACGACACTGCCAGCCAAGAACCTGTGGACGGTAAGAGTTAGCACTAGCGTACCACTGGCACTGCGCATATTATAGCGGAGCTTGGTGCTGAGAAATCCGTTACGGACATAGCGTCAAACACAGTGCGTACGTGCGTGCTTGCGTGTGGGTGTTCTAGCGACTCGGTCGGTGAATTCGGCAGCTCATCCCCGCGTAACTTATCAATCGACTACATGTTCATGACATCAGCACCAACGTAATTATTAGTCTTGTATCTCGTGCAGAGGAGAAAAACTAGCGATAAACCCAGGTGTTACATTAAAAATCACCACCACTCCACACTGTGCTCTTGCCCTGCCCACTCCTCTTGCACATCACCGCCATAGTGAGGACTATTCTATCGAGATGTTGACATGGTTAGATCTTTTTTGTAAGTATGTGTGACAGAGTAAGTTACGAATACAGAAAGAGGTTATGCGATTACATCATCAGTAAGGTACAAAATTAATGCAGAAAGAGGTTATGCAATTACATCATCATCAGCTGAGATGCTTTGGCAAAGTTGCTGCACAGCGTGCGGCAGCGACTCACTAGCTACTCACTATACACAGCGTCCATAAGCGGGTCCGCTGTAACTTAGAGCCCTTGAGCGGCTCCGGAATTACGCTGACTCTCCATTTTGACTTCTTTTGCATAGCCTCTATAGCACCTCTCTCAGTTACTGCCAGCTGAGTGCTGATTGCTTTTCCGCACCAGTACTAGCACTGCATGCGCCGACCTAGCAATGCGTGCTTGCACTATCACCTGTGTCAGAACTGGTATCACCTTTCGCGCCTCAGTTCCCTTGGGCATGCCGCACGTCTATGTAGAAAGTGCCGAGTTGCGCCAGTTTTGCCCTATAAATCGTCATTCATTCACTTCGAGCAATCATTCATTATCTGCTACCTCCACCGATGAGCTCTGTTGGAGAGAAACATCTGTCAGGACGGTTTGACCGTATCAACATCTCAACAGTGTTATCCTGACTAAGGTGGCGATGTGCAAGCGGAGTGGGTCGGCCAAGAACTTATTTTGGAGTAGTGAAGTGCCTCTTTGTAATGTATCTCACGCAAACCCACAAACAAGGTCCGTTGCTAGAAGGGTGAGATGTTTCGTTCAGTTTTTCCTTGTATGTGCCGCTGCTACCGAAAACATGGCTTGTAGGTGATTGAATTTCTGATTTCTACTTCGCAGCTTGGACGATGTGAATCATTCTTGTAGTGTAACCAGGGAAAGATGTGAAAACTGAAAACCTGTTATTGGTAGGAACTTATCATGCATGATGTATCATGGAATGTTCCTGACTTCTGTAGGAGTCGAATCTCTAACGGGGAACAAATTATAGCGTTTTAACGAGAAAATTCCATCGTTAACTCAAGCAGCGTTACGAGTGTGCTATTCCGTCTCTCTTCTGTACTAGAGAAACAGAAGACGCGTGTGTGTGTGTGTGTGTGTGTGTGTGTGTGTGTGTGTGTGTGTGTGTGTGTGTGTGTGTGTGTGTGTGGATCATCGAAGCCAGCTTTATCGCCAACGGAATTCGGTATGGATTTGAAGTCGATAGGTTGAGAGAATACGTGGAGAAGAGGCTCCGACAGAGCGAGGAGTTTGAAGAGCGCAGTGCTAGACGGCAAGAGTGTGCGCTCCGCGCAGAGTTTAACGAAAAGCTCAAGAAGATGGCCGAGCGCATCGCCGTCAGTACATATTATGAGGAAGCAAAGCGAGATTTGCTTGCCTCGCCCGGAAGGACGCCGGACAAGGCGTGTAAGACTTTGCTTACAGACAAGCAGCGGTCAGAAGAGTGCTTGAAGCCAGTGGGAGGATCAGATCCAAGGCCCACTGCGTCGGTACAGAGCATGGCGACATCGGTCGGAGACGCTCAGAAGCAGCTGGAGTCTCGGCCGAACAACGTAGAGGCGCAAGACGTAGAGGCGCAAGACGTCGAGGCGCAAGACGTAGAGGCGCAAGACGTAGAGGCGCAAGACGTAGAGGCGCAAGACGTAGAGGCGCAAGACGTCGAGGCGCAAGAGTTGGAGGCGCAAGAGTTGGAGGCGCAAGAGTTAAAGGCGCAAGAGTTAAAGGCGGAAGAGTTAGAGGCGCAAGACTTAGAAACGCAAGGCGTAGAAGCCGAGAAAATGAGAAGGGCGATACTACTGGTTAGCACGGAAGAAGTAAGCGGCGAGACTGTGTGGATCACAGAGATCCGATGTGTGTCCTCGGATTCCGCGCCCGCCCCGGGTCGAAGCAGTGTACCGGTGACCATGTCGTGTGTGACAGCCCACATCGTCGAGCTTTATGACATTATCGGTTGTGTGTTGTCTGGTCCAGCGTCTGCCCCATGTCGAAGTGGATCGGTGACAGTGTCGTGTGCGACAGTCCACAGCGGCAAGCTTCGCGATGTCGAGTTTTCTGAATTGGTGGGCATTAGTGATATTCTACCATGGCCACCACCGCAGCAGAAGATGACGCGTAGTAAGCCCCAAATCGTTTGACTTGTGAGTTGTTGTACGGCGTGTGATGTGTGTGTGTGTGTGTGATGGCAGGGTCGTTAAAATTTGTACCCACCAAGTGGGAAACATTTGCAAATCGTTAACAACGTTGGACTCGTCTCACTTTCAACTCTTACAGTAACTATCTCGGCCTGTGCTGTTTGCCTGGGTGCCGTGTGTTTGTTTCTACAGTCAATCTTATGACGGATGTCATCTCCGATTCGAGTGTTTTCGAGGTACTGATTGGCAATCGTGAATGGATGCGTCGTAACGATGTCGATGTGTCTGCCACTGTCAGCACTGACATGGAGCAGTTTGAGCGCCTTGGTCAGACTGTGGTCTTAGCAGCAGTCAACGGTAGGTGTATCTACTGTGCTTTATACTCACTAAATATTTGAGTTTAGAGATATTTATATTTTGGGGGCCGCTGCGAAAAGCGCTGGCTGAGACAGCCATGGCAAACACGCATGCACAAACACATGCATGCATATGCAAGTGCACACACACACACACACACACACACAGAGTAATATGGCAGACTGATGTGTGAATTACAGCTTGTCATTGCAATTCTACCATAAGCGACTCTCATGCTTTGTGATCCTTTTATCTATTTCTGCTTTGATTGTGTGTTGCTGTGTTCAAAGGACACTTGACAGCTCTGGTTGCTATAGCCGATACATTGCGGCCAGAAGCTCAGTGTGCCATTGCAACACTCACCTCGCAGGGCATCACGCCCGTAATGTTGACTGGAGATAACTACCGTACGGCCAGGGCCATCGCAAGTCAAGTAAGGGGGCAGCACGTGTGGTGACAGGATTCGGAGACCATGCGCCAATGCCTGTGTGCGAGCACTTTCCTCTATAACCCCCTCCCCCCTCACTCACACACACACACACACACACGCACGCACTCACTCACACTAACTAATACTTCATAGCTCGGCCACTGCTGTCCTGGGTCACCTTGAGAGTAAACTTTGACTTGTGGTGTAAATTGTTATCATATGCAGCACAAATTTCTTCGTATATCGTCTTTTCGTTCGTGTGACTCGCATGCATCTCTTGATTCTTACGAAGACCCTTCCTTCACCCAAACCTGCACTGGCAGTATCCTGTTTGCTCCAGAGACGCGGACTTCGATATACATGTACCCACCAAGGAATGCCCTGTCCCTTAGCTCACACGTGTGTGTGTGTGTGTGCGTGTGTGCGCGTGTGTGTCGTGATCCACTTGTCTGTTATTGTTTGTGCACGGCCGATGTAGGTTGGCATAGTGAACGTCTTTGCTCAGGTCCTGCCCAGCCACAAACTGCAGAAGGTCAAGGAGCTGCAGGAAGGTATAGTTACTCTATGTCAGACATGCACATACTGAAGTAGCCGATAAAATAATATAGTATGGACTCGGATGGAGAGCCACGAATAAATAATAGAAAAGAAAAGGACCAAGGAACTACAAGTTATGCTGTAATGTCTTCCCCTCCTATGTTATTCCTTTAACATAGAACCTTCCAAGTAGTTGGAAGGCTGTTGGAGTGCGCATCCAAGACGTGCTAGAGCTGATTGGCAGTTAGTTGTAGAACGTCAGTACCGTTGGTCAGTGTCGTGCAATGTTATCGCATGAGCTGGCTGTCAAGTAACTGGTGGTGTTAGTGGACATTATAGCGTAACTTGTAGTTCCTTGGTCCTTTTTTTCTTTACTATAAAAATGTAATAGGTTGAAATTGTCGTTGTGCTTGCGATGACCCAGTCTGACTTGGTATTTCCGCATCAAAACGCAATCTGACTGGGTCTCGCGTGAACTGTGAAGTATTTTGCGATGCGCAATGATACAAACTTACGAAGATGTACATGAGTCGACATTGACGTTGAGCCAACAGTATTATGTTACGCCCTGCTGTGTTCTAGTGCAGACCTGCAGACAGGGTCTCCGACAATGGAAAAGGCATTCACGTAGTGTTGTATCCTCTGCGCTGCGCACGCACCGTGTGTGTGTGCGTGTGTGTGTGTGTGTGTGTGTGTGTATCTGTGCTCAGGCTTAGGTCTTGGAGAAGACGATCAGGCTGCACACGGCAATCCAGTAGTTGCGTTTGTCGGTGATGGTATCAACGACTCACCGGCACTGGCTCAAGCCGATGTTGGCATTGCCATTGGTTCTGGCACAAACGTTGCGCTGGAAGCTGCTGGTATTGTACTTATAAAGGTAAACTATATTGTAGGATAATACTAGGATTGCAAGCAGCCTTAAAACTGGCAATGTGTACGCGTAGAGTCCTGATACAATTAAAATGCCGCGGATAAGCTTCTGATCTTCCGGACATTTTTTTATTATCCAAACATGTACCCACAGCACACAATGTACAGTCAACTTCGCTAATAACGACTGCGGATATAGCGACAATTCGCGAATAACGACAGAATTTCCATGCCCAGAGCAAAGTCCCATCCAACTGTAATACATATGAGACTTTGGGTATAACGACACTTCGCGAATAAGAACACTTTTCTGATGACCCATCGAGTGTCGCTATAAGCGAAGTTGACTGTATGTCAAAATGCTCGCATTGTCATGCAGAGTTGCGCAATGCACCATAGACACAGACTTTGAGGGCCAGCACGGCCTGCTCATACCCACAGAACTGACTTGAATTATCAGCAGGAACCCCACGCACGTTCCATGCGTGTGTTGCGTGCGAATGTGGGCGTGGGTGCGTCAAACTTCGTATCCATGTGTGGATACGTTAGTGGCCATGGTACAAGTAGTAGAAGTGGAAGGCTCTATCTGTTCTCACTCTCTGCACAACCCACTCCAGGGATGAATTTATTGTCATATTTTTGCATAGCAGTTTCTGCTATACAAAATCACAATTGTGTAGCAGTCTTTGATTTTAATTAGCATTTTTCTTTGAAGGTTGGGTGTTTACCAATGCCATATTGTCCTTCTTGAGAGTGATGCCTGAAAGCCCATTTGCAAAAAAACGACTGAATCATACATGTACACGCAGATTGAGATTGCCTGCACCACATACACTGCACTGTATGCATGTTACTTGATAGCACAGGCTAGGCATGGATAGTCTGTATGTATCGCAGTTTTTTGCGAGTCACAGTGACTTTTGAATAGCAGTTGATCGATTTTGTATCGCAAACTGCGATGCGAAACAGGATAAATTCATCCCTGCACTCACTCTGAGCCTACAGGATTGACTGCACTCCCTGCATGACCCACCCACTGACTGACTCTGCATGATTGGTTCTATGCAGAACGATCTGATGGACGTTGTAGCAGCCATTGATCTGTCGCGCGTCACCATGCGCCGCATTCGTCTCAACTTCCTCTGGGCCTGTATCTACAACCTGATCGGTCTGCCCATTGCCGCCGGGGTACTGGAGCCAGCAGGCATTCGCATGCGCCCCTGGATGGCTGCAGCGGCCATGGCACTCAGCTCCGTCACCGTCGTCTGCTCATCTCTTCTCCTGCGAAGGTATGAACTTAGCGTACAGAGTGGCAACTATAATTGTAGTGTGCGACAAAATGTGTGTGCACTGCAAAGGTAGTATTGGGCGGCAGGCAGTAATAAAAGACCGGCCCCAAATTCAAAAAAAGACGTCGACCACTACTTGGCTTTCAGCAGGATCTCATATAAGATCCTACGGAAAGCTACTACTTGTTGAGTCGTTTTCCTTTGTGTCAAGTGTGGCAATTCCCCTAGCCACTGATAGTGTCATATTGAGCAGTGGTGTTTCTCCGTTTGCGTGTGTCCTCCTCTGCTTTGCACCAGGTGGAAACCGGCCAACACGCAGCGCCAAACAAGTCTAGCCGTGGCTCTGGGTATGACGACGCAAGCTGACGGACGGAGCGTTGAATTGGAGCTGGAACACGCCATGACCAAGCCGGTGCACGCGCACGGCAAATATTCCTCCGTGCAACATATCAGCAGTGTCTGAACACAACATACGCATCAGCAGTGTCGACTTGCCCGAAGCATATCCCCAGTCGACACTGCAGTAATAGCCAGCATTCAATCCTAACTGCAAAATCTAGTGAGTCTGTAGTAGTTTGTAGTAGTTTGTAGTAGTTTGTAGTAGTTTGTTCTAAAAGTAACACACATACATGTAACTTAGGTACTGCAGGAAACTCGTTTTTTATTCATTGTTTACGGTTTTCGATGACTTTTTGCTAGCTGTGTTGTGTTGCTCTTTTTCATGCCATGCAACTGATGTGTATCTATATTCATTACGTCATAGTTGTACTGCATGCACGCACACACACAGATTAGTTGAGTGTGCTTCTTTTTCCTGTTGTTCTTTCTCATGACATGTTTTGTTTCCGTTCCCAAGTCTTCACGAATAAATAGTAACGTATCATGGCGCAGTGAACTTGTTCTTTCCTGTGTCCGTGCCTTGTGTCCGCACCTTGTAGTGTTTGCACGGGCCCAGTTGGTTTTTCCGTATGAAGTAGTAGTTTCCGCGATCGAAACTCTGTCTCAGTTGAATTATTTTAGTAGTGTATTTTGTTCGTACTCGTGGACGAGTGACTAATCGTAATGGAACAATCACAGGACGATACCGGATTTGACCTGTCCTCCGCGACCGAGCGACAGCAGGAATCTCAAATGGGTGTCCTGATGAAATTTATGGAGCAGCAGATGCGTGCAGCTGAGGCTCGTGATAAGGCGATGCAAGATCTGTTCAAGAATGTTCAGAGCAGGTCGCTATCACCATCGCAGCTTCAGTTCACTCCGCAGCCCTCAGCACCAGCTCAGTCCACCTCGCAGACCTCAGCACCACGGCCAGTGAACAGTGTTTCCTGCCCACACTTATTGTCGTCTGCGACGCTGGCTGATTTTCACTCCTTCGTTGAAAGCTGGAGAGATTTTAGTGTTTGCCAGCATTTGGCCAGCCAGGCTCGTGAGGCCAGAGTGGCAACACTCCGTCAGTGTTTCGATGAGGAGCTGCGACGTTTTATCCGAGAGGATATTATTTGCATACCAGCTTCAGCTGACGTCGACCTGATGCTGGAGCGCATTCAGGCGTATATCAGACGGCAACGTAATCCACTGTTGGACCGCATAGAGTTTTACCAGCGTGTCCAGCAAGCTGGAGAATCATTTGATGCGTTTTACACAGCCCTGTGTGAACTACAAAGTGCATGCGACTTCTTGTCACACAGCCTATGTGGAACGTGTGATGCTCGCTGCTGTGCGCAGTGCAAAGGCCTCGGCCGTACCCTCAAGGAGGAATCTCTGCGCGACCGCGTCGTCATTGGTGTGCGGAACGATGAGACGCGACACAAGTTGCTCGCAACTCATGGTCTCACGCTCGACCAGGCTGTCACCCTCTGTCGGACGGAGGAAGCAGCATACCACACCAAGGCACACATGCCCAGTCCTGGCCTCCAGGCAAGTGCTGCCAAGCAGTCGGCGTACAAGCAGCAGAAACGTCACAAGCCAGCTGACTCTAAGCCAAGTGAGGCATCAAGTGCGGCCAAGTCCACTTGTCCAAATTGTGGTCGTTCTGAGCACACGAAATCTGTATGTCCTGCCAAGGGCAAGAAGTGCAACTCCTGTCATGGCATTGGGCATTTTCAGCGAATGTGCAAGAGCCAGAAACAGCCCAAGACTAGCTCTGCTGCCAAGCTTGGACAGCTGAAGCTACAGCGTGCGTCTCGCGTGGACCGTCGCACAGTACCTGTTTCGACCATGCTGCAAACAGAGGATCAGCCATCCCAACTGTCCTGGACACCAGACACAGGCAGTGACATTGATGCCATTGGCGAGGAGCACCTCACGCAGATCGGTGGGTTCGTCGAGAACTTAGATGACGACCACGACTGTGTGCAGGCTGTGACCGGTGAGCCGCTACGCAACCTGGGCAAAATACGTGCGACTCTACGAGTCGGTGAGACGCAGCATGAAACCGTCATCCATGTGTACAAGGGTCTACACGATGCCCTGCTCTCTCATACCTCATTGCGTGCGCTGAAGTTTCTCCCACCTGATTGGCCAGTCCAATTCACCGCTGAACACGAGGGTGCATCTTCACCCAAGATCTGTGCAGCTGTTTCGTCATGCGCTCATCCTAGTGATGCTGAGTTAGCGCGGACACGTGAGCAGCTCCTGCAAGAGTTCGCTGACGTTTTCTCGGATTCCGGTCTGAAGCCAATGGAAGGTCCGCCAATGGAAATTGAGCTACAGCATGATTCTAAGCCTTCCTGTGTGCACACTGCTCGACCAATACCGTATGCATTCCGTGACCAGATCAAGACTCAGCTCGACGGCATGGTCAGCGACGGGATCATTGAACCAGTGACGGAGCCTAGTGAATGGTGCCATCCGATTGTCATAGTAGACAAGAAGGGCAGCACTGAGAAGCGCCTCACAGTTGACTTCAAGCGGCTGAACGACCAAGTCCGTCGTCCCGCGCATCCCGTACATACGGCACGTGACGTTGTCTCTGGAGTTGGCTCTGCTAAGTTCTTTACGAAGCTCGATGCAAGGCACGGCTACTGGCAGATTCCTCTCAGTGACACTGCTCAGGAATTCACCACGTTTATCACCCCGTACGGCAGATATCGTTATCTACGGAACCCGCAGGGTCTAATATCTGCTGGGGATGAGTTCAACCGGCGCACTGATGCTGCGTTCTCTGCCATCCCGCGTCTCGGCAAGGTAGTCGATGATTGCCTAGCGTACGACGACGACTTTCTGTCGCATGTCAGCCACGTGCGCGAGATTCTGCTCTGCGCCAGGGAGCATGGTATCACGTTCAGCCCCGCCAAGTTTGTGTTCGGTACGCAACGTATCCATTTCTGCGGCTACAACGTCACGCCTGATGGCTGGGTCGTCGACGATGATAAGACGTCCGGTATTCGCCAGTTTCCAGTACCCGCCAACAGAACTGATCTCCGTTCGTTCCTCGGTCTAGTGAACCAATGTGGCGAGTTCACTCCACATCTAGCCGAGTTGACCAATCCTCTGCGTGGCCTGCTCAAGACCTCCCGTGAGTTCATGTGGGACGCTAGCCACACTGCAGCGTTTGAACAGACACAGGAAGCTCTCTTGTCTCCTCCGGTTCTCGCTTTCTATCAAGTTGGTCAAGACCTCCGGCTTGAAACCGATGCATCCGCTCTAAGAGGTCTCGGATTCGTGCTTTGGCAAAAGCAGAATGATCAGTGGCGTATTATTCAGTGTGGATCCCGCTACCTGTCTGATGCTGAAACCCGTTATGCTGTCATCGAGTTGGAAATGCTCGCTGTAGTATGGGCCGTGCGCAAATGCCGCATCTACCTGTCTGGTGCGCCATTTGAAGTAGTCACCGACCACAAGCCCCTGATTCCGATCATCAACTCATATTCGTTGGATCAGATCGAGAACCCGCGTCTTCTCCGATTACGCCTCAAGCTCCAAGCCTATCAGCTGCAGGCATATTGGCGAAAAGGTTCTGAAAATGCCTTCGCCGATGCGCTGTCCCGGAATCCTGTTGGCATTCCTTCCACCACTGATGAGCTTGGTGAAGCCCCGTCGCTTCATTGCCGCAGCATTCAGATCTGCATGGTGCACTCTGACACTGAGCCGAATGCGAATCTCAAGGTTGCAGAGCTGCGGGAAGCTGCAGCTGCAGATGCCATGTACCAGTCATTGATTGAGTGTATCTTGACTGGATTCCCTGATCGCCAGCAGAAGTTGCCTGCTCCGTTACGTGCGTACTGGAATGGACGTGAGCATCTCTCCGTCGACCATGGTATTGTGTTGAAGGGCAACCGCATTGTTGTTCCTGAATCATTGCGTGCTCAGGTATTGCACAACCTCCACGCTTCACACCAAGGCCTAGTGCGTACTAAGTCTCGTGCGCGTCAGCTTGTATACTGGTCCGGTATCACCAAGGACATTGATACACTCGTTCGTTCTTGTCCTGCTTGCCGCGAACACCAGTCGTCCCAGCCAGCTGAGCCCCTGCTGAACGACCGCACCCCGACACTACCGTTTGAATGTGCATCTGCCGATTTGTTCACTTGTCAAGGTCACGACTTCCTTGTGTATGCAGATCGTTTGACCGGTTGGCCCTGTGTCGCGCGTACTGGCCGCACCACCTCATCGCATGACGTGATACTAGCATTCCGTCGCTGGTTCTCTGATGTTGGTGTTCCTGCTGTGCTGTGTACAGATGGTGGTCCCCAGTTCTCCTCGCATAAGTTTGCTGAGTTTTGTAAGCGCTGGCAGGTAAACCATGTCATGTCCTCTCCCCACTACCCGCAGAGTAATGGGCACGCCGAAGCTGCTGTCAAAGCCATGAAGCGTCTTATCACCAAGACAACCGTGAATGGCAATCTTGACACAGATGACTTCCGCCGAGGGCTACTGGAATGGCGAAACACACCTGGCTCCTCTGGTCAGAGCCCCGCTGAGCTCCTATATGGCCGCTCTCTCCAGTCATTCGTCATTGCACATTGGAAGGAGTTTGATTCATCCTGGCTCTCCAAAGCGACGACACGTGATGAGACTGCCATGCCATCCGACGATTCCGTCACAGACAAGTCGTCAACTCGTCGCTCGTTGCCGCAGCTCCGCCTCGGCACCCACGTGGATGTTCAGCATCCGCGCACCAAGCAGTGGTCTATTCGTGGGGTCATTGTTGCTGTCGGTAATCATCGGGACTACCTAGTGAAGTTGCCGAGTGGTCGCATTTATTGGCGGAACCGCAGATTCCTGCGTCCGTATCGCCCACTTGTGCCTGCACCGCTTGTTGTCCAACCGGCTGCTGCTGACGCCTCTTCCCCGCCGCCGCCGTCCCGCCGCAGCGCACGTCAGCGCAAGCCACCCCAGCGTTTAAACATTGGTTCGCATCATGGACAGTCCTATGATTGACACTCTTGATCACTAATGTCAATTTCTGCTGTCTCTGCTTTGTTGTTTTCATTCTTCATTTTGTTTTATTTATGATAGATGTTGCTGTCACAGGTTTCGCAACATCTCGAAGGGGCGTGATGTGTATCTATATTCATTACGTCATAGTTGTACTGCATGCACGCACACACACAGATTAGTTGAGTGTGCTTCTTTTTCCTGTTGTTCTTTCTCATGACATGTTTTGTTTCCGTTCCCAAGTCTTCACGAATAAATAGTAACGTATCAGCAACGTGGATGCGTCGTGCACATTCGCTGCTCCATAATGCACACCAAAATAAATAATGCGCTACCCATTGCTGTCTCCTTGAGCATCACATTATTATTAAATTTCACCTGATGACATCACTTTTTTTAAACTGCCTATGAAACAAAGCTTGCTACATAACTAACTGCGGCAAACGTTAAAAATTGAACCCCCATTGAGCATACTGAAACTCTTCACCTTTCTCATCTTTTGAGTACATTATTTTGTGTGTGTTTTTGACTTTTTGTGTAACATGAAGTAAATGACTTTTTTGTATAAAAGCATGGGCATTTAAAGATATAAAAAATATGTGAAGACTGTGAATCTACTCAACACAAATTTTCTAGTTGAAGTTTCTTCAAGTGAGGTTATGTAATGCCTACCTATCCTAGCTAGAACGATGAGCTAATGTTGTATGAAAGGTAGTCGGTCCATCAAGGATGAAAGGCGCAGTGTCAGAATGCTGTGGCAGACCTGGCAGAGAGAAGAGAGAGAGAGAGAGAACACCCAACACGAAACATTATGACATCCGTTTACCATCAGGGTTCCATGCAAGTGTGAATAAACAAAATCAGCATGATTGTAAAATTAATAAAGTTCCACATAGGGGTGAAAGTTGGCACTGAGATCCCGAGTTCGAGTATTCTGATTTTCTCCGATCGAATATTCGGAGTATTCGAGTATTCTTGATGTCCTAAGAATTCGCACACCAAAGGCATTAAAAATCATGTGATACAACCCTGAATGAACCGATTGGCAGTCCTCTCTGGGTGTATTGGTTGGTGGGTCATTTGGGCTCTCTCTACTCGTGTACAAATGTTCACCACACAGTCTGCACACCAATATCTGCCGACTGCTGCTCTGAAACTGCAGATTTCTGTGGTAAATGCATGTACCATGTATGAGTGAGTACTCTGATTTATTCCGAGTACGATTATATTAGAAAAATCCAAACGAGAATTCGAATATTCGGTATAATTGTTTCACCCTTAGAACTTCCACAGCTAGTGTGCACGTAAGGCTCGGTGAGTCCATAAACACGAGTACGCAACTGTGGCTAGGAGGTCAGTGCGCAGCACGCTGCCTTCATTACATAACTGGCCCACACCACACCCTGTACTCTTGCACGAAAATACACAATCTCTCAAACCAGTACACCCAGTTTTGCCAGATTCGTCCGAGTAAAGACGTGGACGTGGAGTACAGACTCTAGGGCTGTGATCGTCTCGTCGGATCCGGATCAAGATCCAAACCCCAGATCCACTGGATCCCTCAGAATCAATTGATCAGATTTGGAATACACTGCTACCGTGGCCATATTGAGGTAGGAAAACGACAATTGAAAAGTTACTCCAGGTTCCCAGGTTCGTACTCTTCGTATTCATCTGCATGGTGCACCACTTTTCCACGTATCATGTTTGTATACTAAATGCGTATGGCGATGATTGTTACCCGCCAAACACGTACAAACGTCTTGTTTCGCAAAAATGAATCCGTTTGATCTAGTCAACCCTGCTCCTGGGGCAGGGTTGCTCGGATCCAATCGATTACTGTAAATCAACTAATTTTCGCTGGCGATTTAATTTCGCCGCTGGGTACCAACCGGCCAAAGTAAATCGCAGGCCAAAATTTGTCATAGAGGCATTATTGAGCCATGCCTGCATGTGAGGGCAACAAATACCAATCGATTTCTTTTTTGAAAACCCCAATTGGACAAATTTAAATGACGGCCAAAAGTTTCATTTCGAGATCGGCCAAAGTTTCTCACCGGCCAAAATTTGTTGATTTACAGAACTGCAGAGCGAGTGGATCCTATGGATCTGGGTCTGGATCCCAGATCCAGTGGATTTGGGATTTGAATCTTGATCCAAATCCGATGAAATGATCACAGCCCCAGAGTCCACCCAGATCACGGCCTAAATGTTGGGTCCATAACTTTCAGTTCTGTACGAAAGCTGGATTCAAACCGAAAGGAAAGCATGGTGTTCGAGTTCTCCGCAATGCACAAATATAGCTGCATGACGCAATGAAGGCAGGGTGTCGTGCAGCTGGCCAATAGAAAAGAGATCACAGCTGTATGTTCTTGTTTTTGGACTCTTGGCATGAACTCCTGAACTCTATCGCACAACCCATTGCCATACCAGCTTTCATCATACGCAGCTCTCAGGGTTATTTGCTTCTCCGTGGTTGCCTTTCTTGTACTTCTTCCCCACATAACAACAAGAAACCAAATTTCTTTCCTTACAGCGCTGGTGCTGATGGGTGAATTCGCGAACTGGAGCCGTTTTTTCCTCCAAATCAGCCATTCGCATACTATACATGTACTACTGTAGATTGGTTGAGAGCATGTTACAAGGCGGAGGACGCACTGCGCTGTCAACCGATCCAACAACAAGGCCAACTAGCCTTAAAGCATGCACGTCCTAAATAATCCCACCATTTCCGTCATGCCTCTCCTTGCAGTACTCTCTTTTGTTTCTCTCCTTATTATTTAGTTCGCCGTGGTTGGCTACCACCCGACTTCTCATATCATAAATATTGACAGTCTTACTACGAGCCAGGAGATGTTGAATAAAAAAAATGGCTTACCGATACCATGTACTACTGCAGTAGCCAGGAGAGGGAAATGAGCCAGCACTCTGCACCAGTGTACATGTACATGTGAAGACCAGTACAGACCAGTACCCAAACAGTGAACCCCTACTCAAGAGATCGGTCTACATCACGTAAAGCCCTACATGGCGCAAACACAGTGATGTGTAGCTGCTCGCTCACCTCTTGGAGTAGAAGTAGTTGAAGTCGCTGCGCAACAGGAGCTGTGCCAGATGAGGGTTGGATCGGTGATTGCCAACACTGGACAGGATCTTCAAGAGCAGGCCAGACTGGCGTGCAAACATCTACACACAACGACACACACACACACACACACACACACACACACACACACACACACACACACACACACACACACACATACCTAAGTATTCCGGTCTACAAAACTAGTATTCTGTGCATGATGAAATAATACAATTCAAAAAGACGGTTTCGAACTTTCAACCACATCATGACAATAATCCGAACTCAACAAGTACCGTAAAGTCTTGTATAAAAGCCGCACTTGAATAGAAGCCGCCCTCGAATAGAAGCCGCAATTTTGGGCCCATCAAATCACACATAAGCCTGGTTTTAGTGTTGACATACATAGAAATACCGGTCTTGTATAGAAGCCTGTCTCATGTAGAAGCCTGCAAAAATTCACCAAGAAAGTCATAGAAGCCGCGACTTTTATACAAGACTTTACGGTACATGTACTGGGCAACAAACCTTCTGCAAGTCCATCAAGCGCTTGTGATCGCCGTCAGACCAGGTCTCCAAGCGCTGAAGGAGGTCGTAGAGGATGCCCGCCATGCGCAAGATCTCCTTCAGGCAGTGCGAGGCCTGCATACACAGGTGGCAACGCGAAGAGAAGAGCAGGAGATTGGGCAAAACATTGTGTATATGGCACTTAGACTTAGAGACGGACAGAACACTATACAAGATACAACAGGATGAAAGAGCTACAGTTTTGTTATTATATACTGGAAGGCTTAAGGGTAGAGGGTAGATAAAGATATGAACTCCAAACGTAAAGGGAATTGCGCATTGACTACACACACAATTGGCTAAGGTTTAGTTAACCTTAAACGTAAAACTCTTCTGATGAGATGGCAACGAAAACATAAGGATATGAAATCTGCTTAGGGATACGACTGCTGCTGTCAACTGCCCAGGATGTAAGAGGACTTTCTCGACTTTCACTCACCGGTTTCGAGTTCAGAAAGCACTGTGCAGTGAGGGATGCCAGGAACGAGTCGTGTGCTAAGTGGATAGCCTCGAAGCTCTGCTCGTTTTCGATTCGCTCGATGAGCTGTCGGTATTGTACGGTTAATACGTCAACCTGATAGCAGAAAGAAACACGGGAACAAAGAAACATTCCGATAGTTGTCTCCTGGACCAGGTCCCATCCCAACACACACACCACCACGCACACACACATGCACACACATACACACACTCACACGCACGCACGACATACACAACACGTCACCCAGGTCAACAATTCGGCCGCACTTGATACGAATAAGACTCAGATAGGACTGGGAAAACCTGCCCAGAGAACTGACCTGCAAATAGTATTGCAAGTTGTCAACGAAGAATGCCATTTCCGCACGCAGCTTCCACAGCAACCGCTGATCGGCAGTCATTGCTCGCAGCGACTGGGCCGTCTCCATCAGGTTTATCCAGGAACCGTGCAGGAACTGAGCGGCTCGTTTCACGCCCAGCAGGAACAGAAACAGCTTGTTGTAGCTGCGACGCACAGACACATGCATGCATACACACACACAAACATGCACAGATGAAAGGACACGTGTGTGCAAACACACAAACACACACACGTGCGCACACAAAGCACACACACACACGCACGCACGCACACACACTACTTGTAACACAAAACTGTCATGTGACTAAATTTGTGTAGAAAGTGATCATGTAATGTGGACAGTGGAACCAATATGGCCGACGTCATGTGACCCATAGATGCAGGGGTTGAGTGGAGTTGGAACCAACACGGCTATCCCGTGTGATAGATGTGCAACAGCTCTTATATACTTCCCATGCCCCCCCCTCTCCACCCACCCACCAACACGCATGCACGTCCGCAACACACACAAAACTCTCCAACATGCTTACTCTTCAAACGCAGTGTCGGTGAAGATCAAATGCAGTGGCCAGGTGACAGCACAGCTCAAGCCAATACTCTGCCAGCCCGTCAACGGGCCAGACTGTACCGCAACACTGCCAGAGGATTTATCTGCAAGCACCGTCCACGAAAATCCATGCCAATCAACGCGTAAGAGAGGGAGAGAGAGAGATAGAGAGAGAGAGAGAGAGAGAGAGAGAGAGAGAGAGAGAGAGAGAGGGGGAGGGAGAGAGAGAGAGAGAGAGAGCACAACGAGACAAACACAAAACAAAAACGTGGTTAAACAGGCAGACAGACAAAGAGTCACGAAGGAAGCACATCATGCTCTTACAACGAACCACCAAAACAACAAACAAAAGCACACCAGTACAAACCGCTCCACTACACATGTATCTACGATAAACTCGGCAAAAAGACACACACAACAGGACCCTATAAAAGCCAGAAGGAAAGTTACCTTGTGCAGAGCTCTTGTCCGGCAAGGCCACATGCACACGGAAAGAAAATCCAGTCTCATCGTCGGTTGAGCCCAGCTAAGTACCAACGCATTCGACACACACACAATGAACCAGTGCAAGCATTTGAGAGATTGTGAAGAAAACACCCATCCACCAGCTACAGAATCAGCATAAAGAGTGGAGATTGTGAAGAAAACACCCATCGACCGGCTACAGAATCAGCATAAGTAGTGGACTTCAGGCAGCTACAATGTACATCTGGCAGTCTACTCTTCAAGGATGTTGATATCTTAGTAGTACTGTCTGTATTACGCCAGTTTCCAAGTAGGGTCTTGACCCAGCCCAGAGAAGGGGCAATACTGATAATACCCCATTTCACGGTCTACCCCTGTGCCCGGATTGTACGAATGAAAATCAACCGGCTTGATACATACCGGTTATCTTCTATTCCCAGAGCCAAGAACACAATGCACGCCTACTCAGGACACATGCATAATCTTCTGATCCCGTCTGCTACTGCCCAGCATAACCCCCAGGAGATAAACTCATCCAAGCCAGCATCATACCTCACCAACGGCCTGTTGAAAGGCTATGTTCACATCTGCATGAGGAGAAAATACAGCACACAAAGAACCCTTGACACTATGTACTGCACATGTATAATATAATCAACGTGTGGCAGGTAGTATGACGTTGCCCTCGGTGCACTCATGGCTAATGAGTACATAAGTGTACAGGTTTACCCTGGTTAGTACGGCATCGGTTACAACTTACAAGACAAACCTCATTACAGGTGAAATCCTGATAATATGGCTTAATTAGAACATACTGCTTAATTCGAAGTTTCTTCCGGGACCGATTTCTGTCAATACGATTTCCACATAACGATTTCTGATAATTAGAACCTCGAACTGGGTATGTCTGGTTAATTAGAAGTCCCACGGAATCCACTTACATAGAAAATGTGTGGGATTTGTGCTGATAATTCGAAGTTAGCAAAGTGTAATTAGAAGTTCACTTTATTTTCTGCAAATCAGTTTGGTTTGCATGCGCAGGCAGTTTACAGTGGTTCAGTGTTCACTAAATCTGTGTCTAAGGACCCCCTAGTGCAATTCTGCGTGTCAATGCGAGCATTTTGACATACATAATGTGTTGTGGGTACATGTTTGGATAATTATAATGTCCGGATAATTAGTTTTTCTCCGGCATTTTGATGTTCGAATTATCAGGATTCCACCTGTAGTAGGTAACGATCCTACAAATCCACAGACGAAAGAAGTTTAATAGTCGTACATGTACATGCAAGTCCTGATAGTAGACAATACTCGTTATCAGACGAAATGTTGAACCCAATACAGGCCCGTGGGCTTATATCCGAATACAGGCCTGTGGGCTTATATGCGCGGAATAAACGAGGGTAGACCTGTACATGGATTGTACAACAGCAGGACCAAACTCTGCTGCCCCACATCATGGGCCATATGCCAAGCAGTACAGATCGCCTGACCAGTGGAAGTGCCGTCGCAAGCCTTATGATAATGATAACCCCTGCATCGTTGCATTACAAGGGAGTACGCAAAGAAGAATCACCCTACCAAACGAATGGACCTTCAGGGTGCGGACCGTTCCAAGCGCAACGCCTTCTACATTGGAAACATGGACCCCGGATGTGACACCAAGACCCCCGGACGGTGGTGTCGAGAGAAAGACGCCGACGTGCTTCGCTGTGCTGTATCGGAATCACGGTACTCTGGCACGGCGTATGCCCACCTAGTTGTTGTCGCCAACTGCATGGACAAGGTTGTCATCTCCGTGCTTGGCCTAGCACCGTTTGACCATGTCCCGGGGCTCGTTTTGGGTCCTGGGACCCTGGGCTTCTGGATGGCCCACATACGCCACTTGCGCGGCTCACGTCATATTACGTCATGTTTCCCACAAGCCCCACCAACATGTTTTGTTTCGCCACCCTCCGGCACATGTGTCATATTGCAACACAGGTCTGTGTCACCAGGTAACAGTTAATGGCTGTGTGCTACAGGTACATGTATACATGTGGAGCACGGCACTATTCCTCTACCCTATGCTCGATACTTTTTACCCGTCTACATGTACCGGTGACATCATTTTTCAAATCTGCCACCTCTCCTTTTCCTCGCGTCACTGAAACGCTGTACCACCATCACCTCGACCCCGTTCTCAAGACAGACAAGACCCTCTCTATGTACATGTACTCTAGTGAATACTAGTCTTGGTCATATCATGCTGTCTGTTGAGTGATTTTCAACACGAAACTCCGAGTACCGAGCACATTGCCCTATCACCCACCGTGCTCGGTGTTGTTGTTAGGCGGCGAGCGGAGGATCTGCTCTGCCAGCGTCAGGAAACTGCAGAAGAGCTCTCCGCGGCCAAGAAGGAAGTGATTCTTGAACACCTGGAGAGTAAAGTGCAAACACAATCAACCCATGCACGCGCACACGCACACACACACAACTACACACACACACACGCACACACACACACGCACACGCACACACATGCACACGCACACCCTCTATTTGATGTTAATACATTGAGAACACGGCAGTGGTAGGCTAAAGAGACTGCACTTACATAGAGGGTATTCAGGCTGTCCAACCGTCCTGCTTTGGACCAAAACATTTGTGTACATTTACACGGGAGACAAATGCTTATAGAGTCTGGACTCTCAAGGCCAAGTGAAGGTCACTGGTGGCAAGAACAAAGAACTTGAACTGCCAATTCCCTGCACTTCCGAATTCCCCAATTCGCTTTGTTTGCCCCTGAGTCGTTCCTTGCAGCTAGGCTTTTGCTGCTACTGTTTACCAATGTCGTTGAGAGTTTACTCGTCTCAGTTTGAGAAGCCGGATGATTCCACTAAGAAGCGGTATCGAGAAGATGGAGCTGACATTGTGGTACTGCCATGTATTGAAGCCGGATGCTTTTTTCAGAATTTATTAGTTTGAGGGAAAGGTGCAACAGGAAAAGTGTGGAAAAAAGAGTTGACTGGTACCGCCAGGACTCGGACCAGGGACCTTCGCTTATGGCCAGCAATGCCCTGGTACTAAGCTTTCCCGTAGTAGGCACGGCAGTTTGAGTAAACGTTCGAATTAACATTACCACAACAGACAAAGTGACACTGGTAACAAGAGTGAAACTAACCCGAAGATGTTCAACAAGATTTGCTTCCTTCATGACATAGTGCCACAATCGCTGGAGTAGAAGAGAGAGAGAAAACAGGAGCATTGCTGGCCAATTTAAATACCTAAGTCAAAGCGACTACAGTCCTATGACCAGCACAAGCAGACACACAGGCCTTGTCCCCATCCAGATTCTCCTTCCAAACAATATGCTGTCTTGGGACACGGGAATACTGCGAACAGCTTGCCCAAGCAGTGAAACACCGGTCAAGGAATAAGGAACTGGTGCGGGCAACGACATTTCTCAGCTTCAAATTATTCGCCCGTGCATCAACCCGCATACTGAGCCACAACCAAGCAAAATAACTACATACATGCGGTGTGTGCAGGCCTGCTGCACAAGAAGAAAAACAATTTGGGGAGCACCATGCGTTTGCTCACCGCTGAGATGCATGAATAGATGTCCATCACGACTTCTTCCATTGCTATCAAGTTGAACAGGGGCAAGTGCTGGACGGTCAGCAGCTGCCGGGCAAACACTATCTCCTTCTCCTCGAATATACTGCCACCGCCTATAGGGCACAGACAGATGGCACATGATAGAACACATTAGGGTATCTCAACTCAAACACTTACAAACATACGGTCTCTTTGCTGCATATGTCACTTAAAAAAATTGTCAGTTTTGAATAATGGTGTATACAGCAAAGAGACGAATCCATTGATCCCCGAGCTGAAGAGAGTGCTCAATGTCAGAAACAGAGCTTAGTAAGTTACATAGCAGACTCAGCGGAGGGCGTTCAGGTTGGTCGTAACTCTGAGTTTCATGTCGCTAGGCAATCCTCAGACAACTGAGACTGGGATCTACCCAGCAGTATGCTTATAAACACATAGAGCCACAGGCATAAACAAATTTAGCGCAATGTGCAGGTGGGCGCTAAGTCTGGTGGCGTAAGGTATTGGGAGAAAGCTAGCGCGGGCCAAGGCGCTAGGAGAGAGACAACAGGCGGGTGGAAGTGTCAGGAGGGTGGCGGGCAACAGGCAGGTGTGAGTATCAACGCGCGGACAGAGTATCAAGGAGACCGTGTTTCGAGTGTTTGAGTTGAGGTACCCGAACGTGTAAATCTGGTAAATGGCTGCAGTGGAGTCTGTGAGTGCTTAGAAAAAAATCAGGACATTAGTACACAGTCATACTTACTGTATCTCCCCGATAAAAAGACGCACCCCCATTTTCAGGTTTCAGCCATACCTGGCAATATGGCGGTAAATACACGCCTGCCCACACACGCTCTCTGGGCTGCAAAGTTCTGGCACAGAGCTCTCCTTCTCACCATCACCACCATCAGTTCGCGCATGGTGCCTAGTCAATGCATGGTTGGCGGTATCCGACATAGCAGGCTGATACATCAGGTAGCGCATGGCACATAGAAGATGACACAGCAACGACGTACCTCGATAGCGCCAGCCTGCTATGTAGGATACCGCCAACCATGCATCGACTAGGCGCCAGGCGCGGACTGATGGTGATGGTAGTGGGGAGAAGGAGAGCTCTGTGCCAGAATTTTGCAGCCTAGAGAGCGTGTGTGGGCAGGCGTGTATTTATTATTTATTCAACATCTCCTGGCTCGTCGTAAGACTGCCAATATTTATGAGAAGCCGGGTTTACCGCCATATTGCCAGGTGTGTCGTTACCATATTCAACCATAAGTACAGCTGCAGTGGTGTCTTCAACTTCATTCAGCCATACCGTTTCAATATATTCACATGAATAGGTTGTGACACTCGATTGTAAATCACACCCTAGTGTAAACAGGTTAAGTGAAAACAGGTGTGACTTGTACTTGGGGAAATATGGCAAGCCGTGAACAAAACACTGGTGGTACGTGGCTGTTTTTCAAATGACTGCTGGTAGTTCAAGGCGGTAGCTCTAAATAGAAGCTGAACAAGTTGCGGCTTGTTGGTATGACTGTGGAGTGTGTGTTCCTTGATCTTCTCTGGCTTTCAAATGTTGAGTTCGGGAGGGAAAGAACAGCAGTGAGTACACCGTAGGGGTGATGGCGGTGGCGGTCCTGTGAACGCAGCGGAGTTAGTTTAGCTGACTCTCACACAAACCGCAAAATTATTTCTTATACAGCAGGCATGCAGGTATGTGGGCCAAATTCTTCAGCTTAAGCACGTGAGATTTATAGCAGCGTGGGCACTCACGGTACAGCTCAGAGCTCCGCTTGACACCCATCTCGTCATCCGTTGCCAGCATCTGCACCGCCTCGCCTACAAACAGGATCTACGCATGCCGGCAAGTGCATGCACACACACACACACACCCGCCCACACAAACATACACACACACACAAACACGCACACGCACGCACACACACACACACACGCACACACACAAAACATACACACAAACACACACACACACCGCTAGCAAGCCGATGAGCTAGCTCAGTGGCCATGACATTCACTCACTCCGGCACTGCATGCAAGCAGACATGCCGAGCTTTTCCAAAGGCGCATGAAGTCCCATAGTGGCACAGTACACCCGGTGGATCCAGAGTCTACTGACAATCATGAGATGGTCAGCAAAGCGAGGGAGCATGAGTGTGTGCTCTCTCGTACAAGTAGACTACGGACAGACTCAGTGTGCAAACACAAACATGAACTGAACACAAAGCTGTACCTTGTTGGCCAGTTGCATGGGCATGTAGGACGGGAGAAACTTGGAGGCGACGCCGTGAAGCACACGTGCCTTGCGTTGACGCCGTGAGTGCTGGTAGGACAGCAGCAGCAAAGACAAACAAACAAAATGTAACAAGGGCACATAAAGCAAGCAAACAAGCCAAACCAACTTTTCGGTGCGCTTTCCTTCCCCTCTTGGACCTTTCAGAACATGAGCCTTCCAAGTTGGAAGGTTGTTGGTTTGCGCCTTGGAGAAGTGTTGGAGCTTGGCGTCAGGTCGCCGAATGTCTCAGTACTCCTTGTCAGTTTTGTGCCATTCTGTCGCACTCGCTGACTGTATAAGATCTGGTTACGTTGGTGGACAGTTAGTCATAACTCGTAACATTTTGTCCTTCTCCTTTTTCACCATAATTTAATTGGCTCACCATCTGAGTTGAACAAGCAGCTGAAGTTCTTCAAAAAATGGCATTGGATGCAGTTACTTGCACCAGTGACAGATTCCCATGCCAATATTCCAAACAATAGCTCCAGCAATAATGAACTCCTCATCAGCATAATACCCAACTTGCACAGAGTGAAGGTACGGCCAATTCGGAGAAAGCAGCAAACACAGACACACTCAACTAACCCTCTTCAATCGCACCGTCTGCTGCTTGATGGCTTTCATTGTCGTAGTGCTGATGCTCGCGCCGTCCACGGAATCCGTCGCAGCACTCGTCTCCGCAGCACTCGTACTGCCTGTCGGCTGGATGAAGAACTCGGAGTGCCGGTCCACCAGCAGACCGTGCAGCAGCCAGCTACTCAGCTGACGAAAGAACACCTGATGGCAGTGATACTGCAGACTGAGCAAGGCCACAAACAGAGTAACAGCAGCAGTAGCAGCAGCAGAGAGGCAGCAGCAGCACAGAGAAGCAGCAGTGACAGGAGCAGCACCCGCAGCAGAGAGGCAGCAGCAGCAGAGAGGCAGCAGCAGCAGCAGAGAGGCAGCAGCAGCAGCAGAGAGGCAGCAGTAGCAGCAGAGAGGCAGCAGCAGCAGCAGAGAGGCAGCAGCAGCAGCAGAGAGGCAGCAGCAGCAGCAGAGAGGCAGCAGCAGCAGCAGAGAGGCAGCAGCAGCAGAGAGGCAGCAGCAGCAGAGAGGCAGCAGCAGAGAGGCAGCAGCAGCAGCAGAGAGGCAGCAGCAGCAGCAGAGAGGCAGCAGCAGCAGAGAGGCAGCAGCATCGTCACATCAGCAACAGTCAGGAGTAACACTCATTCAAAGAGGAAAACGTTACACAGATTGCCAAACAGAATCAGGTGTCTGGACATGTAGTGTACCGGTAACTGCCAAGGACAGTGGCTTCGTGTCATGTCTGTTTGCGCAGGAGTGTCCAATATCGGAACTGGAGACTAGCCAGTTGCACTTATTCTTTGCAGACATGAGCAGGAGCAAGAGTAGATAAACAAGAGTGTGCCACTCCGCATCTCTCCTGCACAATCCGCAGACAACCCGGCCCACGGCGGAATTTTTTTGTGGATGTCACCTTTTTCAGAAAAACGCGCATTTTTTTGCCGCACAGCAGTATGAGAGCACGTGCTGGCTACCGACTTTGTAATGTAAAGTCCGGCCAAGTGCACGAGGCAAAACTTTCCAAAAGACTCGCAGCGCTTGCGTCGTAGAAAAGATTACGTCAACAAAAAATTCCGCCGTAGGCAAACCCATTCGCGAGTTGCACACTCTTGTTAAGAGAGAGGTTCCGCACTACGTAAAGTTGAGCAACTTTACGTTAGCGGGCGGGAAACACCCGTGAATTCGCGAGTTTGCACTCCACTTACGAAAGTTGTCTACGTAGAGTACGTAGATAGGGCTCTGATAACGTAGCTGGTCCGTAAGTGGATTGGGGTACATATTTATGACTCTCTTCCCAGGTCGATCTGGTCGTACACTGCTGCGTTCGGAGTTGCCAAGGGCAGCTACGTGATTTGAAAGCTCCGTATCGCGGAACCCAGATGCGCATGCAGTGTACGTAAGACTTTCCGTAGATCGACTACGTTTTTTTACCAACGTAATTACGTTATGCGGAACCTCTCTAGTCTCTAATATCTATCTACTCTTGGCAGGAGGCAACGAGCAGGTTCTACAACAGGGGGGGGCCTGCCCCAAAAAATGGAGTATTATAGAAAATACGTATAGTGTGCATATGTGGGTTCGAATCTCACTTTTTTTTCGATAAAAAAACCTATTGGAGTCTGCATTCCGTGTTTATCAGAGATGATGTCTGCCAAGTTTCACCAGCACAAGGGCTTTACTTTTTCTGTAACAGGCCCTCTCGTGCCAAGGTGTCCAGAATTTTCAAAATCCTATACCGGTATATAGGATTTGGCCTCTTCAAAAATTGGTTTTGTACTTCCCAGTTTCCCCTGCCAATAAAGACCCTAGCTGGCAATATCCAAGCATTTTCTCTCTCCCCCCCCCCCCCCTCCCTCCCTCCGTCTCCCTCCCTCCCCCCCCCCCTCTCTCTCTCTCTCTCTCTCTCTCTCTCTCTCTCTCTATCCCTTGACTGATATCACGATGGCCACTGATGCTGTTGCTGGTGAAGATGTTGTGGACTGTTTGGTTATTAACCCGCACGCTATCAAGTCGATAAAGAAGCCCGGTCTCTACAAGCGACGTGCTGGCCGTAATCCGGATCCGGAGCCTCTACCTAAGATCAAGATGCCATCTCCTCGTCCTACAATACCACCAGGTGCCGCCACCAGTATTATGGATGGAGCAGCAGAGTGTGTTCAAGCAATGTACAGCAAGACCGCCCACGACTATCATGTTGCTCCTGGCACCGATTTCGGAGTAACATCTTCCCTGCAATGTATCAAGGGAAGAGTGTGACTGCAGTGTATCTCAAGCCAACCAAGGGTATGCACAGCTTCCCGATGAACGAAGAGTGTCAACTCTATCTACATCCTTCCACCATATCTTTCAACAGGGAGAAGTACGAATTCAAGGCATGGCTTTCGGCCATCCCCCTGATATTTGTGGACGCACGTCTTTGCGAAGGGAAACACGACACCGTGCAAGACCTTCCCGTGCTCACCGCGTTCTCCAAGGTCGTCACCTCCCCGTGGCGTGACCTTTGATCTTGCCCTATAAAACCTGATGATATTGTATTATGACTCACAATTGCTATCTGAAGAAGTCTTATGGAAATTGAAAATACAGTACGTCTTCGTCAACGACAGAACCCTATGTTGAAAGATGGTATCTATTTTCATGTGATGAAGATAAATTCACAGTACAGCTTATGACTGCTGCGCACACGGCATACGAGTTGCGACCACTCCTGCACCCTGATCGTGTAGACCTGACGCCAATGGAGGTTGCGGAATACATCTGCCACGTTTCAACTCTTGTTTTCGTGACAGGTGAGAAGCGGCAACGCTTACCAAAGATTGTCGTCGCTGGTGGTCCAAATACTGCAAAACTATGAGTTCTCATTAATAAAAAATTGAAAAAAGAGAATGGACTCAAATGGAGAGCCAAGAATTAATTTATAAAAAATAAAAGGACAAAGGACAAAGGAACTACAAGTTACGCTATAATGTCCACTAACACCACCAGTTACTAGCCGGTTAGTTGTAGAACGTCAGTACCGTCGGCCAGTGTCGTGCAATGTTATTGCATGAGCTGATTGTTTCGTAACTGGTTGTTAGTGGACATTTAGCATAACTTGTAGTTCTTTGGTCCTTTTTTATTTTTTATGAAAAAAGACATAAAGATGGCATTCGAAATGATGATATTTTAGACATCATAATGCAACAAGATCTAGGACAGGGCATAACACCCCACCCCTGAAAAAAGTGAGATTCGAACCCACATGTACACAATGCATATTTTCAAACGAGAGAGCTTGGAAGCTCAGGGCCCTGCGCTATGCTTTGTTGCCTAGCTCATCGTGCATGTTGTTAGAACTGATGGAAATGCTTTTTTCCTTTGATTAGCTACATCATTGTATTGCAAAAACGTTTCAATGAGATACTGAAGTACAAGTAACGCCTTCTGCATAGCTATGGGACAGGCGCTGACTCTGCCGATCACGGGCGTTCTGGAGTCAACGGGATGTCTGTCCTGACGTTTCTTGGGACCGGCGCTGACTCTGCCGATCACGGGCGTTCTTCTTCTTATTATTATTATACTGACGGCAACTAACATCCATTCTGATTGCATTTACTCGTCTCCCTACTTCGTATTTCTTTCAGAAAATCTCCCCATACAGCAGGGAGTCGTTTACATAATATGACTCCCTGCTGTATGGGGAGATTTTCTGATTGCATTCACTCGTCTCCCTACTTCGTATTTTTTTTCAGAAAATCTCCCCATACAGCTGGGAGTCGTTTACATAATATGACTCCCTGCTATAGATCTACATGACTGTATATACGTTATAATTACTCAATCTGATACGTTATAATTATTATGCTATCAGCCTACATGCGATCCCCGGGCTGGTCGACAGGCGGACCAGCCAGCCTGCTAGTGGGTTCTCGGCCTCGCACACAAATCCACACAAAATGTTACTGCACTGAATGCATTCCCCCGATACACTTCGCATATATACTCATTCTCTTGATGGTACCGTACTCTTGATGGTACGGGACAGGTAGGGGATAGCGCCAGGCATGTCAATGGCACAAACAAACAAACATATAGTAGCCAGCTGTCTTTGCTGGTACGGTACAGTACGGTACAGATACGGGATAGCGCCAGGCGTGACACAAACAAACAAACAAACAAACAAACACCAAATTAAAGCTGTGTGGACCCTGGCTAGCGCCAGACGTTACTGAAGTAACGTCTTCTGCATAGCTACGGGAATAATACTCCATTTTCTGGGGCAGGGCGCCCCTGTTGTAGAACCCGCTTGTTGCCTCCTACTGACATGTTCCCAAAATAGTGGTACAGTCGTCCCTCTTCAATCCAGCACTTATAAGTACAAGCGAGAGTACATAACCCCCAAGAGTGTGCAACTCCAGCTATGGGGTCTGCGACGGCAGAACTTCACATCACGTGATGAACCCGTACACATTATGTGCACTCTGTGCATGATTGATACAGGGTTGTACGCAGCCCAGCTTTGGGTACAACTCTCTTGTGGTCACTTTGCACTGTTTGCCAGCATAACCTTTTGAACCATGTCACGTGATGTGAAGTTCTGCCGTCGCAGCACAGCATAGAGGTTGTGCAGGCAGTTGCACACTCTTGGGGGTTATGTACTCTTGGTACAAGGCACTAGTCCTATCGCTGCAATCAAGTCCAGCGATAAGAGTAAGCCCTATCTACACGTGTGCGTGACCACCGCTGTACCTTCTGACTGCAGCCTGACTGGACGGGTGACCGTGGTTGCTATGCTGATGAAGCACGTCCAATATCTGACAGCCATGCATCTGCACGCACACACACGCACACGCATACACACACACACACACACACACACACACACACACACACACACACACACACACACACACACACACACACCAGAATCAGCACTGGGTGAAACAGCAATATACTTGGATCAAGTGCACCTGACCGTTTCCGGTACAAACACCCAGATGAAGGTAAACAGGTCTGACATGGCGGTGCACACTTCAAGGCTACTAGTACTACTCTGTTGCCGAGTGACAGCCTTCTTATTTCAAACACGAGATGAGGACAACCATCCCGAAAAGCAAACAATCGTGTGCCAAGGGTAACACAACAGGCAGAACATAGCAGTAAAGAAAAGCAAAGGAAAAGTTGGCACTCGCGTCTGCATCATCATACAAACAAAGGAAATGAGTACCTGGACTGGCACACCATACCTTCTTGTTCTTTAGGTCATCGAAGAGCAGACCGAGTGTCGTGAATAATGTCTGATACTGCGCACACACACACACACATACGCGCACGCACACACACACAAACACACACACACACACGCACACACATATACACACACAGTAGGAAGAGAGGAAGTTTAACGTTACAAATCAGAGCTTCACGCTCTGGGCAATCTTCAAACGTGGTAACACACACATACGGACAACAGAAAAACGAAAAAGAGAAGTGCACGAAGTTACATCGTCCCCGACAAGCCATACACCAGAGAAAGGCACACAGGCAAAAACTAACTCTGACAAAAACAGATGTAAGAGAAGCACTCTGATATTGAATCTTACCGGCTCAACAGTGCGCACAATGTGCGTCAGCGCAACCTGTCCGTTCTCCACAATCTGCATCGTGATAGTCGCATACGAAAGAGTATACAACATACAATGTCAATGGCTTGCGAGAAGGCTTGCAAACACTCACAGTCACACACCACATACCCAACTATACACACAGGAGGAGGAAGAGAAGGAGGAGGAGGAGGAGGAGGAGGAGGAGGAGGAGGAGGAGGAGGAGGAGGAGGAGGAGGAGGAGGAGGAGGAGGAGGAGGAGGAGGAGGAGGAGGAGGAGGAGGAGGAGGAGGAGGAGGAGGAGGAAGAACGGCACCAAAACACCAAAGTGTACAAACCCATGAACAAACCCCTGAATGAAGCAGAACACACACACACACACACACACACACACACACACACACACACACACACACACACACACACACACACACACACACGGTATAACATCAAAACAAGAACAATCGCAGGCTGAAAGAGACAGAGAGCTTGATGCTGCACACGTACAATGCGCAAACCGATCATACCTCATCTTCCAAGGCAACCAGGTCCTTCAAATAGTCCGTGAGAATCTGCCGCAGGCCATCGCACAGAGCACGCCAATAGTGGCCATTGCCTACAGTAACAAGAAGAGTGCCAAACACAGAAGTCACTACAAACACATCAAACTAATGAAATAGGTTTTATTAAAGGGGAAGTCCGGTGAAAAATTTAAATTTCAGGGTCGGTAGAGTTTCGGGCGCTGAGTCGAATGGTGTTGGTCCCACGTGTCTTTGACAAAGCGTTCTCGAGATATTTCCGTTTGAAAAACTGAGTTTCGGGGGCTGCGCCATGACGTCATGCGGCCGCGCCACACCCTCCGCAACGTCATAGCGTGCAGCTAGGTCAAAAGGAGTGCGTGTCTGCGTGAAAGCAATAGTGTCAGTGCTATTTCAAATGATTTGGCGACTGATATTAGGTGGTGCAAGCGACCCCGAAGACCTAACTCCTTGTGAGAGTGAGGATGCAGCCATGGCTGACCTTCATGAGTTTGGTCTGGGGCTGAGAACCTCGGTATTCAGCTGAAGAAATGGCCGCGCGGGCCGGTCAAGAGTGAGCGCTACTGAGTTTCCGACTGATGAAGAAGCAGCAGCTATTGCAGACGAGGCTGATATAATTATCAGATCGCTGGAGAGCAGGGTCGCCAAAATGGAGAAGAGTGATGCGAGTGCTCTAAATGTTGTTCCATACCGATTCACTTAGACTCCAGTAGCCTGCCACATGGTGATGTTTTGGTGCGAACTTGGCATATTTCGGACTACTCAATTGGAGAACACTGCAGGCTCTTTGAACCACGGGCACGACTCTTCGCTCGCAACGCTATGGAATCTGAAAGTTCTAGGTCCTGGAGCTGTTCGCTGTTTTGTCACTTGTCACGGTTGTGCACTCATCGCTGTAGCATAAAATAATGAGGCGGGACTGGAGCGGAAAACTAAAATTTTCTTTCTCAAAGCACAACCACCGGCACCGGCAAGGAGAAACGCACGTTCTCTGACTACATGACTGGACGACTGATGCGAGTGTAGTACATGACAAGTCCGTGTGTTGACTAGTTTTCTGAGTCTTGTGTCTCGAGTCTTGTTGTAGATACTAGCCCAGCACGGCAGTGCGGGAGTAGTTCCGTGTGTGATGAGTTTGTTGACTGCACTACCTGACTACAGCTAGCATGCACGCAGCGCATTGCTAGAGCCGTAGAGGCCATTGCATGCTGACGGAAAAAGTCCAACTCCGGAAACGGCTAAAATACGGTATAACCTCGAGGTTTAGCGAGCTGAAAATCACAGGGTACGTAGTGTTTGTAACACTGAATCGAATGGTCTTGCTCCGAAGAAGCTGCGACAAACGGTTCCCCAATCGAACGCGCTCCGAATATGGCCATTTTGTACACGACTAGATGGTGTGGCTACCTGGCTGCACGCTGTGACGTCATCACCTGGATCTGGGTGATGCGCGCTCAAATTCGCACATGTTCGATTGGGCGTATCTGACGAACCATAGGCCGCAGCCTCCTCGGACAAAGACCATTCGACTCAGCGACCCGAACTCTACGGACTGTGAAATTTAAATTTTTCACCGGACTTCCCCTTTAATGCGATGAATAATATCAGTGAGGCAGACAATACGAAAATACAAACAAGAATAATATTATGGTGAATCTTCATGTAAGAAATAGGCATTCCGGTACACATATCAAGTGAATTGACTGACGGGGGAGCCGGCTAGATCCAACCCCAAGATGTCACTGCTGAAGGGGGCAGGAACGTGTGCTGCACACCATGGTGTACTCCTCATTCCTACACGTATATACAGTGTAGAAACCTACGTGCAACCCCACCCCACCCCACATACACCCGTACCCAGATACACCCTGGCAAAGGAGAAGAATCAAAACGCATGCATAGCTTTGCAACAACATTGCATTGCTCAAGCACTGAGCTTCCATGACCTCAGTGGGAACCATCGGCAGCATATTAATCTGAAATGCTGCTAGGCACAACATACACCAGGAACAATGGCATAGGAAAGGATCACACGAGGCCAACACAATAACTACTATACGGCTGCCATACTTGCGGTCGGTATGTCATCCTGCTCCTCGACGATGCGATAAAACCGCATGTACAGCGTGCCCAGTCTGCAGAGGCGGTTCAAGAAGTCCCTCTCGCTGCTAGTGATCCAGGACAGGTCTTGCGCTACCTGAACGCACACACACACACACACACACACACACACACACACACACACGCGCGCGCACGATGTTGCATGCCAAGGGGATTCACAACTAGTCTGCTTGATCAGGCTTCAACAAACCCGATCGGCATACGCCGGAATCGCACGCGGTGCATGCCCACATCTGACAAAAAAAAAATTCACGGTTCGCGTGAGACTCGGTTTCTCTATACAGAGGCTGAGTTTTCCGCATCCGTAGGAACGCCACCACCCTTCACGGATCAAGGCGCAGATGCAGCTCCTAAAGCGGTGGGAGGTGAGTAGATCAGCTGACCAGCATGTCACGTGGTCAAAGACCGAAAATCCCATTCACTGCATCCATGACAAAAACTGAACTAAAAGTAAAACTGAACATGCAACTGTGACGCATTAAAAATTTAAAACTTCAATTGTTGCATATAGGTTTCTAGGATACAAAAAAAAACAATCAAACTAAGCAAAAAACAAAACTTCAGACTCTTCACAAGCAACATTCAGAAGCTTCAGAACCTTCCACAAGTAATTGTATTGCCTTCCTGTCAGTAGGATACGGGCAGAAAAGAAACCAACTGCTTGTAGGACAATGACATTTATACAGCATATAGGTGATACCAAGTGTCCATAACCCCCTCTTGGTGATACAAACAGCAGCAGGCGAGAACAAACCTAGAAAGAGGAATAATGTGTTGATTCTTGCACACATCGGAACATTGCAAACCCTGTACATGTAGTCTGCACCAGTGGTGGAGGTGTGAAGAAATGTAATCAGCGCGATACGCACTGGGGTAACGCAGAAGTCAGAACGAGTGTCACGCCAAGCGATCGTCAGGCGACGCAGTAACCATGGTAACACCGAGCGAGGAAACAAGCTCGTATATGTACATGTATTGCCAGGGCAGTCAGTGGTTGGCAACGGGTGTGATGGTGTGGACTATTGTCCAGGTGGTGAATCACTGAATGGCAGTATAGGTGCAACACTCTACAGTGTAGTAATTGCAGCAATAGAGCGGTCTGCTACCATGGCTACGGCTCAAACAAGATGGTGGGAAATGTACCGTGCTTCTTGATGAAATCCGATCGCGTGAATCCAGTTGGCACCCCAGCGCCACTTCACACCCCAGTGCTCGCAGGTCTAGGGCTGCACAGCGCCCTACATACAGACATCGACCCCATTTATCACCGTTAATTTGACCATCGGGCATCGTAGTATAAGACGCACATGATGTTCACTGGCCTCGCATTACATGTACTTTAAAACAAACAAAAACGGAAGAAAAAAGTAATCCGCATGCACCTGAGTCGGCTGGACATAGTTGCCTTCAGTCATGATTCTCCTAGCAAGAGTTTAAACTTTCGTTTTCTGTTTTGTCGTTTGGCTCTCTACTTGTTGATATCTCTCTGAAATGTTCGTCTTTGAATAACAACTTTCAGACTGCCCGTTGGTCGAGTTGTATGCTTGTGTGACGAAGTTCCCTAACATCCATATCTATTACGGAGTGTTAGCCGCACTTAAAACACATGAGAAAAAAACAACACAAACTTCGCCTCTGTGCTGCTGCACGTGAAGTAGCCGATCATTGTACTAGCGGGAAGCTTCTACATGTTATTAGTTCGGAGTGCAGGACCTAGGATATTTCTAAATTTCACTAGAACTTCAGTCGTGCCTCTCAAGTCTCAAACAACTTGCATTTCAGTTGTGAGTAGGGGTGAAACAACTGAGTCGGAAAGTCGACTGGCCAGTCGATAAGGTTGAGTCGACAGAAGGAACCCTGATCTGCTTGCACATACATGTATCAGAGACGTAGGAGGGGTTTTGGAAGTGGTACGACCGAAGGTCGGCGCGGCCGAAGGCCGTGTTGAAGGGTGGTCCGGGGGACCTCCCCCAGGAGAATTTTGTAAAATAGACACAAAATCCTGCGTTCTGGGAACTTCTGGCACACTTCTGGCGCAGTGTGCAGTCGAGTCGAGTACAGTACTCAGTACGACTGCAGATGCATGGCAGATCTACGAGTACGAGTCTAGAAAAAGGTCATAGTCTGATGCGCATATGCATCGATGGATCCTGATTTTTTTATTTAATACGGTTTTGCACGTTTCGGACGGACCACCCTTTTCGAAAAGTGGTACGGCCATGGTCGTACCAGTCGTAGCGGGTGCTACGCCCCTGTGTATGTTAAAAATATACATGACTGCCCAGAAGTATGATGTCGTACACTCGAAATAGTTCATGCACTTGTCCTGCCACATACTGTGAAGTACACTTGACATAGGAATTAATTCACATCGCGTTAACACACAGCCGAGTACAGGAACGCTGCAAAACACATTCCGCTGTACTTGAAACTTACAATGTGCTCATATTGTGCTTCTTTGAAACCTACATTGTGCTCATACTGTATTGTGCTTCTGTTCGCTTGTGCATGGGTGGGCGAACATACATGTGCATCTATGTATGAGTAAATATGCTGTGCTTTAGTAATTGCTTATGTTCATGTGTGTGAGAGCAATGTCAGTGGATAGTCAGTCTATAGCACTGAATCTACTCGATAAGGAATTTGGCCCAGTCGTTCACCCCTAGTTCTTAGACACCGGCAGTGCCTTCATAGGTACCGGTACCGATTTGATCTGCCATTTGTTGATGAGGAATGTTGAGTTCGAATGATCAAAACATTCACAGTCTGATGCGCTGCTTATACTAACCTCCAGCTCAACTCCATTGACCTGAACAAACACAGCACCGGGGTGGCCACCCAAGGCTAGCAGCAACTCTCGTAGCATAATGCCCACAGGCAGAACGCGATGGTGTCGCGGCTACGCTGTGGCTGCCGCAAGCATCAGGGTGATAGGCCTGGTTTGTTTGGACACCCTCCTGCTATGCACCCAGTATTGTCAGTCAGCATTGGATCTGCAGCATATAGGCTAAGTTGGTTGTCTCCCTGACGTGAGAGATTCCTCTTCGAACAGTACTAAAGCAGTTGCTTGTTGTCACCAGAAACTTCCCATATCAGCAGCATCAAGAGTAATGCTGTAGCTGCTGCTCTTTCACTATTTTTCTTCTACTCTCTGGTTCAAATAATTTTTGTGGCAGCTGCGAGGTCGAACACTGGCGCATGGCAGCTCATGGGGCCACCAAATTACCCGCCAAATGCTTACACAAAAAACATTTTTTTCAAAATTATTGTGGTCCGGTTATTTTTCCTTCTCTTTATTTTGCGCATACCGTATTAATTTTTTTACCGTATAAATATTGTGGTATTTTTTTACATGCTGGCCATGCATAGCATACTGACTCCTGAGTAACCTATCCATATCCAGGGATTCTCCACTTGTGCGATATTGAATGGGTAGCATAACGGGAGGGGGGCGGGGGAATATGAACAATCAACGTAGCCACTTCTTGCAATAATAATAATAATTTATAAACAACTAAACATCCAGCGATTCATGAGCCTCTACCTCCTATGAGAAGTATGACGTGTTGATCATGTCAGCGACAGCAAGAGTACATAAGCCCGGGGTTATGTACTCTTGTCGACAGTGGACTGATATCTGGGGGGAGGAGGGGCAATGAAAAATTCCTGTTACTTTTGTAGTGTAGGCACATATCTCCCCGGACATCATGTGCATTCATGATAACCCAACCCACCCTGCCACTGCTCAGCCAGCAGCAAGCGCAGATGACCATCGGGTATACAGTAAGACGCAGTGGATAAGCGGAACAAGAACGGTACATGAAGCAGTTGTACACTGTGACACTGCTGCCTGGTGCTTGTTACTACAGTAGAGAGTAGCACGCCGAAGAACGCACAACCTGAAATGCTAAGAACGCAACAGCCTAAAGTTAAGAATGGCGGTACATGTTTTGGTTTTCCAGCAGCTCTTAAGATACATGAGATCCAGCACGAATTGTTTCTAAGAACGTGCTAGAAGAATGCAGCCAGATTGCTGAAAAATAAGAACGCCTCAGGCTATAACCCCTTGGGAACAACGTTCTTGGACATGCGACTCTACTGTAGAGTCTACCAGGGAGTAGTAAAATACTACTCCCTCACCCCGGGTTACCAGTGGTTACTACCCAGGTCATAAAACTAAAATTTGCCAATGTAAGGTAAGGACTCCCAGTGTCAGCTGCACTCCAATGGTGTTCTGTGCATGTCCGCCAAACATAGCACAGGAAAAAGTTTGATTGTTGCGGTGGCAGTCAAACGAAATTTCCACTATAGAATGTGTGGCGGACAATCAAAAACTGAACAGCAGGGGAAATTAGACAACCTTTCCTATCTTAGGGAAATGTACAGGGTTGGGAACTACGAGACGAGATGAGATAGTACCGTAGTCCTCCAGGTATGTGCATGGCCTAGTTCTACTGCACACACCTGTAAGGCCACACGTTTTTATTTCTATGTTTCTCGTCACCCGCACGCATACGATTCAGGAGTCTGGAAGAAAAAAAGAAGAAAACAACTGTGCTGCACTGACTGTGCATGTGGGGACCAGCACACTCATGCACATAATGTGGCCTGGACTGCGCGACACATGATGCGAGGTCGGCATTTTTTGTGCGCAATCTAGCTGCACATGCATAGATTGTGTTAGAAGCTCCTACCACATACTAGTTGCAAACTATGGATGCTATTTTGCATGGTGTATTGGTGGATTTTAGTGTGAACAAAGGTCTAGTATTTTTTTTGGTAATTTTTTATTTTTTCCACCTCTCGCAGACGTTTAGATTTTCAGGTGACGAGAAATATAGAAATAAAAACGTGTGGCCTAACGCCCAGGAAAAAGCATGAAGGAAAGGAAAGAAAGCGGTGGGATGAGAGAGAGCGAGGGGGCAAGTGGTCTCAAGATGCTGAAGAACACGACTCAGGAGCAGGCATGATGCCCAGACAATGACAAAACAATCATCAAGACACTGACAAAACACCATTCGACGAAAAGCACAGATCAATAGAAACAAGCAGGGCACCGTGACAGCAGCGGGGATCCATTTTAGCGACAGCATTCGGTAACAGGTTTCCACACAGACAAAACACTATTCGACAACAAAAAGTACAGATCAACAGAAACAAGCAGGGCACTGTACCAACAATGGGCGGGGGGCTCAGTTCAGCGACAATATGCAGTAACAGGTTTCCAGCAAGCAGCATGTGTGTAGCAAAGTATGTACAAAGCTGTTAGAGAACAATGTGGACGGGGGAGGGGGTCTCAGTGGCATGTTGCAGTAGATTACTGCCAACAGTACGTACTGCAAGCTACAAGCAGACAGCACCAGTTATTAGGTTTTCATTGCCACCGAGCACAACGCAATCCTGCTTACAATGGATCATTGGAGAAGAGGTAGGAAACAGACTCGCCATTATGGGTGCGGCGAATTGCCTCGGCCAGGATTGAGGAGACGTCAATGATCTACAACCAAGTAACAGCAACAGAAGAAAGCAAATTGCACATGTGTGTTGTTAGGAGGCTAGACGTACCAGTACCAGGCGCCTTCTGTTCTGCTTAGCTACGGGAACAAAACTTGGTGCTAAGAGATGGCTGCTTGCGGGCTCGCAATCCTTGAATCAACGAAGTACATGGCTCACGATCAGAGAGCTGTATAGACCTGGTAGGCCCGAAAATGTCATGAGTCTGATTTATCCGCTTTCTTTGGATCAAAACTTCAGTTCTACTCACTCAATCTTCACAGTCTAGGGCTTGTAAATGCATGTAGCATGTAGATGTGTGTACGTGCGTGTGTGTGTGTGTGTGCCAGACTTGCGTAACCAAACACAGCAGGACTCCACACCAGCGCTAATTGGCGTTGCGCCTGGCGCAAAACCTGAGCGTGACCCAACTATAAGGGGCCTAGAAGGCATGGTGTTGTCCGGGCCTTTGATGGCTGGCATGGTAGACAGTACCAGGATCGAAAAATTCTACAGTGCATGCTAGTAACTGTTAACCCTTTGAGCACACATGACGTATTATTACGTCACGTACAGTGTCACTGCTCCCACGCGTGACGTATTATTACGTCGTGAGTGTACATAGCGTACAAACGCGATTTGCATGAACCGCGTGAGTTCAAACTATCGTAGCTCGGTCAATTCTTGGCCGATTCTCACGATCGAAACATGTATCTGCAAGAGAAACTCTCAGCTTGCGATAGAAACAATCGCCGAAGCGATACGACCCCAGGTTGTTGAGATATGCGACTCGACACGGCAAATTCAAATCGATTTTTGCGTACTCTGCAGAACGCGTATTTTCCATTTTCGAGCTATCTGCTGCCATGGAAACTAGATTCAAATGATGGCAGCGCGCGGATCTGGGGAGTCCTAAATAAAATTTGAGCTCATACGAGCAAGGAGAGTGAAATGGCAGCTGAGGATTTGATCTCCTGGCCGTGCTCAAGTCTGTCGAGCGCGTGCGTGAAGTTTGCCAGACTGTAGCATGGGCTTTTGGTGTCGCTCCGAGCTGGGCTTGGAACTATTTTGTTCCTCGCCTCAAGACCTTTGCAGGAAGCTCAAGATCGTGGAATTCGTCCAAGGGAAGGTAAAGTTATCGATCCTTCAACAGCTACTACTTTCATAGGAAAAACGCGATTTTTGCAGGTGTTGACGTGGGGTGGCATTCAGGTAGCGTTGTGCTCAAAAGGTTCAGCGGGATTCTTGCGCTGCGACAGCGGAGTGCAAATGTGAACTGACGAAATACCATTCACAGAAGAAGTCAGCGATGCGACGACGCCTTGCTGATTTGGTGCCTAGTTCAATTCAAGTGAGTACTGAGTACGTCACCATGGTATTACCTATTCATGTGACTTGGTACAACTAACTTTTACAAAATCTACAAGCAACTCTGAACCTTTGTACAACTTTGCTGCAGAAAAGGTAAAAGCCGTACGAAAGTTGCCAAGTTCAACTTCTGCAATGGCCCAGTTAGTGGCAGTTACGACAGTTGCGTGGGCTGCGAGATGGATGCGATTTGGGGATTTCCCAGTTTCGTGGCCGTCACCGTGCTTCGCATCGGAAGAATGCTTCTGTGAATCCCGCTTTACAGCCACTGAACAATGCATCTCAATTGGAAAATAAGCTCCCACCACCACCCTACTAGCTAGGACTTACCCGCAGCTTATCACATGCTTCCTTCCGTTCATCCTGAGGAATGGTATTCGTGACGGCTATCGCCTCCAGGGGAGAGTCCAGGATGCGGCGAATGGATGGCCCCGAGAGAACACCGTGGGTCATGATAGCATAGATGGCCTTTGCACCAGCCTCCTCCAGCCTGTAGCAGAGAGATAGAGAGAGATAGAGAGAAAAGAGAGATTCAGTTGTCTGATGATTGTCTAAGGGGCCGTCCAAAGTTACTAATAATATTTTCAAAACGAAAAGATTTCGTTTGGGGGTGGGTGGATTTGATGGAGTTTCGTTCTGAAAATAATTATTGAATGCAGATGGAGAATGTCCAGTTACTTTCGAGTGTCGAAAATTGACATCAATATTTTACTGGAATTCGTTTTACCTGCAGAAAAGGTGGGTGGGCGGGGGAGCTGAGAAATACTAAAACTTTTTGTTTTGTAAAAACAATCGGTAACCCCAGACGGTCCCTAAGGGCAAGAAACTATATTTATAGTAGCTACAACGAAGATGAGTGGTGCACTGTGTCCTGCGTGTAAAGAGAGAGAAAGAGTATGTAAGTGAATACTGTGCACTAGTAAAAATATTAATCAAAGACGCAACAAGCCTGGTAAACAGACAAAACAAAAACAGACAGACAGCTAAGTAATTACTCACTTCTTTGCTGCAAGGCCCATGGTACCGCAGGTATCGGCCATGTCGTCGACTAGGATGGCCACCTTGCCACTGACATCACCGACCAGTACCATGCTGGCGACTTCGTTTGCTTGTTTCCTCTGAACAAAAAAAGACAGCAGTTTGGCACGATAAACACAAGATAAGTCTGGACATCTCCACATAGTCATTCACTGCATGACCAGTTGTAAACGGCATGCTCCAGTCAGCATATTACCCACGGGCTCGCACCATGCAGATGGACCCTGTTTAACCACAGGGCTAACTCAACACAAAAACACAAGGCGACACATAGACCTACGAAACACACAACAAAATTGAACCACCTACCTCCTTATGAATCAGAGCAAAATTGACTTTGAGCTGGTCAGCAATGGAGGTTACACTAAAAGCATAGACAAGACAACAAGAACATGTTGAAATCGTATGCGTGAACCATTCACAGTGCGTACATTACTCGCAATCCTAACACAGTTACCCTAGCTGAAATCACAGGACAAACACACACGCTCGAAGGCGACGACAGCAAACGCCCAAACACAAAATAACGACTAAAAATATCGTACCGCTTAGCACCGCCTGCATCTGGTGAAACGATAACAGAGTTATCCCACTCGGCAATGTGCGACTTGATCCAACGAATCACAGCTGGCTCGGCATATAGGTTGTCAACTGGGATATCAAAGAAACCCTGCAAATAACAAGTAAAAAAATTAAAATTAAAAACCAGAAGCACATTGCTAAGAATAAGTAAGCTCCGAAGAGTGTGGCGAAAACTCACATCACATGTTTCAAATACATTTCATACTACAATGTATGTGCAACGACGGCCAGCATGCGCGCAGTCCGAATATCTGCCAGGATCATGCTGATGACTGGCATAAGCCGAGTGGGTTTCCGTCAGGGAGTGCTAGTTTTACTACTCCACTGGTCGCTAAAAACAGGCTGGGTATGTACAACGGGAATACAGTCAACTTTGCGAATAACGACATTCGGCGGGGCATCAGAAAAGTGTCCTTATTCGCGAAGTGTCCTTATATCCGAAGTCCCATTTGAATGTATGTGAACCCACATTTTGTATAGTATGACATGCATATCGAAATGAAGCTCGTTTCATGCTCTACGTCAATTTGTACTTTATTTTCGTATTGCAATTGAAAGGAACTATAAAGTCAATATCCAAGGGGAATAAATTGAAAAATTAACCTTTTGGAGCCATCTACAGGGACATGTTCATGTACATGTATGAAGATTAATGTGCAATCATGTACATGTACAATAGGTGTGCTGATCATTCCAACTATTTTGAAGCAAAATTAAAAATAAAAAGCCCCCCCACATATCTAGGCAGGTAGGTGTGTGTGTGTGTGTGTGTGTGTGTGTGTGTGTGTGTGTGTGTGTGTGTGTGTCGAGGCCTGTGTTCTGTCCTTACTGCTCTATTGTGCGGAGACGTGGGTACCGCTGCAAAGTGATGTGCAACGGATCACGACCTTCTACTACCGGTCGCTTCTTTCCATCATGAGTGTTGCACAGCGGGATGTGTGGGACTTGAAGATAGCCAAGGACACCATTCTGAAAACATGGAATGCAGCAAACCCACAGGATATCCCCGACCGCCTCATGCAGAGAAGACTGGAATGGCTTGGGCACGTAGTACGCATGCCTGAGGAGCGGATGCCGCGGATGTAGTTGTTTGGCACATTGCTGCCGCCACGCCCAGCGTGTGGCCCGCGGAAACGATGGCGAGACGCAATTAGGGTCGACCTGCGACGAATAAACATCGCCGACGAGTCATGGTTTGACACAGCGCAGGAACGATCTGAGTGGCGGCAAGCTTATCGAGCAAAACAACCAGCTCAGAAACTGGCCCGGGAGATAGTCTGCGAGGTGTGCCGGCGTGCATTTGCTCGGCAGCAAGATATCGCCCGCCACAAGTGCATCATGGAACGGCGTAAACCAGTCCAGCAGCAAGCCAACAGCCGCCAGTGCTCCCAGTGTCACCGATGGTTTCGGAGTGCGGGTGGCATTGCAGTCCATCGCTGTGTCCAGTCCAGTTCTGCCCCGAATGTTGCCAATGCCACAAGCTCTTCACCTGTACGCCTATGTATTCGGAAACCGTGCTGTACCACTCACCGTCCCATTTGTGAACGCTGCTGTAGCCAATCCGGGGCTTTGCTATCCACAACTGCAACCGATCCACCAGGCGCCCAACTGCTGATGAAAGGGATACGTTCCAATTGCAATGTCAGAATTGCCAGAGGCGTTTCAAAAGGCGAAACGACTTATCCCGTCACCAACGCTCATGTCTCCTCTCGTCCCCGTCTCGCTCAACGAGAAACACGTGACCTACATGGCAGTGTATACCAGGACCAGGACCAGGTGTGTGTGTGTGTGTGTGTGTGACGGTGCTCACCTGTATCTGAGAGGCATGTAGGTCCATGGTGATAATGTGCTCAGCCCCAGCCACCGACAGCATGTTAGCGACAAGTTTGGCCGAGATCGGTGCACGGCTCTAAACACAACATATGCAGGAATAAGAAGAAAGTACCAGTACAATAAACGGTTAATCCTGGATTTAAACTTAAAGGCAAGGGCGAATGATGACAGGTTTCGGCAGTTGACCGAGCTCCATATCGGTCGCTTACATGATTTAACGATTGTCCATTATACTCTCCACAAGACAAATTATGAGAACATGCCTGTTCTGGAGGGAATATCGGGAGTCAATTGCGACTCGGTTGGGAATACATATGCTACATGATGTAACATCAGGGAATCCAAAAATATTTACGGCTCCCTGATGTACATGTACATACAGTAGCCGCATTTGAACGGACCCGGCTCCGAGCCGGTTGGACGAATTGTGCCAGGTACACGTGTACCCGGTTGGTTTGAAATCCTAGAGTAGATACTACAGTCCATTTCAAAACTATAGACGCGCAGTGTTTTTGAAATATTTCAAATTTGGCTGGAACCTTTTGAGAATAGTTTCCGGAATATTGCTCAGGTCCGTTCCACAATTACTCTCATATAGTTTCTAAACGATTGGATAACAGACGCCCAATTTGGAAATATCTATGCACAAAGTGATCACAGATTTTATGTGGTATAGATGCTGGCATAACGGGTTTTGCCTAGGTACGCGTCTATAGTTTTGAAATGGACTGTAGAGACGGGTCCTGACGGGGCGGACCATCATACGGCCACAACACTCCCTGCTATAGCCTCTCCTCTCCCATGCCCACTTCATTCCGGATCATGGTCATGATGAACGAAACGCTGAGCTATTTACAAGCCTTTGTGTGAAAGGCAGCCGTTGGTATGAAAATTCGAAGTTTATAATAACACCGCCTTTTATAGCATGCAGTAAAGACTGGTTTTCTGCGCACCGGACATTGTTGACGGATGGGCAGCAGAACAAACGAAATACAAAAAATAAGGATCACTGACCAACCAATGCAGGCAACTGAAGTCAAAAGACAGACAATGGAACACCAGTGCCAGCATCAAGCTGCACCAAATGGACCAGCGGTTTTGTACAGCGACATCTTAATAAAGGTACATACCTACATGTATACAGTAGATACTGTAATTTCACAAATTTTCGGTGTACTTTTATTTTCGGTACTTTCGGTGCATCTGTTTCATACCTAAAATTTCAAAACACCAAACAAACACGAACACACATAATCCAATAGGGAACTGCTGCTCTGTACCTAAAATTTCTGTTCACACCTAACCTGGCCTGTTGCCCTCATACCAAAAATATTGAGCACCGAAAATTTCTGAAATTAGAGTAGTCGATTATCTGCCTTCGGGGCAAACGCCGTTCAGAAGAGCTTCGGATACTGAGAGTGTCACAGATAATCGATGCCCTGCTGCACTTTACAAGTGCACGGACGGTACGGCCATGCATGCAGACTAGACCCAATGCAGTAGTAGTATGATAATGCACAACAGTACAACAAGCAGTGCTGATATACATAAAACGGAGTGGCTCTGCACCATAACCAGTGGGCTGGATATCAGCTGTACATGTCACTCTGTAGTGCATATTCACGAACATTCTACAGTCCATGCACACGTGACATTGCGCAATGATTGCATAGGCAAATTCTAGTTACTTCCCTTTTGATTACGTAGTGATTACATCACTTACACATTACCCATTTGCCACATCGAGCGTATGACGTTTTTCCATGTTCTTTCTCTCTTGCATGTCATGATGCAATACTGATTGCACCTACATGATGCAATACTGCTTTGTACTTACATCAGCAATTGCAATTCTCATGACCACATCCGTTTCCTTCTTGCACTTTCTACCGCAACGCACAATTGCTAACGCTTCTCTCTCTACCCTATATAAGCTGCATTCGCTTGCATATTATTCAGATCAATCGTAATCTTTTCCATTCCGACTCAACTTGAATTAGTGCTTTCTTAGTTGTAATAAAACGTTGTGTTCCACGACCCGTTGCACGGCTGAGTTGAATCTAGCGAAGCACTAAATTGGTGACCCCGACGTGATCGATTTCCGACCTGATTCAACGTTCTGTGCAATTTTTAGAAATGTCTGACAACGATCAACCCGCTCTCGAGGCTAATGCCGCTCCAGACCAAGCTGCAAACCCCGCTGGAAACGCTGGTCCACCAGACGCTCCGGCCCAAGACGGCCCTGCCGCAAGGACCATCGCGCCAGTCAACTTCAAACTGCCGCCGTTCTGGCCAGGTGACCCGCAGTTATGGTTTGCGCAGGCTGAAGCTCACTTCTCCAACCACCGGATTAACACCTCCCGAGCACGGTACAATGTGATCGTGTCATCGCTAGCTCCGGAGTTTGCAACAGAGATCCGTGACCTGTTGATCGCTCCACCGGAAGACGAACCCTACGCCAAACTGAGGGCTGCACTCACAACACGGACGCAAAAGTCGGAGCAAATCCGTCTTCGAGAGCTGTTGTCAACCGCCGACGTCGGTGACAGCAAACCCAGCAAGGTCCTACGCAGAATGCAGCAGCTACTGGGAGGAAAATCGCTTGACCCTTCTATCTTGCGGGAACTCTTCGTGCAACGTCTACCCCCAGCTGTCCGTCAGATTCTAGCAGCTACCCCTACGACTCTGTCTCTGGAGGAGTTAGCGGCCCTCGCTGACAAAGTGGCCGAGTCTACAGTCCCATCAGCGAACACTCAAGTACACGCAGTTTCGGAAAAGGCCACTTCAAAAACTGCTGCAGTCGGCTCAACTGCCTCAAGTGCTACCACTTGTTTCAGCCCCAGCTCTGACTCGACGACTCAGCTGTCGCTACTCCGTTCGGACTTGGACAAGCTGTGTCTGACTGTACAAGCGCTAACCAAGGTGCGCTCCCGTGGACGTGACGATTGCCCCATCAAAACGGCGGGATTTCCAACACGGGATCGGCGCACTGGACGCAGCGCTTCCCGCTCTCCCAGCCGCGCCGTACGCATTGAGGACACCGATAGCGACGACGTCTGCTGGTTCCACGCCAAGTTTGGTGACAAAGCTCGACGTTGCCGAGCTCCATGCCGTCTGTCGGGAAACGGGACCGCCAGCCGCTAATCGCGACCACTAGCCCGGCTGGCTCCACCTCCACTTCTGAAGGTCGCCTCCTGTATATGCGTGACCGTGTCAACGGAATCAATTTCCTGATCGACACCGGCGCCTCAGTAAGTGTACTTCCTCCGTCCTTTGCTACCTCTGTAAAACGTTGTCATAGATATTGTATTAAAAACAAAAGTTATCCGACCGTCAAAGTGGACAAATGTTCAGTCGCAGCGAGACGACGCGACCCACTATAATGGTAACTTTAGTTTCCCTTGGGTGATAATGGCAATCTTGGGTTTTTTGGAAAGCTTGAGCCATGACGAGTTCTCTAGAAACAGTTTCTAGCCGTGTAAGAGGAACAACAATTTATCTCTAATTCCATTTTCTGAAGAGAAATACGGCTCATCGACATGTGGACTATTTGTAGTCTTAAATTTGTACTTTCATGCTACCATTTTTTTGAATATATCATCAGGGAAGCCTACAGGCAAAGTTACGCTCCGGTTTTTGCAAATGAATGGTGGGTCTTTCCTTCTTCTTTTGAAACCAAAATGGTGCAGATTCGATCAAAACAAGCGAGTTACAGCTTTAAAAGTCATCGACGGATAGTCGTTTGAGTTTTCACTGGCCGGTTGGATAAGGGTTAAAAGAAAAAGCAACACCGATTACCTTGTCCTTCTTGTCTTGCCTGGCGTACGGATAACAAGGGATGACCGCGGTGACACGGCTAGCCGATGCAGTCTTGCAGGCATTGATCATGATCAACAGCTCCATCAGATTGTCATTCACCTCTCCGCAGCCACTCTGGATAATGTACACATCTTCTCCGCGGACCGATTCGCCAATTTCAACACTGCGGCGCAATGGCAATACATACATACACGAAGAAACACACAAACAAGGGGACAGAGGATACGATCCACCAAATTCAAACACTGCACACGGCAACAACAAAGAGTTGAAGATGTTCCAACTACTAGTATACATACACTGAAATACAGTTGAACCTCCCTTACGCAGATACGCCTCAACCCAGTACATCTCCACGTTCAGGTCATATACAATGTACTAGTATGCTCAGCGCCAACAGCTGGTCGATCGAGATTCAAGTACATGTACATGTACTTCAAACTACAAAAGGAAGCTCAAATGCATTCCGCAACAAGGACACCGATACAGGACACCGATACAGGACACCGATACAGGACGCTAAGTCTGGTCCGCCAGTCTTTAGACGTCTTAGTCTGACCAGTTATATCTAGTCTAGATGAAAGCAATGCATATCAGCAAGAGTTCATAACCCCCAAGAGTGTGCAACTCCTGATCAGTCCCTGTATGGAGGCCGGCCCGATCGGCCGAATTCCTTCATTGCGTCATTTTTGGTGCTGTGCGATGAGTCATGCCGATGAATTCTTCCAAAATTTGCAGTCAAACCTGGAAAGTACGACTTTTACGTCCGAAATGTCTTCAAGCAAAGCTTCGAAATGTCGAGGCGACAGCCTTGAGTTAGGAGCGGTTCCGGGTATAGTTTCCAGATATCGCAAGGAACCGAAATTTACCTCGGACGACAAGTTGCGCATGACGTAATGTAGGAATTTCGCCGAGCGCTGGGTGAATACCAGTTGCACACTCTTGCCGTCTTGGGGGTTATGAACTCTTGATATCAGCACTCATAGAATATTGTGGGTGACTACATAATATAATTCGTCAGAGACATGTATTCTACCTGGTTTCTTGATTGGAGAACTTCTTCAGCGTTACTTTGCCAAGCTCAATTCCCAGTCTCTCCGCAATGCGCTTGGAGAGTTCTGGGTGGGAATTACCAGAAAATAGCTTGATGTTCGTCATTGTGATCTTGTTCGTTGGTTTCTCTCCTTGCACCACCTGACTGGTTCAAAGACAAAAGCAGGCAAAAAAGAGGAAGAAGAAATACCTAAGAATAATGAATAATTATCTCTTGAGAAAACCAAAGCAAGCAACGACGACGCCATTGCAACGAAGCGTTCAAAATGGCAGCAGCACAAATTCCGTTACCTCTGCCAGTTTGGTTGAAGTCCACCAACGCCGCCTGCCGCAAAGAAAGTATTCGAACAAAATTTATTGTGAACGATACGCCACCACACATACACACACGAACACCCACGAAAAGACTGAGCACGAAAACAACAGTTCCCCAAAAGATCGACTACTTATACACTACGCGGCACGCACGTCAAGCAAGCTGTCACTGTCAGGTTGGGAAATGAACTGCGAAGTGGAAATCTCACCTGGCGTTCTTTAGCTTTCTTCTATTTTCAGACTCACACACAACAAACTCAACAAGCTGTATTATTTTGTTCAGCGCTGACTCTGCTGGGAAGCAGCTAGCATCACTTTCACGGCCAGTGGCATGCAGTGTATTCTGCCCTGCACTGCCTCCACGAGCGGTGATTATACAGTAGATCTACACACTCGACAATGAACCACGTGGCGTGAACCAGCAGAACGCATGTAGATGTGCCATGTGTACAAGTAACCTAGTAGTAGTACATACGCGCGCGCGCGTAGATCTACGCACAGAGCAAGTAACGTTGTGGGGAAGTCCCCAGACAGAAAATCAATTAATTATTTATATGCGTCTATTTTTTGCATGATAGAGCGAGGATCGATCGCGGATATCATCAGTGTGTACGTGTTTTGAAAACCCACAAAGAAGAATTATTGTTGTGAACAGTGATAGGCTTTCTAGTACTAACGCCAACCTACTACGATACGAGTGGCAGCAATGCCGTTTTCGCGGCTGTACAAGTACAAGGACGTGATAACCAGGTGCGAATTTTGGGTCTGCCTTGCCATTATTATTAGTGGATGCATTTACACACTCTACTTTGCTCATAAATATGCTAGCTTTATACTCGTACTCTGATGTATCACTGTGCATGTGCCCCGCATAAAGTACTGTAATCAAATCAAAGACCCGGTGTCTCTAATTTGTCTGCAAGTCTTGCAATATTTGATGAGGCCTTCAACATGCTACATGCGATAATTATTTCTAATTTTATTTGAACGTTTTTCTTGCACTGTACCATACCATAGCTTCTGCTGATCTGGGCTATAGTACACACACACGTGCACATGTACACACACGCATACACATACACACACGCACGCATAGAGGAAAGGATTAGTAAACATTTGACAGTTGGTCAGGCAAATTATCCTGAGCTAGCTGTTGAATGCTGGGGTATTGTGGAGATCGCATAGCTGCCATATGATAACTATGAAGCAAAGGCCCATTGCACTCTACAGTCCATTCAGAAAAAGATTATATCCTAGCTTTTGGCAACTGGTTAAATTTTTGTCACAATTTTTTGCCAATCCCCATGGAATGCTCTTCCAATTGCGTTTTTGAAGTCTATTTCTAGTTCTCCGAAGAGTAAGCCATAACAAGAATAGCATTTCGGCCAGGTTTTGCCCCCAAAGCACTGAATTGGGGAAAACCCATGAAAATCCAGGCCGTTCACTCCACTTGCACAACAGTCACATGTACATTTGCAGTTCGAACCCCAGTTGAGGTTCCTTTTTTGGACTCTTTTTCAAGTTTCGAATCTCGCGGCACTGCACAGTGAACCACAAAATCATGAAAAATCACCAAATACGGGAGCTCTCCAGAGGCAACGCTCATCTTTTTTGAATGGACTAGAATTATGTATAGTGCATTAATTTTAAACACACCTAGACGCTTGGCCCTTCATGAGTTCCATACAGATTTCTAATATCCTCCCGAAAAGCAGGAGCTGAATGTACAAACTAAACTTCAACAGAAATCTCCCAATGCGACATCATTACGCACCTAAATCCGCAAATACCGCAGTTCATTATCTCAAAGACACCAACAGCTCTCAGGACCCTAAAACCTGTCAAAAATATTAATTCATCTTCTTCTGGAAACAAAGTGCGTGAAAAGAATTGCGCCATGAAGATGAACCCAGTGGCGCCGGGGAATTCTCCGAAAGACCAGATGACCTTGAAGATTGCAAAAATCTCTGCATCCATGTTATGGAGATTGAGTACATCCATGTTATGGAGATCGAGTGCATCCATGTTCTTGGTATACTAGTTCTCACACCGAGTACAGTGGAGATTGAATGTAACCCCCTTGCATGCTGCAACTACTTTGAAGAAAAATATAATTAATGTAGCAGCAGACTGAGTTTACAATCTGGCACAAAGCTCTCCTTCTCGCCACCGCCATCAGTTCGCGCATGGCGCTTAGTCGATGCATGGCCAGTGGTATCTGACTTAGCTGGCTGGTACATCAGGTAGCGTTGGCACATAAACGCTGACACAGATTGAGTTTAGTATCGACAAATGTATGTTGTCCAAGTCTGATAGCAAGTCAGTTTCGAAGATCGGGTTTATTGACAGATCAAATACTGGCAAATGGCTCTTTTCTATGTCCGGAAAGAGCGCCGTGAATAGGCTGAGTCTAGCCGCCGCCGCAGTGGTAATGCCCATGGCTAGGCGATAGGGGTTATTTGATTACGCTCGTACCTCGTTTATTCGGGCAATCCGGGACCGGGCACTGCCCCAAACTCTGAATGACATACGGTTTGATGGGGAAAGATCAGTGATATGGCATAAGTGGCAAAAGAGTAGTAGTAATGTTTCTACTGAATCTCGTGTTCTCCATGTTTTCAATTCAATATTTTTTACATGCGTTACGGTTGATAACCTGTGGATACGTGCACATGTAGCACATGTATGACATTGCGTGCTGCTGGAGGTATGCATGGATGTGCGTGTAGCGTGTGCACGCACGTTTGCCTGTCATGATGGAGAACACTTAACACGTAGTGTGTGCTGCAGTGCAGTTCTGCTAACTGTATCGTTCTGCGCTGTGTGTGCCTTCTGCGTTTTTTGCGTCCCCATCAAGAACACGCAATTTGGTGAAAGGTGGCATCTATGTGCAGGGGACGCAGCCCAAGTGGCTGGCCGTCGCCATGCGGTTCCCGCCGCATCGGCTGCCCGAGCGCTACAACTACAGGTTTCAGCCGCAGCTTGGCCTGCTGATCTACCCCGAAGACGAGCTGCGAAAGTAAGTCGCTCCCTGTGATGCAGCATGATTTCAAAGTGGCATGTCCAGCACACAGAAATCACACGAAACTCTGATGTAAAGACAAGGAAATAATTTCCTCGGGTACTGAGCCAATAGAGAGGTTCCGGGATACGATTTTCCGTGCCGAAATCCGTATGGGCGCTACGGATTTTTTCCAGGCGTGCTCCATACGATTTTTCGACACGGAGAATCTGTGTGGACTGGCTTTCATATGAACCATGTTTCGTGTGGAGATTTTGCGTCTTCGTTTGCAGAAAGATTTTTGCGTACAAATTTGGTACGAGAAACATCGATTTTCCGCGGGAAGTTTTGATTTCGGTACAAGTACAATTTTTCAAAATAAAAAGGCATAACGCGGGAATGTGACGTGTCTGCAATCGTAACCTAGGCAATGACGGCAAACACATAAGTTCCGTACTCCGGAACATTTCACTGCTCGAAATCGACGTATAAAAATCCGTAGCGCCTCTACGGATTTTGGCACGAAAAATCGTACTCCAGAACCTCTCTAATATTCAGTATTGCTCATTACTCGTATCCCTGCGTCCCTTCTGTTTATCTACAAATAATTTCCTGTTTGAGGAAATGAAAAGGCAAAAGAGTCAGGCGCAAAATTGACTGTCACCACCAGGATTCGAACCGGGTGGGCCTTCACCTGGTGTAGTCCAGCGCTACTCTACCACTAAGCTATGCTGTAGTCGTCATCCAAGCCGACACCGTTCGGCATTTTCTTCAGCCTTCCAAACTCACGTTTGGTGTGAAACGGCACAGCCTGGATAAACATGACTGTACTTGTAGAGCTTCTCTACTCGTGAGTACAAGGTTGACCTATCACGGCTGTCAAGAAGCGGCAACTTAGAAAGATGGCGTCGGTTCGAGATGGCATGGTAACCGCGCACGGTGCCGTGGTCCGTGACTTGCTCATGTATGCACGCAAATCCAAGTCACAAACTCACAAAGATCGTCTTTGCATTTGGAGAAAATATCTTCGACTCTTGTTGGAGGTTGGCGAGGTTTGCCTAATCTTTGCTTGATTGCGATGCCGGTATATATTTCCTCTCAATAATTAGAACAAAGAGAGCTGATTATCGCTTCATTGCTGAGTAGAAGTAACAATCAACTCTTCTCAGGTCCTCAGTGCCAAAGGCAGACGACTGCAATTCCACAACGCTCATTTCACGATGATGGAAACAATAATCGTGTACACACTTGGACCATTCGGCCATCCCTATTCTAGCCGCTAGTCCGCCCAGCAAGCAGATATTGACCATTACGATAAGGACAACTGCGTGAACGAGTACTCGCCGAGCAAATACAACTCAAGACGTGACTCCAGTCAAGAATTAGGGTCTTACTCGAGAACTTCACAAATACAGGCCTAGGCACCCCACAAAACTGATAGATGGCACGAACGAAAGACAAATAGGCTAGACGAAGTGTCCCAAGTGACTGAAAACAGCAGATCTACCAAATAAGACAGCTACAGGTGCCTAAAGCACGATTCCAATACAGTAGAGACTAGTATCAGGCAGAATGAAAGCCTTGGAAGTCCACAAATACAGCCACGATCGCCACAAAAATAGGACGACCGCCACAAAAAAATCATTGCTCTACCTCCTTGAAGGGTGAAAGTTACCAGTTATCCTATAGCGATGTCAGTTTATGCCTGTTGGAACCCCACAGCCCGCACGAAATACCTTTCAAATAATTCCAGGATGCAATTGCAACTCCAGACAGGAGGAAGAAGAACACCGTGGAAAATAACGGCAACGATGCCCAAACTCTCAGGAAACGGCTCAAGTCTTCCTGAAGATGTTAACATTGAATAGCCATCGATTACCAGCGTGGTTTGGTGACTTTAGAACTGTTTTGAGACTTAGAACGAAGCGATATCTCAACTTTGATGGAATTGTTACCTGTCGAATGCGTGGGCGAGCAGGCCAGCTGACTGGTTATGCATGAGCATGCATTGATTTTGCATGGTTCACGTGCAGAAAACTAAGTTGCCGCGATCCAAGTGCAGCTAACAGCCGTGCTATGCATTGAAAAGGTAAAAAAAAGAGAAACTTTGACTCTTTATGTATATAAAGACAAAATTAACAGCTTGTTGAGGGGGAGGGCTAATCGCGTTTGCCTAGAGAAAAATCTCGGTGTCTACGGATGGCGTATTGTTTGTGTACTTGTACACGTGTACTGCGTGATCAATTGTATCTGTATAAACAATCAATTTCCAGGGTATCTTGTAGTGGAGATATAAGTATCTTCTTTCAAGTTCTTTGAAAGGTCTTACCTTGCCTAAGCCAGTGTGCGTATTGATTTTTTTGCAGGCTCTTTTACACGACCTATGATTTCCGCACTCAACCCCTAACGCTATTCGGCAATGAGGAGAAGACCAAGCCAATGCAGCTGTGTGACCGCTATGTCAAGCTGCAGATGCAGGTGATGGAGGAGCAGGCTCTGACGGCCGTGGACTCGCAGAAAATCGTCGAGGAGCTGATGGCCGAGAGTGGGGAGGCGCTGCCACGACTGGTAAGCTCTCCACGACCGAATCACTGTACTGTGTACTGCAATGCACTTTGAATTAGGAGTGTGCACGGGTAGTCGGGTACAGAACAGTAACCGACTACTAGTACCCCAAGTCGCAGATGACATCATGTACAGTGCACGTGTACAAATAATTCATGTAATACTCCACATATGTCTACCCAGTGTATACGGGAAGGGGTGCATTGTGGTGTTACCATGGAAACATTACCCGATCTGGTACCCGTGGAAAACTACCCGAACCCGACACCCGAAGAAAATGCTACCCGACTCAGCACTACTTTGAATAAAGCAAACACTGCTGTTGTGGACATAGAAATCGGCTGGAATGACCGGGGCCGGCGTCCTTACTTGCTTAGCGTGTACACGCACTGTAAAAACGTGCCAGTAGTGCTCACCGCTGCACGGCCAGCGCCCCGTGGCTGCTTGACTTCTCAGCGGATTTCATTGTCCGCAACATTTATTGATTTACTATTAATTTTGAACATACACTCGGACGTCTCTTATCCAGGCACCTTGGGACCGGGCACTGCCCGTATCTCAGATTTGCCCGTATCTCACGATAACTCACCTACCATGTATCATATCATTTTTTGAAGAAGTTAATTTGGCACGTATTGCACATGTTGAGGATACAAAGGGAACCCATTGATAAAAATGTGTGGATTGCATAGGTTGGCAGTGAAAAATAAGCATTTCCACATACGGAAAAAAGTTCAAAACCCCCAAATTCGAAGCATTTGTGCTATAGGAACTCAAGCTGAAGGTGCCCGGTAGAGAGACGTGCCCGTATCTGAGGCGTCCGGATAAGAGACGTTTGAGTGTATTGTGGAACTCAGTTAGTACGTACTCTGATAAGATACTCTTGCTTTATACAGTCCATTCATCGGAAACTGTCCCGCTGGCTTTTGAAAGTCTGATTTGGGCCGAATTGAGGATCAAAAACCCACTTTAAATCTCAAAAATCTGGGTTTGGAATCTGCTTCTCCATACATTTTCCCATGGCATACCTGTCCTAATTTTGTAAAACCTGGCTGAATTTCTAGTGCGGACATTGTCTGGAGCATGGGTGTATCGACCCATTCTAAAGTATGTTTGGATAAGAGGTACCTTGGATACTAAGTGCACAGCTTCCTGCTGTCCATGTGGGTATGTCTTATCAGAGTTTTACCGTGGATCGTTTTTGGTGAGCAAAAGACTTCTGTGTAGTCACAGCTCCGGGATAAACACCCAGGGACTGATGCGTTGATGGATTTCTCGTCAGTGTTCTTCGCAACATGGTTCTGTGTATGTGTTTGTGTGTGCGCGCGTGTGTGTGTGCGTGTGTGTGCGCGTGTGTTTATGTGTGTGTGCGCGTGTGTGTGTACATGTATGTGTGTGTGTGTGTGTGTGTGTGTGTGTGTGTATGTGTGTGCACGTGTTATAAGAGCATGCTTATCTGCATGTAACATACATGTACATTGCTTGCCACAAGCTTTGTATCCCGGTTGGAGAATGCGGGTTGACAGGAGCTTGACTCGTACTAACTCATTCCAAGATTCACTTTTCCGCCCCTTCGTTCTCTTCCTGTTATAGTTCAGGTCTTGACCGTGAACTGTTAGTATGTGGATGTGTGTCTCTGTGTTGACAGGATCAAACAGACGAATACCAGCGCTGACCAGAGGAATTATGTACTCTTGCTGCTATTGAACCTCGTTGAGAGCTGGAACCCTAGTGGTCCAGGCCAGACCTAGTAAATTATTTGCTCATGCTATCGCTAAATTTGTGCGCGCTGAAGTATGTTAGGCTGAGTATTGCTTGTGATGCGGCTGATTTACGTGTTACCGTAAAGCGGGCACGTTTTCACGCAAGCTTTAATTTCACGAGCTCAATGATCGGGAACAAGAATTTTCGACCAGATGCGATGACATCACATGATATGCCTCACGCCACAATCATCACATTTGCCTAACTTGTTTGGCACAAACAAGCCTGCCATTTGAGATCGCAAGCAGAAAACATCACACAATGGTCCTGCTTTACAGTGTCAGTGTGTCTTGATGAAGGCAAGATGACAGCAACACTTATACAATCATGTACTACATGTGCATGCCAGTATCTTGTGTGCCTGTGTAGTGATCATATCCATAATGTCTTGATGAAGGCAAGATGACACCAACACTTATACAATCATGTGCATGTACATGCCAGTATCTTGTGCATGTGGCTGTGTAGTGATCATATAATTATGTCTTGATGAAGGCAAGAATAGATGATGCCAACACAGAACACGAACGTGCCAGTGATAGTATCTTGTGCGGGGTTGTGCAGTGATCTGGCGATCAGGCACGGCAGTGCTGCATGCCAGGATCGTAATGTGGTGTTCGTTTCTATGCCTGCCAGCTCTGCAGCTAGACTATGCACATCAGGGAGTACTAAAACAAAGGTTTTTTTAGTACTCCCTGATGCACATCCTGCCAAAACAGTAAAACACTGTGATGGCAGGATCATTTCAGAATCGGCGGAATTGCTGAGCTCCCAGTCATGCCCGGGACTGATTAAATTCATCAGTATTTTTTAAATACAGTCCTCGGTTACACGGAATACATGAACACGAACAGGATGATCCTATTATCATTCAAGACGACTTGTCAGGTTTGAAATCATCAACAGTAGCTGGCACAATGTGGTAGGGGATGAGACCAGAGAGTACATAACCATTATAATTACTATGGCTACACACGGAAAGTTGGGTGTGGTCCTCGAAAGAGTGCTCAATGTACCGGGGTGCAGAGCTTCATACAAAAAGAATAGAATGGGATACGGAGCTTGGGTTGGCTGTGACTCAGAGTTTCACGCCTGTGGCGATCATCAGACAGCAATCTTTACTATGGCTATGGACTCTTGATCATAATGTATCCCCCGCCTACACACACACACAGACAGACAACACAATGTGTTTACATGTAGGTATCCATGAAGTGAAGACCAACGCAATGTTCAATCTCAGTACGAGGGGTCAACTCAAACGTGTTGCGCCGTCCTGGAAGCACATCTTCTACAGGACTCTTGCAGCGGTTTACCAGGTGTGGATGTGGCCGTCGTGAGTTCTCTTTGAGAACGGACACGATAGTTTACTCTCTTTTTTTTACTCTTGCAGCTGGTTGGTGAAGCATCAGTAGTTGCATGACCATGTCCCTGCAGCTTGCAGCCAATACATGAATGTTTCAGCAGACAGCACGCGCGAATTAGCGCAGATCAAAAGCAGATAGTAAAAAAACAAAAACTTAACAGCGGACTCCTGTGACCGGAGAAAAGTCACCATCTAGAGTTACAGGGGGACAGGACCGACAAACATAACACAAGTATGTACATGGTGTGCACGGAACCAAGAGTACATAAACCTGCTGACGCAACTGCAAACACGATCAGAGAGAGTGAGAGTGAGAGAGAGAGAGCGATAGTAATCAAGCGGTAGCATCTCAGAACGACTTCAAGAACCGGCTCTTCTGTTGCACGGGCTGCCGCGTCGGCTGGGCCTGTGCTGTCTTGGCGCTGGCGTCGAGGCGCCGCCTGCGATCTCGGAACACGTCCACACAGTCCTTCATCACGCCATCCTCGGGCTGGTAAGCCTTCAGCAGAGGTCGAATGTCATTGGTTTTCGACTGCATGGCCGACTGGGCGATAGCTGCAGAGCAATCACATTACACAACACAGCACAGCACAGAATGCAGTGACATTGGGGCAATCGCACTACACAACACAGCATGCAGTGACAGTGGGGCAATCGCACTACACAACACAGCATGCAGTGACATTGGGGCAATCGCACTACACAACACAGCATGCAGTGACAGTGGGGCAATCGCACTACACAACACAGCATGCAGTGACATTGGGGCAATCGCACTACACAACACAGAACACAGCATGCAGTGACATTGGGGCAATCGCACTACACAACACAGCATGCAGTGACATTGGGCGCCAAAGAGCGGGGTTTCCGCTTTAAGCTAGGGAAAGTATTTTCGAAATTCAAGCCTTTTCCAAGATGAGTTTGGACGCTTCTTGCAGCTTCAATACCAAGCCTTTTTTTGTATCCTTTATTCCCTGCTTCACATATACCCAGTGTGTGCAGTTTTATTGCGAAAACGCTAGTGTTCCGACGTCTTAGTTTTCAGCCTGCCACGCTATGGTTATGCAGTCACATCCTGTGCATGTGTGCTCATGACACCTGAACAATGTTCACATGCTCACGTGCCAATCAGCACAGTAGCCGTCGCAATGAAGACTGATAACGTCGTGCAGGTGAGGAAGACGCCCCGCTGCTACAGGTGGAATCCTGATAATTCGAATATGGCTTAATTCGAACATACCGCTTAATTCGAAGTTTTTCCAGGACCGATTTCTATCAATACGATTCCCACATAAAAAAATCTGATACCGTATTTTTCCGGTTGTAAGTCGACCTTTTACGACTTAAAATAGAAGGAGAAAGGGTGGGGGTCGACTTACAACCGGGATTCGACTTATAACCGGGAACTATCAGTATCTTACAAAATGACCTGCACTGCATGCACGAGTGCACCATGTTTATACATTTTTGCCAGTTTATTGGGCTTTTTCAAGGATTGGGACGTTATATCCTCCAATAAGGAATGTTTACATGATTTGTTGATGTGTTAGTAGCAGGAGGTGGTTAGTAGTGCTTCTTTGGGTGAAAACTTTAAAACGCAGAATTGAGACCTCCAGATAGGGGGGTCGACTTATAACCGGGGTCGACTTACAACCGGTAAAATACGGTAATTAGAACCTCGAACTGGATATGTCCGGTAAAGTAGAAGTCCCACAGATTCCACTTACATAGAAAATGTGTGGGATTTGTGCTGATAATTCGAAGTTAGCAAAGTGTAATTCGAAGTTCACTGTACATTGTACTGGTCAGTTCAGTTTGCATGAGCAGGCTGTCCCGGTCAGTTCAGTATCCGTTAAATCTGTGTCTAAGGTCCATAGCGCAACTCTGCGTGACCATGAGAGCATTTTGACATACATATTGTGTTGTGGGTTCATGTTTGGATAATTAGAATGTCCGGATAATTAGAAGTTTTTTCCAGGCATTTTGAGGCTCGAATTATCAGGATTCCACCTGTACTCGATAAGACCTCGATATTCGTTGATCTTAGGCTATACCGTTACTGATGCTGAGACCAACGCGAGCACACACGCACACACAATATCCAGACATTCCCCATTGATAGCCGCCAGTTCAGCTAACGCTGCGGAGAGCCGGTACTTACTGCGCAAGAACTCTCCCAGGTCGTACAAGTACATGTCGTCCTCTTCGCCAGTCCACTTGCTGACGAACACGACATTTTCAGGGTTGCGGTCGCACGTCTTCGGCTCGTTGTCGACATGAATCACGCGCCGAAGGTCACGGTTTAAGTTCTTCAAATCCTGCACATTCAAGCGTGAAGGAGAAAATGGCATTCACAAGGACAACATCCAGTCATGTGACAACATCCAGTCATGTGACAACATCCAGTCATGTGACAACAAACTAACTTACAGGGAAACCTGTCTAAGGCGACCGCTCAAGGGACTTTCGAAATGCGGTCGCTGTGTATAGGTGGTCTCCTCATCCAGGGTCATTTGACTGAAATTGACAAGCCTTGGTCCTGGTCGTAGCGGTCCCCTTGGACAGGTGGTCGCCTTATCCGAGTGGTCGCCTCGACAGGTTTTACTGTACTGTATTGTACATGTTATAAAACCCAGTACTAGTTCAAAACTAGTACTGTACAGGCAGAAAATTTCGTCGGTCAATAATTTCGTCCAACTCCAAGGAAAGGGATTTCGTCCGGTTGAAAATTTAGTCCATGGACTATAACAGTGTATTGAAACGCTGGACAAATCGACATTCGTTCGGCATTTAATTTAATCCCAAAGCTCCTTGGACGAAAAAGACGAAATTAAATTCCAGACAAATATTTCTGCTTGTACAGTATTAGATAAACCTTGTTATAGTTCACGCATATTGTTGTCAATCTAACAATACATTATACATGTACACTAGAACTCTGATAAGAAGTACCCCTGGGGTCAGCAGGAAGCTGTGTACTTAGTAGCCAAGGTACCTCTTATCCAAACATACTTTAGAATGGGTCGATACACCCATGCTCCAGACAATGTCCGCACTAGAAATTCAGCCAGGTTTTACAAAATTAGGACAGGTATGCCATGGGAAAATGTATGGAGTAGCAGATCCCAAACCCAGATTTTTGAGATTTAAAGTGGGTTTTTGATCCGCAATTCCAAGGTACTTCTTATCCAAACATACTTTAGAATGGGTCGATACACCCGGGACTAGGTCAGTATGAAGCAAGCGTATTAAACCCGGCTTCACTACGCGACATTACGAATTTACGATATCTTATCACTGTTATAACTTTGAGAGAATGTACTAAGTGAATTCCACTGTACTTTCAACGAGAAAATTTAAATGTGAAAGTGTCTAACGTTTAATGATGTGAATCATGTGATTCAACACAATAACATTGTGTTGAGTCATGATGGATTGGTAGATACGGAGGGTTTCGGAAAGATGATCTCGGCTGTGAACGCAGTGCTACTTTAGTCATGGTGGCAAATTTCACTGGCCACTGGGCAGCACCGAATATGACGGATGTTTCTCCTCACCTTATGATGCATCAAGTTCTTGTAGTCGGTGCCCTCACGAAACAGCTTGTAGATGACACGCTGCTCTGTGTCTAGACTGTCCACTACATGTTGATAGGACTGCATGCACACACACACACACACACACACACACAGAATAGAAGCATATACACAACAAATACACAAACACACACACACGCACATGCACACACACGCGCGCGCACACACACACACACACACACGCACGCACACACACACACACACACACACACACGTTAGCATGCATGGGTACACATGGCCACAGGCATATCCCATAATGCCTACACAAAAACCCTAGAAAGAGTAGAATGTTGTACCAGTAAGTTGCAGCTGTTGTCCATGTCACTATCTGAGTATACATACATTACACTGCAGTGGGATGGGGGACGGGGATAGGGATGGTGGTGGCAGCACAAACAGTACTAAAGACCAGGGCCAACGTAAACCGCACCCTAAATGTACATTCACACGCATCGCCAACACTACCGCTATCCACTACTCACCATCTGTGGCTCTGTGGTGAATATTACAATCTCGTAGTATTGGTGCACCTGCCGGAGGAAGACCTTCAGGCCAGGCCGCCGCCGATACCGCCAGCCAGTGGAAACCTGCGCAGCACGGCATCAATATGTACATGCGATAGCGGTGAAGACCGTCACTGACGTGAACATACACACTGGACAGGTTGTTGCAATGTCACACACGCTCCAGTTGCCGAGACAAGACAGGTACTCACACTCTAAACTGCTCACAGTTCATACATTCAAACTCCACAACAACAATAGACAGTATCCAGCATAGGCTGTTAGTAGTGAACTAGACGTCAACAAAGACCAGTGTCCATCCAGCCGGGATAGGACTAAAGATTTCCAGAGCACACAAGCATGGACATTCCCCTCTGCTCCACACCGGCCGTCTCCATCGATTTCTGGACATGGGTCAGGCTTGAAAATTCCCAATCACGGTCTAAGCAGCTGATGAGTGATAGCAAGAGTACATAACCCCCCAGAGTGTGCAACGCCGATCCAGCTCTCTGTAGGGTCTTGGTCGAGCGGAATCGGATCTTCTGATGTCATGCGTACACTTCACACCACCGCAAGGCCGGTCTCGAGGCAGGGCACCATTGTTTTTGATCCAAGAGTACCCGCGATCTCCCGGGTTCCCCTCAGATGTGTACGGTATTATGACGCAAAGATCCGATTCCGCTCGACCAAGACCCTATGCAGAGCTGGATCAGGCGTTGCACACTCTGGGGGGTTATGTACTCTTGGTGATAGGACTAAAGATTTCCAGAGCACACAAGCATGGACATTCCCCTCTGCTCCACACCGGTGGTCTCCATGGATTTCTGGACATGGGTCAGGCTTGAAAATTCCCAATCAACGTCTAAGCAGCGCACACCTTGCAGCCCAGAGACACGGAGTTGAGCAATGCACAAGTGGTGTGATCATCTGAAGAGAACTTACGGAATATTCGGGATTAACGAGAAGTTTCTGCGACTCAATCACGAGTGTGAAAGGCGGCTGATAGTGGTCTGGTAGCACGTCGGGCAACAGGTTCTCATCAATTGGTGCAGCAAAGCTCTACAGGCAGAACCAATGACAGCAGGAACGGCAACAACAGCAACAACAGCAACAGCAGCAGCAGCAGCAACAACTCTCACCACCAGAGGAATGCAAACAAATGTTAAAGATTGGAGGTGAAGCTATTACATGCAGCGCAGACAAAGGAAGAGAGCTTGAAGAAGTCCACTTTCAGCACACGTTAATGTGTGTGTGCGTGCGCGCATACACACATACGTGTGTGCGCGTGTATGTGTATATTTGTGCTGTGTCTCGTAGATCCAGTTGAGATTTGGGCAGTGTACCATACTGGAGACAGGGCGTGGGCGTACAGGGTACCTGACTCTGGCGCATATTGTAAAGTAACCAGTCTACAGCACAGGCATCATGACACAAAGGCTTTGTCCACAGCATGCAGGACATAGGGGGAGGATTCCTCCTTTACCGGGTTGAGTCTCCACCTGGTGGAACGCGCCTGTACTACGCACATCAAGAAACGTGAGACCAAGGCACTTGAGAACAGCAGAGATGTAGCGGTGTCCGTATCTCCACCATGTCTTCGGAGGTCTTGTGGCAGCGGGAGACTTTGTCCTCCACTTCTTGCCACATTGCCAGTATGTGTACGTAACTCAATGCAGCAGTGTTATGCGACTATGCACTGTACCATACCAATACCCAAAAGTATGCAACTGAACAATACTGACTGCCTCTCAATACAGGTATGAATATGCGCATGTTGGAGCAAAACCCGTGGCCTCACAGAGCTCGTCTCTGAGACGAGTGTTTCTTGATCATAAGGGTTGTCTATCATTCACTCATTCATTCAGGCTGTATTTGACATCACCGGATGCTTTATACCGTACTGATGGCATATGAAGCAGACACAGTACACCACTTGCCTCATACAGATTGGTGACATCCTCTTTGGCCCGAGAGAACAGTCCGGTGAACGCTGCACACAACAGCATGGAAATGGCCACGAGAGCGTATTTAGTACAGGACCAATACAACCACCAAACAGGGAGCAAACTGAAAGCAACTGGCAAACCCTTCAAGGGAATGTCATACTGGACAGCAGAGTTTGTTTCATCTCACACATTCCTGGCTGGTCAGGTATAGCAAAAGCAGAACATTCAGCATGCATGTTCTGTGTACTGAGCTGATACACATGCTTGTACATCATCCACACACGCACACTCACGCATGCACACACACACACGCACATGCACGTACACACACACACACACACACACACATGACCCCCCATACCCTCACACACACACGCCACACACACGCCACACACACACACACACACACACGCACGCACGCACACACACACACACACACACACACACGGCAAAGTACACCATGAAACACAGTGTCCGGAGATAGAAAAGCAGAAATGCAGAAGAGACATCAGCCTCCACATACACCTACCTCTCAGTAAGCCCTTCGCTCTAATCTGCAAACACACAAAATGCAAGCCAAAGTGCAAAGGAAAGACACAAACAACATGATGCTTAGCTGGCGATGGACATTCACACGGGGTGGAGTAGATGTGTAGGGTTACTGTAATTTCACAAATTTTCGGTGTACTTTTATTTTCGGTACTTTCGGTGCATCTGTTTCACACCTAAAATTTCAATACACCGAACAAACACTAACACACATAATCCAATAGGGAACTGCTGCTCTGTACCGAAAATTTCTGTTCACCTAAGCTGGCCTTTTGCCCTCATACCGAAAATATTGAGCACCGAAAATGTCTGAAATTAGAGTATACTGCATGATTCTTCCAAGTACTAACATCTCAGGATCACCTCTCCATGCAATTTTCGGAAGGTCTGTGCCTTATTTTCGGAATCCTATAATTATAGAACTTGAGACGTATGGACTTGGTGTATCGCACTAGGCTTGTGGGATGTGTGTGTGTGTTCGCATCTTTTCATCAGTAATGGACAACAGCATGCTAGCAACTTCAATAGTATGAGCCATGTGTTTCCATCGTCTTCTGTGATGTACTGATATAGTGGGGTGTGTTTGTGAGATGGGTTTAGATGAGTAGGCTAGTGGCGGTGGAAGTAGTAGTATTAAATCCTTGGACTTGCAAGATCAGTATGATGTAGATGAAACAGCCCTGGAGCCTAAGCAAACACGGGCTATGCAAGTGCCAGAGCGCACTGTTCCGAAGTTTGTTGGTCAGATACAAGCCTGGCATGTTCATCTCGTTTATTCGGAATCATCCCTCGGAAGATGATCCAGCATATTGCGGCCCACACCAATTTGTTCTGGGCTCAGCAGTTGGCAGCCAATCTAGGTACCCCCGCTACGGACATCAAACTGTATGCATGGCTCGGTATGGCACTGGCCCGTGGCAATGGATCCAACCCTGTGCGGCGGATTCAGCTAATAAGAAGCAACGAGGTTGCTTACGCCTGTCCGAAACTTCTCTCAAACAGGACAAACAGGAGCAGAACGGCAGACGTGTGTACCACCCGAGGAGAGAGGTGGCCGTTGATGAAATGGACATCTCCTTCAAGGGACGCAGTCCATACAAGTCAAGGATCACGTACAAGCGAGCGGGTGATGGCTTTGTCGTCTATGCTATAAGCGATTCTTCCGAGGACTTCCTGTTCTCATTCCACTTCTCCTTTGACAACAGCCTCGCACTGCTTAACCCGAGATGAAGAAAAGGGTACAACGCAGTAGGTCTCCCCACGGAGAGACTTCCTGGTAAGTGCCATCACGTATTCACTGATACTTTGAAGTAATGTTTTTACTCAGCTGTGGCCCTTGTGGAGCGGCTCTTTGGCCACAGCCTCATCAAACAGGGAATGGTGGAAAAGTCTTGGCTTCCTCAGGTCAATGAAGACCAAACCTTCTCATCTCAATGTCTTTACAACCTTGCATCTTCATCTCCCCTTATAAAACGACACCAACAACATCTCCGCTTACTTGTACATAGGATATTACTTGCCGAGATTCCTCGGCACCTTGTTTTGTATAACTGGTTTGTTCCCACTAGACCCACCCGCAATGCTATGTCTTGTCACCTCTCATTCTCTTCTTCTTCTTCTTCTTCTTCTTCTTCTCTCTTTCCCTCTCATGTAGTTTTTAGTTAGCCGTGGCTGGTTGCCACCCTTCATCTCATTCTCACTATTGGCAGCCCTTACGGCGAGCCAGGAGATGTAAACAAAAATTAAGAAATAAAGACAGGGTCTAGAGGTGCCAACGTTGTGACCAGCTTCTACGATCAGAAGTCCGCTTACATGATCACAACTGGCCACAGCGACGTACACATGGCCTCTGCCGCGCGGAAGCGAATCATTGTAAGTCATCATCCCTAGAACAACTCTTGATATAAAGGATTTTGCCAGCAAATGAAGAGAAGTGAGATCGGAACTAACTTTAATTCCCGTAGCTATGCAGAAGACGTTACTTCAGTAACGTCTGGCGCTAGCCAGGGTCCACACAGCTTTAATTTGGTGTTTGTTTGTGTGTTTGTTTGTGTCACGCCTGGCGCTATCCGTATCTGACGGCAAAAAAGCATAGGATGTTATAAATTTTTCAATTCTCCTTTTTTTCAGGTATATCCTGGGATTCGAACCCGCACTATCGCCCTACATGCATTCCCCCATACACTTCGCATTCATACCCATTCTTCCAAGTTGCGTTACGTTATTATCTTGCGTTTGAAAGCCCTATTTGAATATTGCGGGAAGCTGTATGTGGCCAGCTGTGTTTGATGGTCCGGTACGGTACTGGAGACGGTGTCGTATTACCCTCGATCGTACCTGTCCCGTCCCCATCCCCTACCGTACCGTGCCATCAAAGACGGCTGGCCACAATGCATATAACTCAAATAGGGCTTTCAAATGCAAGATCACAATGTGAAACAACTTGGAAGAATTAGTATGTATGCGAAGTGCATCGGGGATGAATGCAGGGCGCGCGATAGTGCGGGTTCGAATCCCAGGTTATGTCTAAAAAAAGGAATTTTTTAAAGAATTTATAACATCCCTATGCTTTTTTTTTGTCTAGGTCATCAAGGCAAAAAAGCATAGCGTAGGGCCCTGAGCTTCCAAGCTCTCTCGTACAGTGTACAACTTTTCTATTCTTTCTTCTTTTTGATTTCGTGATTCTGGTAAGTACGTGTGGATACATACACATGGTCAGTCTCTGTGTGACTCCTGGCAGGTGCAGTGTGATACCTCGCCAATGTGCTCTAGTGACCATGTTTCCACACTTTGGCGGTGACACAAGCCTGGAGAGGGTTTATACTTTATCATAGAAGTAACACCCTGATACCCCTGATTATAGGGTCTTACTTTCATGAATTTCACAAATACCTAACCTTTACTTATATCTATCGCCGTAGTTGGCGTTCACCCACTCTCTTCACATTGGCCGGTGTTTCCTTGGAGTCTTAAGATGTAATAAATAGTCAAACTAGTCAAAAAATATAAATATAATATAAATCTAATAGCACCCCAAGTCAATTCAAGATCAGTTCGGGTGCTTCTTGCAGCTTCATTTTATGAACAAAATCATGTGGCTTGGGCTAGCCGCCACAACATGATTAAATTTTGTAAATTTGTACTTCAAGTATTTTTTCCCAAATAGAGTTGTGGCAGCTAGCCCCAGACGCATTTGGATCCCAAAATAGCTATTTACTTTGAAGCAGTTCCTAACTACAGGAGAATGCACGTGCATACAGTACAGTAGTGGCCAAGCAGGCAGGAAGTAACACTTATCCTTTCACAGTCTAAAGAAATAGAATTCCAAGCACGGAAAATCACTTTCTACTTTCTAACAAAATATTACGCTAAACAATCAATTTATTTTGACCTACCTCGTCTCCAATGGTGTTTTCCTGTGGCCAGCCTTCAGCAAGAACGACAAAGAGACAAAATAAGGAGGTTAAGCATCATCAAATTCACGCTCATTTTTGTAACCTGGGCGCGAGGTGTGAATTTGGAGCGAAGGTTCACAAGCTTCAACAATGCTTAAGGCTGGTATTACTGTGCCCATCCATGCTGGCCTTGGTCAAGAGGACAGCCCTGGCTCAATACGAGTATCAGAGGACACGCGTTGATGGTACAGAACACCGAAAATGGCTGAAATGTGGCGGGCGTAGTGGAGTGGTTGGTGCAACTACTTGATCTCAATGATAGGTGGGCAGAGCAGAGTCAGCATACCATCCAAATACTGAGTACAGTTTCCATGCCAAGGGTGCTAAGCCAAAAATGATACCATCCAGCCATCTCAATCCCATTTCTTTTTATCTCTTCGACCAAACACAGTACGCTGCCCTACCCTGAAGGGTACACTGTACGTACTGGTCATTAGGGAGGTTTCGCTCTACGGAATTACGTATGAAAATAACGTATGAACTGCACGGAATTTTCATACGTAAAAATCAGAGCTGTTGGGTTTCGCTCAACGTGATTTCTCCACGACTGCTAAACATGCGTTGTTGCTTTGGAGACGCGTTGGCTGCATGCGCCCACCGTATGCACCATGAACCGAAACCGCGTTTTCTATATTATGCACGTGGTGTACGGTGTGTGCACCTTGTGTTTCGCGCGGCTTGAATGTTGCCATGGACAAATGCGGAAAATGCGAAAAAATACTTCAAAAAGTCCTACGGAGGACCCAACGTAGGAAAGAGCTTTCCTACGGAAATCCGTAGAGAGATTTACGTATGAAAGTTGCCCTCGCTCCCCGGCGCGTACGACATACGGATTTTCATACGTAATTACGTAGAGCGAAACCTCCCTATTGTCAACGGAGGCATGACATTCAACGGGACTATATTGCTGGGTTAAGGACTAAAGGTAGGACCATGCCTGAATCAACTGGGGAAAGCAGAGCGTGACGGCAACTGGCAACTAAGGCTTCATTTACACGACAACGATTGAAAAACGTTTTTCAATCGTTTTCGAAACGTTTTTGCTGTTTACACGAAAACGATAAGCGTGTACACTGCAACGCGTTTTTCGGCGCGCAATGATCACGTGCAATGAGTTGGCCTGGCGGCTGGTGCAGGCATGTTTTGAGTACAAGGCACGTAGTAGTACAAGTAAAACGTTTGTGCCGTTTACAGGAGAACAAAGCGGAACGAAAACGATTGAAAAACAATTTGAAGGCCGTTTTTCGTTTGAAACGTTTTTCAGCGTCGTCGTGGAAACGCTCTTATTAAAATCTGTGGAAGCGTATTCTTTTGAAAACGTTTTTCAATTGTTGTCGTGTAAACGAGGCCTAAGGACTGGATGACACAATGGTGATTCGGCTCGAGTGCTACCAAAGTGGTGCACGGGTACACGAAAGTACAGTGCTGGCCAGAGAAATACGAGCTCATGAATAAAATACATGTTTAAACGGCAACAAACAAAAAACAGAAGCATGTGTGCATGTTCGACAGGGAAATCCCATCATAAAATAAATCTACAGTCCTCACCTCAGCCTCAGGCTGAATGCACTGAGCGCAGAACTCTACACCGGAACATCCCGATTTTATTTCACGTCACCATGGTGACCAGGGGTTTTGCGAATGACATCATCGTACGGGCTTGTATGGAATGACACCATCGTAAAATTAATGATGCGTATGGAGTGACAGACCAGTACATGTGATGCTATTCCATAAAAAATACTGCTCGCATCTGGGGATACCTGAAACCATAGCGCCCAAAATGAGTCGCATCTTTGACCCCAGACTCTGAAGTATATTAGTTCTTCGTGGTCTACAGTCAACACGCGCTCGCAACTGACGCTGACACCTGCTCACCCTGCCTGGCGTGCATGCATCAGCCCTGCCCAAGAGAGACTGAAACGAGAGTGGCACAGGAGTGAAACCCATGTCATTGTATGTTCCACCCACCCCTGCCCCTGTTGTCTCCCTAGACGCTTGCATTTCCCGGTGGCGTGGCAGGTGAAAAATATGAAAATATTTGATATTGTGTTGCGTGTGCACGTGTGTGTGTGTGTTTGTGTGTGTGTGTATGTGTGTGTGTGTGTGACTTTGGGATGAACCAGTACATCCAATGGCAGTGTTGCAGGCTAACAATATAACGGCAATCAATTCAAAGGTCTGCCAAAGGTATACTCAGATGCATTCCTCTTCATTCTTCAGGAGCAACGTTATTTACTCTGCCTGGAAATCACTGCGCAATAGCTGTTACTCACCCATAAACATAATACCACCGATTCCCATCCCTGTTGCCAATCCAAGGGTAGCAAACGTTGCCTGCCTGGACATACTTTTCTTTTCCTTGGGCTTGATGTAAGCTGAGCGTACTTGCTGCCTCACCGGGCCGGAGAACGGCGCTCGTTGGAGGCACCTGCAGCCTACAGCCCATGATGATCTCCATGGCTGTGCCATAGTTATTTTCCAACCTCGTATCTACACGGAAAACATTGCTATTGAGTATTGTAGAACAGAATACAGCGAGAAACGAAATCTTTTTTAAAAATTATAATAATAATAATTTAATATGCTCGTAAATTATTTGCGAAAGAAGGGGCACTTTCCCGGCAAAAAAACACATTTCGACCCACTTAAAGGGGAAGTATACCCTAAAATCAAATTTTCACCAGTTGTAGTCTTCTGGGTGCTGAGTCGAATGGTCTTGGTCCGAGGAAGCTGCGACGCTCCCTTCCTACTTGAATCCCAATCGAACTCGCGCACTTCCACCGAAACTGGGTGACTGCGCCCTACTAGATGGGGATTTGTATGCAAAATGTCACTAAAAGCGCCATTTCGTTCTTATAAAAGCACGGATGACCGCGATTGGCCCATATGTTGTAGTCTTTTGGACGCTGAGTCGACTGGTTTTGGTCCGAAAAGGCTGCGATGCAGCGTTCCTCCTTTATTCCCAATCGAACATGGTTGAAGAAGCGGTCACGTGCTCCTGGGTGCCCAAATCACCTGGTCACCGCGCCAGCAGGCGACAACTTTCACACCAAGGTTCAACTCGAGTTCAACTCGAGTGACAGGACTGCACCCAAAAAAGGTCAAACAGGCTAGTAAGTTGTACCCTGCAGGCACGGTGACCAGGTGACTGGTGTACGCAGGAGCACGTGACCGCTTCTTCAACCATGTTCGATTGGGAATAAAGGAGGAGCGCTGCATCGTAGCCTTTTCGGACCAAAACCAGTCGACTCAGCGTCCAAAAGACTACAACATATGGGCCAATCGCGGTCATCCGTGCTTTTATAAGAACGAAATGGCGCTTTTAGTGACATTTTGCATACAAATCCCCATCTAGTAGGGCGCAGTCACCCAGTTTCGGTGGAAGTGCGCGAGTTCGATTGGGATTCAAGTAGGAAGGGAGCGCCTCAGCTTCCTCGGACCAAGACCATTCGACTCAGCACCCCGAAGACTACAACTGGTGAAAATTTGATTTTAGGGTATACTTCCCCTTTAATTATACGCGTACTCCCCGATCGATCCTGCGCGCGGGGATCCCGGCGTGTATAACCTATGCCAGTGGTGTATGGAATCCTTGCAAGGTATGTAGCAACTTACTTACTTGATCATGGCGGAGAAGGAGCTGAAGGGAGGCGTGAACATGGTGAAGGGTGCCATGCAGCTCACATGTGTGCATGCTCTAACGCTACTCTACAATGCATACGAGGAACTGCACACGCACTCGCTACTGCTCTCGCAAGGTGGGTGGCTTCTCTCCAGTGATCCAGCCCGCCTCGAACTCAAAGGGTGGATCCACTGCACTTTGTCGCGGAACACATCAACACGACACTACAGTATACAGTACATGCATACTGACAAGGAGCACATGTCAGCAGAACTGGACGACCATCCCATTGAGTCCCCCCCCCTCAAACACACACACGCACTAAAACGGCACACATGACAATCACGGGCACGTGGTAAAGGAGCAGTTTGTTCACTGTTCATCTTCACGCCTATTGGCTTTGCAAGACATAAACATCAGCAGCAAGCACTCAAAATGCCAGCTGTGAACGCTGAGGTCAAGTTGTCACTAGACGTATGGCTCAGAGGCGGTCAAGAACGATGGGGAAAAACCAACTAGACTAGTGAAGGGAACGCAAGGATCAAACTGACCAAAAAAGTAGAAAAAGCTAAAACTTGGGAAATGTGAACTGCATCCAAGAGCAGGTATCTAAACCACCTATAAGCTGAATACACCGACAGCAGATATACACAGGCAAAGACACTATTAGTATATACACGGCCCACGACCAGAAAAGAGACGGAGGGACGGGGTGTAGCCAGCTACAACACAACTACGACGACGCAAAGATGAAGAGGATGATGAGGATGAGGTTTGATGACTGGAGTGCCACTGGACGCGGGTGAAGTGGCAGGCCATTGCATGGTTTAAAAGCTACAGAGACAGAGAGAAGAGTTTTAAAAGTGTACATATTGGTGTGTTGTAGTTTGCCGAAGTGGCGGGGGCAGCAGCCAAGTGAAGGGGGAAAGAGAAAGCGATACGAGGTAGTAAGGACATGATCAGTAAGGATGATGAATACGAGGATCTCAACAGTGAACTGATGTCAAGCACAGCGTCCCCAAAACAAGACCCAGCACATTGACCAGCAATGCACCATTCAAACCACACATATTCATACATACACATACACCATGTACGCAAACACACACACGCACGCACACACTGACTAAAACATAGGAACACCCATGCACCGGCACACAAGCATGTACAGAGGCGGACAGAAGAAGGAGAGGCGCTTAAAAACAAAAAGACCGATCAGGGGAGGGAAGAGGAGAGCCTCGGAGGCCACGGCCCGGAGACATGGCATAGCATATGATGTGTACTTCGAAGTACACACACTGGCAAAAGACCAGAGAACTATGTGCTGTACTGTACAGGGTGCAGAAAAAAGGCAAAAAGATGCAGTTTTGCCATCCGCATGTCGCCAGCGACGTGCATCACAACCACCCACCCACTTACATCAGCTGCGTCAGGGAGGTCGAATGATGTGAGCCACCACCACCGCCCTGGTACGACTTGGGCAGGTGCGGAGTCTCTTCCAGCTGGTCGTACTCTATGTGCATGTCGTGAACCGCCTTGCGCCACGTCGTCACATCAAACACGTAGTAGCGTCCAGTCTCGTAGAGCGTGTTCTTCACTGTCAGCGGTGTATCCATGCCCGTCGCTCGTGTCAACCACACTTTCTGCTCTTTGTGATATCTCCAGTCTCTCTGATAGAGCTCGGCAGCCGCCGCAAGTTGAAGAAGGTCTCCAGAGCTGAACACAAACAACCACGGTGGAAACAGATATGTTTGAACAGCGTGAATTTGTTTTCTGGTATCACCGTATGCATACACAACATAAATAATATTTATATGCAGGGTTCTAGCGAGCTCAAAATAGTGGGGGGGGGGGGGGGGGGGAGGGGGGGAGGGCAAGGGAAACAGCTGCCCTGTAACCCATATTTTTCCATTTTTCCACAAATATCCTGCCATGAAAAATGCAACGTAAGGGGTCGAACCCCCAACTTCACCCCAGACAAGCGCCTTTATTTTATGACCCCTCTATTTCCGACTATCGACTGCATTTTCGATGAATAGCATAAAAACGCCAACATCGAGAAGTGAGTAGGGGGCGCCACATTTCCACACTGGACCACAGGAGGGCGCTGCCCTCAAGCCCTATTGCCCCAGTGCTACAAAGGAACAAATCTCAGAGGTATGCAATGGGACATTAGCAAGCTACACTGCCACTTTGCAACACGGGTGCAATAAGTACATCCACTGCACTGCCATTGGTGCTGGCAAACATAAACTTGCACAGCGTCAAATCTCCATGAAACACCCATGAAAGAGATACTGCTGAGGATTCACCCAAATTGACAGGTTGGGGGGGGGGGGGGGGGGAAGTACACGGATACGGTTCTGCCCAAAAACCGCATAAAAGAACCTGCTAAAAATGTCTGGCACTAAACTCCACAGCCCAGCAAGGATCAGGGTACTGTAAAAGCAGAAATTGTCGGGTGTAATATTTTCGGTATTCTCCAAAATCCGAGGTTCAGTGGAGGGAAATTTTCGGGAAAGCCCGTTTCCCAGGTAAGTGTACTGCTGAGTAGTACCAAGAGTACATACCCCCCCCCCCCCCCCCCCTCCAGAGTATGCAACTCCCACATACCCTGCTGTCCCGACAGAATTTCAAGTTGACGTCATTATTTATGACGCAATGCTCCTTGCTCCAGTGATTTACCACGTTTTTCTTTGCAATAATTTGTACAGGATCGATCGGCTTCGGTCAACCACAGGTTCCGGATTCGTCTGATAATCCGTGTCAGTGCGCATTGCATCATCAAAATGATGTCAACTTGAAATTCTGTCGGGACAGCATAGTGGAGTTGCACACTCTGAGGGGTTATGCACTCTTGGTAGTAGATGTACCGACATTTTTAGTGCGTTTTATTTTAGGTAAAATTGTCGGCACAGAAGTTACCGAAAATAAAACACCACCGAAAATTTACAGTATATGCCGATATCACCTACCCCCCCCCCCCCCCCCTCACAGACACACACGCGTATCTAGCGCCGCACGCACATACCGGGTATGCATGCAAGCCGGGAGGCAGCATACAAGCACGCAAGCATGTGAACATGTACACCCACATGCACCCCCCCCCCCCCACACACACACACATACCGTAAAGTACCGTTGATCCACCCCCTCTCTAATTCCCGCCCCCTGTCGATTTTCTACCTGTGAGGCGACTTCGGCGTATACAACGAAATACGATGTTGAACCGACGCCTGCACTGCTGTACACAATATGTGCCAATCCAGGATGAAAATATGCACAATCCAGCACATTCAGTCTGATCCTCTACGTTGTTGTACATCGTACTGCACTTGACAGCCTTGATCTAATTCCTGCCCCCTGCCGAAAATCCAGCTGGGAAGCGACATGGCGTGGGGGGGTCAACGGTACTTTACGGTACATGCACAATCAGAGATCCTCCCCAGCGGATCTCAACACAGTCATAAAATCAACGGCACGTCTGCAATCTCACCTGTGATAGTACAAGTAGAATAGCAGATCTTCACCGTAACGATGGAGCTTGATAGGCGCCAGTTTATCCCGAATCAAGTTGTTGGTGTTGTATTCCTCTGGCACGCCAAAGTCGATATCCTGCGGGCGTGTAGGGCCATCGGAGAACGGTGATGTAAATGAGCTACATAAGGTGTCGGGGGATGTGAGATTCAAGCCCAGCGTGGTTAGGTCGCTGCCCAGCGCCAGCGACACCAAGTTCGGCTCGTTTTCCGCTACGCGTATGAACGTGAGCAGCCCTATCAGGCCAAACTGGTCCTTTACCATGCCCTGCGGCACGTTCGTGATCACGCCGTCTGATGTCGTCTGTATGCCCGGACCCATACGTGACTGCAATCCAGACGGAGCCTGCTGAGCAGGCAGCTCAGAACTGTGATACGTTCCTTTCGCAGGTCGCTGACCTATTACACCTACGTTCGACGATCTGGGGTGTGCGTCCTGGTGATTTGAATCAATCGGTATACTGCCCGTGATCCGAAAACTGTCGCCGCCAACACTACTGCTCAGATTCATGCCGCCAAAAGCAGAGGAAGACGACATATTCATCGGGAACATGCTCTGCGACAGCTTGCCATTGTCTCCCGTTTCTGACATGCCTGGCTTGAAGTTGCCGGAGCTGGGCAGTGCCGGGAAATCCTCACTGACCATGGTGAATTCCTGTTCTTGTCGCGGCTTAGACGCGATGCCATAGTTCCTGGGTGGTATGGGTGCTGTTCCCGACGCTAACCCGGACGTTGCCGATGCCTGGCTCTGGGGCCGGCGGCCATTCGAACGTCCCACCACAGGAAATTCCGACGGGTCCAGAGATTGAGATTCCAAACTAGATGGCTGTGACTGTTGCGTGACGAACGGCCGGTTCTCAAACCCTGTGGACGTGGCGTTTTGCTGCAAACGGATCTGGCCAGAAAACCCTGCGTTACTGGTTGACTGGCTTGTTGCTGTTACAGACATACTCCGCGACAACTTAGGCTGATTATTCATGGGCAAACTCGCAGAAGTTCCCGTTGCGTTGAAAGTGAACTGGCTTTGTGGCCCCATCCCATTCGCAGAGGGAGACAGGATGCTGCGGCTAGACATGCCATTGCCTGTCATACTTGGTACAGAACTCTGTGTGCTCAGTGGATTGGTGGGCATGGAACCACTATTGGATGTGTGTGCCTGGGTGGAACTACGGCTGCTCGTGCCGGCGAACTGGGCACCACGACTACCCATACTGCCAGTGTTTGTAGCCGACACTGTATTGTGTGCTGATGCACTACTGAGGGATCCATTGCTATTATATGCACCACCAAGGCCATAGTATCCTGATGTTGCAGCCTGGCTTTGGGTATACATAGAATTGAAATCCTTCTCACTGGTGCCAAAAAGCAAGGAGGACGAATTGAGTCCAAACTGCTGGCCATTGCTGCTCTCATCCTCAGGCATTTCATCGACGTTATCCCTATACATGCCCAACCTTGTTCTCTTCAGCTGCACACCGTTCACAGAAGAATTTTTGGAAGGAACAGGCGATCCAAGCTCTTGTTTCGAACCAGTTCCAAAACCAAGAGGATCTGGTATATGACGGCTTGCCATATCATTCAACAACTCCGCTGATTTGACTCCACCTGCGACCTCGCCGTAAACAAGCAGCGAGATAGCAATACTTAGAGGGCATTACAGCAAGACACAAAGCCAAGAATTGGAGTTGCCTCGTACGTGAGAGTGAAACTCACGTCATGGACGAGCGCGAGCATACATTCGTACATAAAGACAATGCAACTAACGTTACTTCGATGATTTTTCAAGAGGTCGAGGACGTCGACGATCACTGGATCGTACTCAAATCTGGTTGTACAGTAGACATCATACAGGATTATTCACAGTAGATCATAACTCAGTGCACCGCAAGGGATATCCACACGACCGACCAGGTCCACACTAGACCACAGCATGTGCTGAACTACCCGCTCAGCTGTGCAGTGCAGGGATCCCCGGCCGGGAGTCGTCAAAATATTTGTCCACTCTGTGCAGTACTGACCAGGGAGCCCTACAATACAGGCTACACAATTATAGTCTGTTTCAAAAAGATTTACAATCAGGTTTGGGTCTTAAAAAGTATGAAGATAAGGGAAATTTGGACAACAAAGTACATAGAATGGCTTGTTAGGACACGGCAAATAATTGTTCTGTGAAGGTTTCGGAACAATTGGACCAACCGTTAAGGAGTTAGAATTTCGGCCAGGTTTCCGGCCTTTTCCCATGGTTTACAATTTGCCCAGGAAGCCAGTATCGATTTTTTTATCAAAACCCACGATTTATCCTTTCCTTTTTGGCCTTGTGGTTATGAATGCTGTCTGCTGACCATGAATTAGTTGTGAGTTCAAATCCCAACCTATCCTCAAGTCAAACTTTTTTTCATTGTTTTGGTGATCAAGCTGGTACAAGACAAAGAAGATGGCTGCACCAAACGACTTGTTGTTGGAGGTCGCGCTTCCTGCCGAACTGACTGACACTTGACTGGCTCACGCCATGTGAACACACCCACAACACTGCAATGGTGTGAGTGAATATGGAAGTCATCGCGCTGTAGCTTTTTGAGATTTATTTTTAGTATTTCAAGATCGCCAATTTATTTGAATTTAGCAGTCAACGCCGTCTTCTATCAGCGTTCACAAGCGTCTGTTTTTCTCAAAATGTCGTCGAAGTCACACGGATAGCTTTGCCAAGTCATGGCCTTGGGAATGAGTCCGTGTCGATGTCGTTTTCGTCACACGGTGAGTAAATTGCATCGCAGCTCAAAGAAACTATTTTGGTCACAAAACGGATTGGGACATGATGGCCGAGCGAAGAAGGGCGAACCCCAACCCGCTGCATCTGATCCATGCCATTGTGATGGACTAAGGCTCATTCTTCTTCTCGCTGATGATCAGTCCGAGCCGCTTGTAAAGGGCAGTTGCCGCCTTGCCTTGGCCTCCGGTGGCACTGAATACGAGGGGAACGAAGGTGGCATGCTCCACCTCGCGAACACGCTCCTCATAATGCCGATGCTTCTCACGCTCATGTTTTGCGTATGCGGCGGGGATGAAGTGGACCGAGTTCGAGCCAGCATGAGGGTTGAACACCCGAATATCAAAGAAAGCTCGCTCAAACCGGCCACCCCATACCCTGCTGGCAGCAACATCCAGCCTGGCACCATCCTCACGGATAGCCGTCCGGTGATGAAATTCTCGCCAGATAACGGCTAGAGGCGTGGCTGCCACTCAATGCTGATATCATGAGCTGCTGATGTGAGCATAGTAGCGGTCAAGTCCCGCAGCTCGTTGTGCCGCAGAGACGGATAGCCACCTACTGGGCAAGAGAGGCGTGCGGGACAGTGAAGGCAGCTCCACAGGCACAGCTCTGGGGGAGGTGGGGCGGAGTCCACCCGTAGCGGAGGCAGACAGCATCTCGAAACGCGCCCTTGTGTAGCGAGAACCCATGATGCTTGAGTGGTCAACAGGCGACGATGCACCCTTTTCAGCCGCAAGATCCATGGACCTCTTCTCTGTCTCATGGTTTGAACTTTGAACCCTGGCAGCCGCAGGCGCCTGCTTTTATACGCGACATACGGTATGCGATGGGCAGTCACCTGTTTGCGTGGTTCGAGACAGGGAGTATTGTACGAGTACTACTCCCTGGTTCGAGATCATCTTTCTTACCGCCGCAACAGGATATATACATGTAGGCCGGCCGCCTAGGATGAAAAAGTTACTTCACGACTACCGTAGTGACGCGCATATAAGAGCATGTGCCTATACCCGGGCATAAGCGCACCCTCACAAATAAGCGCATGGACTTGTAAGTGAACCTAAATGCAGTCCATTCCGCGACAAACAGACACCACAAAAACACCATATTCACATAGCTATGTGCGTAATTATGCATGGTACCGGCACACTAGCAACTCAAGCGCATGCGCCAATGTGTGAGGCAAAACGACCCGCAAACTATTGAATAGCAAATACTTATTATATTTTAGACTACTAGACTTTACAGGGTACCTCACTTAAGTAAAATAAATAAAATAATAATAATAACTTCAAACTCTCCAAGAACGGTCTCTTCGCTGCATAGGTTCACTTCACTTCCAAAAAATATATTATTAGATATAAATGGAATGCACCAAATTTTCGGGCATGGCCCATCTTCAGGGTGAAAAGACTGTAGACTTTATAGAGAAAAAAATAAAAATGACTTTGTAGTAGTAGTACTACTTTTTGTAGTAGATCTACGCAGGGAGTCGTCAAGTATTTGACGACTCCCTGGTACATGTAGTACGATTATTATTACTGTAGATCAGGGAGTCGTAAAATACCGGTATTTTACGACTCCCTGCTGTAGATCTACGGATCGAGATGTAGCGCTAGCGCACTTCCTAGGCTAGGGCCTAGGGCCGTGTTCTTGGTCGCTCGACGAGTCCGAGATATCCTATCGACGATCGTCGTAGATCTACGACTTCAGTTACTTCAAGTAAGTGGGCGCCAGGGAGTCGTAAAATACCGGTATTTTACGACTCCCTGGTGCGCGCCACTCGCACTTCGACTGTATTGCGCATGCCCATATATTATCACTATGGACTCAGTGAGGAAAATGATAGGCGAAAGTCGTTGATGTTTGAAGACGTTGAGAAAATAATCAACACCATTGAAAATTGCTGAATTCTTACTCAGAATAGTATTTCGGCTTTCGTGAGTTAGATCGGGACAGTCATGGCGTCCAAAGCCCCCAAAGTTCAGAAGGTGATGGTTCAGCCCATCAACCTCATCTTCCGCTTCCTGCAGAATCGGTCGCGCGTTCAAGTTTGGCTGTATGATCAGAAGTACTTCAGAATTGAGGGACAAATTATTGGATTTGACGAGTACATGAACCTGGTCATGGACAACGCCGAGGAAGTACATCTTAAGGCAGAGACGCGGAGAAAGATTGGAAAAATCCTACTGAAGGGTGACAATATTACTTTGCTGATGAACGTGAGTTGATGATTTACCATGAAATTTTTAGAATTGTGTTTTCGTTTTGTACATAGATTATTTGTCGTCTGACTTTACGAGCTGCTACTTTGCTAATGCTTCATGAAACACAAGCATAACATCCGGGGTTTTCTTCTTCCTGCCATCTCCTGTCTTGCCATTCTAACTAATATTCACTCACCACCTGCTTCATTTTGATTGCATATTTCTACCTTTACTTCTGTAAGCCTTGTGCATTGATGAAATGCTCAATCATGTACAGTACTGCATTACGTCAGGCCTTGAAAAAACTTTTTTTATGTTCAAAGTGTATGCAATCCATTGAACTTGATATGTTTCTCCTTGAAACACGTTCTTTTGAACAAAGATCCGATGTCAATGCGGTGACATACAGTCTTCTCCTCTTATAATGAAATCGCATCTAACGAAATCCGTGATGTAGCAAACCATAGGCCTTATGCACGTTGTACAGATGCACAACATCTCGTAGAATCCCGTAGACCCGGTTGGGTGTTGAATGTGCACGACCCTATTGTGTTTACTGCTATTTCCACCAAGAAATGGTCCCTGAAGGCATTTCATGCGAAAACTTTTTTTCTGACAATCTATCTAGCTGGGAAAGCGATTGTTTGTTATTCCTAATGAGGCTAAATTGGTCAAATGCGCATGTATAACAGTCACACAAGGAACACCCAACCGGGTATGTACAGACCTACGGCCCTAGTACAGAGCTTCGTACATCTGTGCAATGTGCGTAAGGACCATTGTCTATGTCCCAGTTTGAATCCATACAGAATTGTTCCTTTGTAGCGAGCTGGTCTCGTTTGTAACGAACTATAAACTTGCAGGGGAACATGTAAACTGAGTGCAGTTATGCAGTCGCTGGCCGCATGGCAGGCACAGCGTGTTGTGAGGGCACTTTTTTTTTATATAGAACTAATTCTGCGCGTTCGTGTTCGTTATATCAGGAGTTGACTGTACATGTACAGTCGTCGCTAAAACAGCCGGCCAACGCCATGGATGCAGTGGTATGGTACGCGTTCACCGGCTGTACTTCATCGTTCATGGTGGCGTGGTGGCATGCATGCATTTACAATCAGTACCAGCACTGCACTGAACAGTTTGCGCTCCAGTCGGGTCGAGCACTGCACTGAGTGTATGCACCCATGCAGGCCTGGCAGCAGGGCATGTGCAGTGGCTAGTACATGTACCAGCAGTAGCAGTGCATGCGGCCCATGCACCGTACAGCTACCGGTAGCTAGCATAGCATTGGCTGGATTTTTTGGCGACAACTATACTAGGATATCAGCTGATGCTGTTGGCGCGTGCATTTCTACCGTTTGGGCTGGGGAAATTGCAAGAATCGTTTTGATCGATACTCTGGCAAGATTTTTTGGGATTTCGCCTTGCGTTGGGAGCAGCACATGCTTCCCACTGTGCCCGGCGTGTCTAATGAAATCAGTAACCAGGTTTGTTTGTTGCCCAACTGATTGATTGTCCACCAGTTAGAGAAGGCGGTTGACGACCAAGTGGACGCTTGGCTGAGTTCCGAAACTGACTGATATGTCAGTTCCAACCACCGAACACTGTACATTGTATCCGGTGGCGGCTACTTCCGCAGCACAACGTACTCACAGTCCTGCAAGTTGAATAGCCCTCTCCATTCCTTCTTATGCACTCAACCCACCCTTATCTGGCTACCGGAAAGCACAGAACACACCTTCAAAACAGCTCCCTTAGAATGGTCGGCGAACCAGGGTCGGGTTGTATGTTGAACCAGTGTTTACATGCTTTGACGTAATATACAGGTACATGTACCGTATTTCTCGGAGTATAAACTGCACTTTTGACACTCGTAATTCACACCAAAATGTCCGTGTGGCTTATACAGTCGTCCCTCTCTAATCCGGCACTTGTTTATCCAGCACCCTTGCAAACCAGCACACATTCTGGCAAAACGGATTTTTTCAGTTCATTTTCTACGCTTTAATCCGGCATTTGAATTCCGCCTCCAGCAGCGATTTTCCGCAACAAATCACTCAAACTGTACATACTTCGATTTTCTAATCCAGCAGTTGTACATCGCATACTGTCAGGGAGCATTGTAACATACACAACACATGTAACATACACTTGGGAATATGCCAGTGCATAGGATATTCTGTCCCCGGGGAAAATTGCGGAAAAAATCGCAAAAAAACGCGGCATAATATGGCATAATTTGCGGTAAATATGCGGTGAATAATATTATGTGCGGCAATTTTCAGTGAGTATGTGTATGTCAAAGACATGCATGCCACAAAGTACTTGGGTTGACACAGAAAATCCCTACGTTTTGACATACGACACGAAGTTCACAAACATGTATGTTAACAGGTGGGCCGGGTTGAAGGGCAGGAATTGATAATCCAGCACCCTTGTTTATCCAGCAGAAAATGCCGTTGCAAAAGGTGCCGGATTAGAGAGGGATGACTTTACTACGATGGCCAATTGAACTCTCACATTCAGAGTACCGGTAGATGTCTGTATTTTGTGACAAAAAAAAAATAGGTACGGCTAATACTCCAGAAAATACGGTACACTACCTTAGGGGCTATCCGGCATTATCGATAATTTTCACGAAACGAAAAAAGTTTAGTTAGTACCCTCCCCCACCCACCAACCCTGGACGAAAAATAGATTGACTTGACAGCAAGAATGCCTTGAGGTCTCCCATATCAATATTTTTCAAAACGAAACTCCCCTTGACCCACCCACCCATAAACGAAACTTTTTCTTTTCGTGTAAAAGATCGATAATTATGGACGGCCCCTTAGGACATGTATTTGTGTTTGGAGTTCACTTGTTGGCCTTGCCCTGCCACATGGATGGGAGAGAAAGAGGGGCGCATTTCCACAATGTTTACATTGTGACATCTCGGAATCTGTTGAGCCTCTGCAGTCAGTTTGTTCTTGACTACAGCACACTAGCATGGAGTTGTACCGTACTGTCTTGTATAAAGCCTCTCTCGTATAGAAGCCTGTTTGTACTACAAGTACAAGCCTGATTTTCAAGATGCACCGTCAGCACATGTGCCTGGTTTTAGTATTGGCATACATTGAAATACCTGATGTGAATAGAACCCTAACACTGACATTGGCTTTTACAGAAATAAGCCCGGCCCTTACACACGACATGGTATACACTAGTATGTGTGATGTACCGTGATGTCGCGTATAAGGGGCCGTCCGGGGTTATCGATTGTTTTTACAAAACGAAAAGTTTTAGTATTTTTCAGCCCCCACCCACCCACCCACCTTTTCTGCAGGTAAAACGAATTCCAATAAAATATTGATGTCAATTTTCGACATCCAGAAGTAACTGGGCATTCTCAATCAGCATTCAATAATTATTTTCAAAACGAAACACCATCAAACCCACCCACCCACAAACGAAAACATTTCGTTTTGAAAATATTATTGGTAACCTCGGACAGCCCCTAAGGGTCAGACTTGACCACTTGAATTTTAATAAAGGTCCTTAAAACTGTGGTCAATTCCTTGCACCAAACGCCACTCAGCAGAAAACAGAGGAACATCTGTAAGGGAGACTACAACACCGTTACACGTACACAAGTACAGGTACCTACATGTACTTGAAATCGCCAAGACATACTTGCATTATGTCCATGCACACATGCTTGTTATGTACTCAGACCATCTTTCTTCAAGACATGACTGTATATCTCTGTTATCTGTCTTCATGGGGTCCTGACGAACTTTGGGCATTTCAGTTCTCGCAAGTCAGTTCAAAGTCAATAGACAAAGCAGCGTGTGCGCATCCATTTTGCACAGAGTCGCTTGAGCCGGTACCCAGCACTCGGCAGTATAGGAACATCACAGTCATTCATGATTGTTCCCATACTGTCCGCATGCAGCAACCATGTAACAATTACATCCAGAGGAGTTGTGGCCATTAATCCACGGGTGCTACGGCGATGTTTGCACCAGTGGAGTCGGCCAGTTGAAACCTTTCTACGATCACGCCGTTCGCCTGGCCTCGGAGATTGAGATCATTGTTCTGGACGTGGGGGTGCAGGTGAGTCGACCACATCCGCGGCGTGGCGTAGCGCTTGCTGGTGAACGCACTTGCATCCGGGGACGTGTAGCTGAGCTGCTTGGTTGTACAGTAGTCGGTCCTGCCTTCCTCCAGCGCCTGCTTCTTCCACTTTGCCTGGCAAAACCCAATGACAGTCGCACACAGCCATGCGGACAGAGAACATGCTCAACGCATGGGCCGTGCAAGCAGCATACTGGTATCCCTGCACACATGCAGCAATCCTCACACCCCATAATACCAAAATGATTTATGTCCATGCACCATCTCACTGCTTTTCGTCAGTGACGCCCAAGCATACTTCACCCAATACTCTGACTGACAAGCTAAGCATCTTCTTTTCGCAATCCAGTCCGCTGTAAGAAAGCATTCAAATTCAGACTGAAGGGAAATTTAGCGGGCAGAATGGGAAAGCTGTTATGGTGAAAAGCTCATAATGGCATTTACCCCAGCGGAATTGGGATCCACTTTGCACGGTACTCCAAAATTTCTCCCACCCAAACTTTGCACGCCTTAGGGACCGTCCGTAATTACATGTATCTTCTCAGAGACGTCTAACAGGCGTTTCTGGTGGGTGGGTTCGCCTGCAAGGCGTTTCTAAAAAATACATTTTGGAGTGCATGCATACCATACCGCACGGTGTATGTAGATCTACACGATGTAGCACTGCTACAGCTAGTAGTAGTAGTACAGGTAGGCGTTGAGACGCACTACGCTGCACTGCACGAGTCGCGGCAGAGTGGCCAGGGAGACAGGGAGACTGTTCGCCATAAAGGGTCAATTGTTGTATGGATTCAAACAGGGACATGGACAGGGGTTTACTATACTGTCAGACCTCGCATAACCGCACACATCCGTTTTCCAGAAAAAAATACGGATAGGCGAGGGAACCGGATAATCGAACACACATACTGTATGTGTGCATGGCATATGCTGTAAATCGGTAACCAACGATTTTCTTCCGGATGGCGAGGGATCCGAATAAACAAGGACCGGATAGGCGAGGTCTGACTGAATCATGAAATTCGCTATATGCGAGTTCGTTATAAGTGGAGCCGTCTGTACTGTATATGTATAGAATAAACACCGATGTCGTAGTGTTTATTATGAGTGGTATTATCTGCATTTTTTGGGTGGGTAGGTCAAGAAAGAAACGCCTCTCAGACGTCTCTAAGTAAATACATGTATTTACGGACGGCCCCTGTAATACTTGCATATCACTCGGCGAGGCAATGGCACGTATTCACTGAAGGCGCACGTGACTAGCGCTGCGGGGAAACAAGTAGGTTTTCTCATTTGCGTACATAGTAAATTCGCACTTTACTCTTGCCTTGTTGAGCCGTCTCGAACGTTGTATTCCGCAAATTCCACTTCGTTGGGTCACTACTATTGTATACCTTGAAGACCAGTAGTCTATATCGAAAGAAACTCACAAGTTCCAGCGATTAGAGAAACTTCTTCTCCACGCATTTGTATACATTTGTATGCGGAATCGAACAAGTGTCCCCACAGCGTGGCTCACGTGCGCCCATACCATGTATGCAGCGTGGGCGTCCGCCATTTTAGATGAATACGTGCCATTATCTCATCATGACTTGTAACGACTGTCATGCATCACTGGTGTGGTATTCCAGCACAATGTTAGTCTACAGATACTACCGCAAAACCTGTAACTAAAGACCACTGTGACTCACTACCAGCCTGGTACTACAGACCATTTCGCCAAGCACGGACGGTCTCACATTAATATATTATGGTTGTGCGGTGCAAACCTCTAACTAAGGACCACCAGTCACTCTAAAGACCGCTTTCTCTGGCCCCAAGGGGTGGTCGTTAGTCACAGGTTTTACTGTAGTATTGTTGTGTTAGAAAGTATTAGTAAGCTGCATTGTATGCACCCGGCTGTAGATAGTAACTGACCTTCATCTTGTCGAAAGCACCGGTTTGTGTTGGCGTCCCTACACCAACACGACACAGTAGCAACACACAAAAACTTGACATGCATACTCCCAGTCTGCTAATTGCCTGCAGGAGGGGAAAATCAGGCGTACTTGTATGTCAAAGACAACAAAGATCCCCTGGCACCCACCACTCCTTATGAGAGAAAGAAGCTGACTCCAGGTTGTTCTTGGAAATGAAGTACAATGTCAATGACTCAATGGGTGAAGGTATAGAATGCTGAGTCAGGGTTAGGTGGGAAATACCATATGCATGCAGTGCACGGCATGTGGAGAAAATAGAGAGAGAGAGAGAGAGATAGAGAGAGAGATAGATAGATAGATAGAGAGAGAGATAGAGAGAGATATATAGATAGATAGAGATAGATAGAGATATATAGATAGATAGATAGATAGAGAAAGAGAGAGAGAGAAAGAGAGAGAGAGAAAGAGAGAGAGAGAGAGTGTGAAGATTGCGGGCATGCATCACAGAAAAAGCGACAGATATGGACCGGCATATTTGGTGGAGATGCATTCTTGGCCACCAAGTACATGTACTGTAGTGTCTTGTAGCAAAGCCTTTCTCGAAAAGTAGCCTATGTGCTGAGAAGTCTGAAGAAAATGTTGAAGAAAATGTTGAACGGTCTCTGCTGGGATGACGACTACACCACTACACCATAGCTCAGTGGGCATGGCTGGCTACAAGCGAGGGTCCCTGGTTCGAGTCCTGGTAGTGACAGTCAATTTTTTCTTCAGGCTTTTCCCGTTGGTGTCTTTCCCTCAAACCAGTGAATATTTGAATACAAGCCTGATTTCCAAGATACACTGTCGGCACATAAGCCTGGTTTTAGTGTTGACACACATAGAAATACCTGGTTTGACTGATGATAGAAGCCTGATGTGAATAGAAGCCTAGCCCTTACATCGGCTTCTACAGGAATAAGCCCGGCTTTAATACGCGACATTACGGTATGTGTACAGTTACCCCATCCACGAAAATTGTATCCATTCAGTACTGACACGGGTCATGGACGGGGGGGGGGGGGGGCAAGGGAATCACCTGCGTTCAGTAGATCTGACCGTTCCGGCCTCCACTCAGAATGCCACTTGTCCCAGGAGCGGGTCTGAGCTGTGCCAGCACTGCGCGCAAAGTCCTGGTCGTACGAGGTCACGGCGAGACCGTCCACAAACTTCTCACCATGGTGGTGTGTCAAGTTTTTCGCCGGTATGCCCTGCATGATCAAAAATCAAGCAGAGCATATGCAGTTGGTCCGCATTCGAGTCCGACATTGGTGTATACTCTGGTGTATATTCTCAGTAGGGACAATCAAGTATATGCCAAAGACAAGGATGATCCCGGCACCGTTCCTCATAGGAGAATGAGAGAAAGAAACGTTAGGGACCATCGCAAAAGCTTCTGCACTAACCTCAAGCTCAGCAACGGTTGGTCATCGACATGCTGGGTAACTTAGTACATCCTCAGCTTGGCCGGGTCCTGGAGTGAGGCGGGGGGGGGGGGGGGGGGGGGGGCAGGCCTGCTTGACCATTGCCCCCCTGCAACATTTCAATTTTTCATTGTCCCCACAGGCGGCCTTCTGCAAACGGTCCATGCATGCCTTCGTAGTGTTCCGGTTTGCACAACAAGCACATGTCTGCACAATCAATATGACTGTATCCTAAAACATCAGTTTGGCAAACTATCAATAGAGAGGTTCCGGAGTACGATTTTTCGTGCCAAAATCCGTAGAGGCGTTACGGATATTTTATACATCGTTTTTGAGCACTGAAATGTTGCGGAGTACGGAATTTAGGCGTTTGCCGTCATTGCCTAGGTTACGATCACAAACACGTCATTTCCCCGTGCTATGCCTTTTTATTTTGAATCGAAATTAAAACTTTTGCGGAAAATTGATGTTTCTCGTGCCAAATTTGTACGCGAAAAATCTTTCTGCACTCAATGACGCAAAATCTCCATACGAAACCTGGTTCGTATGAAAGCCAGTCAACGAAAAATCGTATGAAGCACGCCTCGAAAAATCCGTAGCGCCCATACGGATTTTGGCACGGAAAATCGTACCCCGGAACCTCTCTAATCATCCATTAATTTGAAGTACTGTGGCGGTATGTGACGCTCACACACACACCACACACATACACACCCACACATGTACACGTACATGTACACACACACACACACACACACACACACACACACACACACACACACACACACACACACACACACACACACATAGCCGCAGCAGCCTTACATCATTGCGAAGGAGGCCCCCAAGACGCTTCTCCCTGGCTGCTTGCACATCCTCCCCCATACTGCTACTTGGGAGAAAGACGGTACGATAGGACGAGTTGACGTCCGAGTGGGCGCCCCGAGTGAACTGCAACACAATACAGCCAAACAAATTCAAATAGACTTCAACAAAAGGCAGTGCTGGATGGATTTATCACATTGCCAGATTGGAAGATCTTCTGCCGGAGACTACATATGCCAGTATTAAAAATGCTGTTGCACACTCTTGAGGGTTAAGTTAAATACATACATTATAACAAGTGTACATACTCATGGTAACACTTATCCGATGATGTCATGATTGTGATGTGTGTGTGTGTGTGTGTGTGTGTGCACGTGTGTGTATGTACTGTCGTGGACATGGAAATCCGGCCACATGTCTAGCGGCCCCAGGGCGCTGGCCATGCAGCTGTGGGTAAGCGGTACACACATGTACAGGCATTTATGCGCATCGGATCAACATGTGCACTGCATACAACAATGGTTACATTCTGTACGCGCCAGGGATGGGCGGATTCTGCTCGAAAAGGTGGCAGATTCTGCTCGAAAAGCAGTGAGATTGGCAGAACCACACAGACCTTATGGCGGTCAATTCCTCGGATTCTGCTCCATTTCTTTATCCACATGCCAAACATGCATGGGACTCACCAGAAAAAGTACCGAATTCTGCCCTTTTTTGATTTTTCTGCCGGCAGAATCCGCCGGACCCTAGTACGCGGTGAGGGTGCCGGCCCCGGTTATCCGACTTGATTTCCATGTCCATGACAGTACATTGCTGCTCAATGAAATCCAGTCGAGCCATTCAAGTACGTGCTGGGCATCGCTTGCACATACCTAGACCTGCGAACACTGGGCTGCGAAATGGTGCAAGGCGCACACTTGAGTGCCGCGACTGGATTTCATTGAGCACCACTGTATGTGTGTGTGTGTGTGTGTACGCGCGCACGTGTGCTTGCATGTCTGTGTGTGCAAGCGCGCATGTGTGTCACTGTGTGTGGCGTGGTGGTGGTGATGGTGTGTGTGTGTGTGTGTGTGTGTGTGTGTGTGCACGCCCGCACGCGCGCGTCTGTGTGCTTGCGTGCGGTAGCAATGAGTGATCCAGTTCACTGTACACCAGGTACGCCAGTACAATGTATACATGTCACGCACAATGCACATGGATGATGTACCATAGGCATAGCGTAATGATGCAGCCAGCGCACTCACCTCCATACGGTTCTCATACCAGTTGCCCAGGAGGACATCAGTGTTGTAGCGTTTCGGTACCGTCCAGCCTGCATCCTTCCTAGTGAAGTCCATTATCAAGCTGGATCGAGGTTAGCGAGACCGTGCAGCTGGAGATCCCTGCTGCCGTACACTGGCACTACCGAGCCGGCTTTCTACCTCGTAGATGGACCAATCTATCAGCAATCGCGCTCACCAGTGAGGCGAGTCGTGACCACTGAGTAGCTCCAGGCTTGAGCCGTCAGAAAGGTCGGTCAAGCCTTCGATAGCCACGGTATCTAACTACTGAATTAACCAGGAGCACACAAACGAGTCTCCGCGAAGTAGTTGTCGAGCAGCGCACCTTCACTATTACCGATACGACTCCGACGCCCGCGACACCGATGATCGCCTGTACCCGATACAAACTCGGCGGAACTGGTAGTGGAAACTGCTGTTGCTCGGAGTCCACAACAAGATGCCTAGCCACCGCACAGAGCTTCTGTGCCCTGGCTTCTTCCTTCCTGAGGACGGCTCCAAATCTTTGATAATTACCTGAAAGAGACTTCCAGCAAGCCAAGTCGAGCCTCCCCAGCTACTTGTACAGTGTAGTATCCCAGCCTGTCTCTAGCTCTGTGAATGACATGTGATCCTGTCCGCCCACCTCCTGCATTTTGTGTAAAGAAGTGATGATGATACAATGAGTCTTTGTACTTGATGCTCGTGACTTGCCCACGTTAGTGACCATGGATACCATGCCTTATCATTGTCATGGACACCAGGGTGCTTGTGAGCAAGAGTAGTCATGTTTTTTATGTAGATCTACACTCGACTACAGACTAGTCTACAACTACAAAGTACAAGACTACAGACTACAGTACAGTGCTCTTGACTGGTCTTGTTGTGAGCAGGGAGTCGTAAAATTTTACGACTCCCTGGTTGTGAGTGAAACGAAAGCAGATGCAGGTAGTCGTGAAAAGCACTTCATCCATTATAAGTTTATAAATTATAACTACACCACACTGTACGTTAGGACACCAGCTAACACCCCGCCTATCATAGGTGGGCACTTGCCGCTGTATTGGAACTCCGCACAACTCCAGGAGAACCAAGCCCCATGTCTCATGCAGCCAATGGATAGTGAATGGGCTTGAAAGGTCAGGTTTGGTGAACACGGACATCCGGACAACTGAAAACTGTGCTGCGCTGCGCCAGCAGGCATATACTATAAGTAGCCCGTACCGAGTAGCTACACAAAGAGCCTACTTGTACAGCCTACACCATGGAAGCAACCAGAACAAGCAAAGAGCCTACACCCTACGCCATGGAAGCAACCAGAACAAGCAAAGAGCAGGGCGCTGGGTATTCAACATGAAAATGAATGGTAACAAGTTCCTAACAGCAAGCGGAAGAAAACACCACTGGTTATAAGAAACGGCAACACAACTCTCTACAAATCACAGCATAGTGAGCGTGGCTAGTTGGAATTGAAGACTGTTAGAAAGTAAGGTCCCAAGCGATTGGGAAAGTAACTTAGTTGGCGCCTATGTGTGTATGTGTGTCATCTATAGTTATGTGTGTGTGCGCGCGCGCAGATATAACGGTAACTGACTAAAGCATTCCTAAGCAAAAGATAAGCTGCGGTGCAGCAGTAGCGAGAACGCATACTTGATCTGTAGGTGGATGTGGCCAGTCCCCACCATCACAGTGAGGATGGATCCGGTGCCAGCTGTATGTACCGCACTGGAGAACGGAATTGCGAAAGTATGAGTTATGGAAAGAAAAGAGCGAGCACGAGAAAGAACAGGAGAGACAGAGAGATAGATAGATAGAGAGAGAGGGAGAGAGAGACTTGATGGAGAGAGGGGACTGGAATGGACTGTCTAGAACATAGAACATGTCGACGCGGGTTGCAGGACGGTCCATCGCTGGATTAAGGCCGTTGTAATAAGCTGTGTGATATAAACAGCATGCCAAACAATGCGTAGTTATTACCAGCAGCAGCTGTTGCAAGTGAGAATGGAGCACAACAGCTCGGTGTTTAGAAATCATTCAACCACCACTGCACTGGGTTTTGTAAACCATTACTGAATTGCATGGATCCAATGCTGACTGCCGCCGCTGCTGATCGTGGGGTTATAAAGAGTGCAGCAGGGCCAGCAGATGAGCAAATGTAAGCTAGTGCCTGCTTCACAACGATGCTAGAGACAAGGACAAGCTATGGCGTGCTGTCACAGCATGAGCAGTAGTGCAACTGCTCCTCGTGAGTTGCGCTGCTTTCCACCTAGGTAGCTGGCTCACTTGATTTGGTTGTCTCTGCTGGCTGACTCTCCTCTGCTGCCTGTGGGGCTTCGCTGGATTCCTCGGCCTTGGGTTCGGGCTCTGTTTCCGTCTGTTCTTCCACCTCAGCAGCACCAGGAACATCTGCAGGTTCCTCTGCCTTTTCCTCCTGTGTGGCCTCCTCGGCTGGCTGACTAGTAGACCCTTCTGGTGGAGATGCGGCAGCTGGGCTGGCTTCAGCCGCTGCCTCTGCTGACTCACTGGCTGCAGCAGGCTCTTCCGGCTGTGCTGATGGCTCGGATGGTGCAGCCGCCGCCTCCGTGACGACCTCCTTAGCAGGTTCCGCTGTTTCTTGCTCCTGGACCTCTCCACTGTTCGCTTGATCATTGGGTTGGGTCTCTGTGCTTGAAGATGCGGTGGCATCACCGGCTGCTGCTGCTTCTGAAGTGTCACCGGTCAATTCGCGTGCCAGACGGTAAATGTCAGCGTTGACTAGATACAGTGCTGGCTGTTTGCTATCCTTACCTTCACCGTCGCCCGCAGCCTGCAGAATAGCATCTTGGACCAATGCCTGAGCGAGCGTCTCCGTCGGCAACCCCATGAACATGCGGGAAGCGATGCGCGTCAAGCTGCCAGCCCCGTAGCGCACTAGCGCGCCAGGACGGAAGATCGACGTGCGCGTGAAGTCCATCTTGACGACGGCATCGTCCGCCTCGCCCTTTGTCCGTAGATACAGGAACATACTACTTGCCGACGCCATGGTGGAAGACACAATAGATGTGTGACGTACACCTGTGGCCTTGGCAATCTCTGCCAGCTTAACAACCAGATGATAGTCAATCTTCCTGAAATTTTCCGCGGATCCTGCCTTACTCTTAGTCGTGCCCAAACAACAGAAGTATACGTGTGCTCCTTCGAAGTACTCTTTGCCTTTCTCAGCCGTCAAGTCGTCAAATGAGGAGACAACATGCTGCTGAAGCCGCCCCTTCGACTCTTCCTCCACCTGGTCCACCCCAAAGTCAGAGTTAATCTGCAAACGCCTGCGACCGATCACAACAACTTCGCTGAAGTCAGATGACTTGAGGAGCTGGGGGACAAGACATTGTCCTGTTGCACCTGTTGCGCCGGAGACCACGGCCTTCAAAGGCAGGCCACCGACTCTTGCTGAGGCCATGGCAAACGAATTGAAGCTACAACACTGTAGTGCAAGAGAGAAGCTGCACTTCTGTAAGTACTTTCAAGACGGCTGGTTGTGCAACTAACGTTATACTTCCAATTCATCAGAAAAAGTAACAAAAGTGTCAGTGGAGTGACAAAAAATGTTGTTCTCGTCCACCAGCGCTGCAGCCGCGATATCGATGACAAGCCATGATGGTCATCGCTGCATAGCGCTATCTACCTACAACAGGCTGAGTACAAGTACAAGTACAAGGCAGGGCGGCATGTCTGATGTGCACGTGGCTTGTTTGAGTTTGGAGTTTGAAATCTTGACTTTTGTTTGAAGGGAATACCCCTTCGTGCAAGCTTCGTGCAAGTGGATGATCTGTAGGTAGGAACTACAGCAGTACAGGAAGTGGCTGCTTCAAAAGAAGTAGGGTCAGTTTTGAATATCTTCGGATCCTGACCTACAATGTAGCTGGGTAGATCCTTGTTGATTCACTTGATTTTGCAGCAACGAAATATGTGCCAGTGTGTTACAAGGACTTCGGGGTAGCTGTGAGCCGTGAGGAAGGATGGGTGTTAGCACGTAAGTCGAAAGATGAACCTCAGTGCAATGAATGTGTACTTTTCTGGTTCACTTTCCGAATTCATTTCCTTCAAACCTCCTTATTCAAGCTTGGAATGACAACAACATTGACAATGCCTGAATACATATTAGGGTTGAGGAAATGCGTCCATGTATATTTTTCAGTTACATTTTTACTTGGGAGAGATGCGTACGAATATGGGCGCACGCATAGATCGGTTTGTGTTGGAGAATTGCTGGTGGTGCTTGAACATTTGAGTTGCATATCTGCTTGCTAGCACAAAGATTTTTTTGTAGCTATACATTAATAAAACAACAATATTATTTAGACGAACGCAGAGTACAAAGCATTACGCATGGACATCATATTATGGTGCAATAGTACATGCGTCACGAAGCCAAACTTCTAATAGTCTCTCATGTCTGAGAAAGGTTGAAGACTGTTTCGAAAGTGTAACATTTGTGGTGCGTCCGTGCGTCATGCCGTGACTGTACATACAATGTTGGGCACAAGGCGGCTATTACATCCGAGAAGATATTTTTCAAAGAGAACTACAGGGCAAGTGGAGCGTTTGTTACGGCTCTACTCCAGAACGGCTAGAAGCAATAGGTAACATAGCTAGGGTACGGGTGAACGGTCGCTGGCATGCAGTATGCATTTCTGCACAATCGTTTTGCACAGAAGTTCTACAGAATAGTAGGATATGCAGAGCAAAGCAGCAGTAGCAGTAACAGCAACAGATAACAGCTTACAGGACATGGATGTATGGTACGGTATCACAGGTGTGCTCAAAGTCGGCGGCGTTCATGACTGCTGATACGTGCTGCTCGGACAACTTCGGTGGGGTTGGGATGCGCAGTCAGCCATGATGTTGGCGGTGCCACTGATATGCACAATCTCGTGCTTGTACCCTCTGAGAATGACTGCCCACCATTTCAGTCAGGACAACTGTTGCTGGCATGTCGGAATACTGTCCGAAGTACGCAGCAGAGGCTGTAGTCAATACAGATACGCATGATGGTGGCCGTACTGGTACATGTACATACACTATACATTGTGGAGATGGTTCACTGCACACACGCACAGACACACTCACAGACACACACTCACACACATATGCACACACCCGCGCACAGACACACACACACAGACACACACACACGCACACACACACACACGCACACACACACACACAACCAGCAGCGCAACAACAACAACATCACCACCACCACCACCACCGGCAACAACCTGACAAATGTACAACTACCAGTACACAGTTTGCTCTCAAGGACTTTATGCCATATATGACTGTGTGTGTGTGTGTGTTTGCGTGTTGTCTGCTCTGCATCCAGGTTGTTACCGATACCGACTGGCCCCGGCCGCAGCACCACTCACCAGCAGCTGGCTGACCTGGAGCAGCGCATCATAACGCTGGGCGCTAAGAAGGTTGGCCTGTGGTCGGTGCACTGCACAACCTACCACTCTACTTCTCTGCTCAGTGAGTGAAAGCTGGTTTGCCCTATGCCCATCACGTCACGTCGCATCACTATTTCCACCAAAAACGGCGAAACAGCCATAATAGAGAGGTTAAGATGCACGTTATTTCTGACGTGACGTGAAAGTTCAGCTCACGTTATTTTCTCGCGCGTTGAAAAAACAACGCGAGTGACTTGCAGCTCACGTCGAAATTTGGAGTTTTACGCCAAATTGGACGTGAAATTGCGCGTCACGTCGGAAATAACGTGCATCTTAACCTCTCTATTATCTCCACTTAACCCCACCCACAGGCCAGGGTACCCGGTAGACTGAGGTGCAAGGCAATCGCAGTTGCCTGTGAAATCGTCCAACCTGCAATGTTTCAATACCAGATCGCTGTTGCACGATTGGACTTGGCTGCAACCCTCAAAACACATCTCAATGTAACAGCCTTACGCACATTTGCACTCTACGGGGGTTACGTACTCTTGATAATACAAAGCTATGTGCTCTGATCGCTGGGTGGCATTTTCAATATGATTGTCATATTGAAGACACCAGTCCGGAATCAGAGCATGGAGCTTCAAGCCAGAAGTAGGATCACAGCATTACGATCGTAGTGTTTCTGTGTTGCTCCCATTTCTTCCTATATCATCATCATCATCATCAGCACTTTCGCGTTGGCATCGGCGTTAGCCTAGCCTTCGCTTGGGCCACACCCAATGTTAGACATGATACCAGAAGAGAAGGGGAGAAAAAAGAGAAAGAAAGCAAAACCAAAAACGAAAAAGGGAAAAATATAGGTGAACAAACACTTGATCATATGCATACTATTCAAAGACACTACCAATGCAACACGCTGGTGCGGCACCAATATACCTAACGTGTATTGTAAGTCTACAATTTCTGGCGCGTTTAAATTCCGGCTTCCCATGGCTAAAACCCATTTTGGCCGCATTTTTGTATATTTCAACCTGTACTGCTGCTGCCTGTACACACTGTCACACTGAACCTTGCGAAACAAAATACGGCTGCAGCAAAGTTTTCGACCAAAATGCCCAGCCCAAAAATGGGCGAAAATATATACCTGATGGTTGCTCCTGGCCGAAAAATTTGATTGCGATAATTATTGTAAATAATTGCAGCGAAGAGACCACTTGATTTGAAGATGGTGTGTGTAAGGTTTTTCATGAAAATAAATAATTATGACTGTGCCGAATATTAAATTTTGTTGACTTATCATCATGAGAAGTTTTTGAGTCTCTTGCTTGCAGGGTGACGTGCACTGCTGTTTGCTGTGCCTTTCCGCTTCTGCAGCTACCGTACATGTGAACTACCCGCTGCATGTACTGCTGAGTAGCGAGGACGAGAGCAGTTCGTACGCGATAACGGGCAGTGGCGTGTGTCTGTCTGGCGACAGAGACCTGAGCCTGATTATTGCACAGCTCAAGACGTTCTACACGAAACGGCTGTCCATCACGATAGAGGTAGGAGCGACCAGGAGATGGATGCCTTTCCCTTGTCACTTGGTGTGTGTGTGTGTGTGTGGGAGAGAGAGAGATTGTGCGTGAGAGTGTGTGTGTGTGTGTATACAGTAGAACCTGGTGTAAGCAACCTCTGGGTTTAGCGACCGTTTTTCCATGCACCGGCAGTTCTACACAGACACTGTGGGACCTGGTTTTAAAGACCACCTGGCTTTAACGACCGCTTTTGCTTGCACCGTGGGGTGGTCGCTTAAACCAGGTTTTACTGTATATAATTATATAATTGTGTGTGTGTGTGTGTGTGTGTGTGTGCGTGTGTGTGTGTGTATGTGTGTGTGTGTGTGGTGTGTGTGGTGTGTGTGTGTGGTGTGTGTGTGTGTATGTGTGTGTGTGTGTGTGCGTGTGTGTGTGTGTGTGTGTCTGTGTGGTGTGTGTGTGTGTGTGTGTGTGTGTGTGTATGCATGCGTGGCCAGGTTAGGCAGTGAGCAAGTACAAGTACCAATAGTAAAAAGTGTATTTGTGTGCATGTGTGTGTTTCAATTCTTGCAAGCTGTTGAATGGTGCAATCCCAGCACAAGCTGTAGCATCGCTATCATCGCCTCCGGCGATGAGCGTCAAATGGTCAAATGGTGTGTGTTTCTGTGTTTTCGTAGAAGACTATAGACAATTTATTTATTTATTTATTTATTTGCCGCTAGGGTTTATCGGGTGTTAGCGGCCGTCGTGAGTTCCCTTCGGGAACGGATACGATAATTTACTTTTATTTAATTTTTTTATAGACAATTTATATTCTGCAGTCGTGGGAGACACACACACAGCGGCACCCTATGAACATATTATTCATTGTTGAATTGCACTCATGCAATATTTACGACGTGCCTTGTTTGTGTCACTGCTGTGCTACAGGCTAAAGGCCCGCGGTACCAGCTGGGCGACTTCCTCATCAAACCGGGCGTGGTGTCGATGGGACCTAGCGCACACAGCAATATCCTTGAGGTATGCCCCTGCTCCGGGTTTTTGTCGGTGTGTATTGTTAATTGTCTCGGCACTACAGGACTACATTGCTGATGGACCAACGCTTACAGTACACATCGGATGTGCAGTTCCATGACCACGTACAGTGCCCTCCGGCAATTTTATTGGAACTGCAGCAGCAGCAGCTGTGTGTAGGTTTAGTTTAGTCTCGTCTGTGCCGGCGGAATTTTGAGTACTATAGTGTAGGCCAAAGGAGAGTGGCGTGTACTTGTTTTGTTTTCCTTGTTAGCCTGCATTCGGTGTCCCAACTACATGTACACTGCACTGGTGTATATTTGCTCGTTACCACTTCTTGCCTTACTACTTGGCGTCATGCAACCATTGGTTGTGCTGCTGCTGCTGCTGCTGCTGCTGGGCAGGGTGTTATCGTGTTTTATAAGTCCAGTAAACATGAGCCTCGTCAGCAGAACCTATGGTGTGTGCGTGCTTTCATGTGCGCGTGCATGTTACCTATGCTGTGTGTGTGTACTGTACCTTATGCTGTGTGTGTACTGTACCAGGTTGAATACATGCCGTCCTGTGTAGCCACGCAGTGCTGGGGACTACTCAAGCAGATGCTCCTGCAGATCATGGACCACAGCAACGTGGCCGAGATGCACCGGGACCCGCCCCAGGGGCACACCGACGGCGTCCTGTACACGCGCGCGCACACGATGAGCCAGTACATCGGCGTGTTCAGCCGCATATGGGGCACCAAGGCATCCCGGTGAGTTCCTGGGACAGTTGCCGGTGCAGCTACCATGTTGACTTGGCTGGTGATGTCCAGCACCTCGCCACAGTCACAGCTTAGTGGACGGATGTAAACAACATCTCCCTTCCCGGGCACATTCTCAAACTAGTCTTGTCGAATCAAGCAATTTAGCGCTGCCCGTACCATAATCCTTTCGGCAGTCTCCTTCCCTCATACGTGTACGTCAAACTGCCAATGGAGAAAACTTGATCCTATCTTGCAGGTGCATACTGAACATGAAAATTGAACGTACATCACGAAATCTCTATCCAGCATATAACTTTAAAAGACTCATTGCCGTCCAATGCGGACCAAAAAACGTTTTAGTAGGGAGCTTTTCCAGTATCTGTCTTGCGCTACTGCTGTGTCTATCGAGAAAGCCATATTTCTTGTTTAGGCTCCAATTGGGGGATGCTTTGAGTACAGGTCTTCGAAACATTTTAAAGTTTCTTCACTCAGGGCACATGCCCAGGCATCAGCTCTAAAGTATACTAGTAGCTGGATGTATGATTTTGCATCTCAAGCCTTTCTCATGCCGTCATAGTTTTCGGAGCTCGTTTTCTTTTCAGTGCTCCTGCTTTTAACGTGTGCACGTTCCTGCGGCTTTCTTTCCTTTTAAAAACTGTGTTGACTAGTGGTCTGTTCGCCCCCCTCTGACTTGGCAGCACCCTGTTGTTGGTGATGCTACGAGTAGTGATTTCTTTTATCAGGTTATCTCTGCAGTATTGCCTTAGCGAATTTAGAAATGTTCCACACATGTATTCTTGTGATGCGGCTCGTTCACTTTGCTCAATTTGATCTCACGTAAGGATCAAGGGAGTGGTGCGTTACCACTGGTGAATGAGCGTACTTGAACAACAAGATACCCTTCAGAGTTCTCAATTCGTAACGTCTACAGTATCCTCGAGATCGAGCCTGAAACTACAGTTCTGGCCGGAGAAATCCAACGTCATGAATAAAGTAGCGCCACGTTTGAGTGTACGGAACAGTGTATGCAGTGCTAGGGCTGCGTAGCAGCCGGCGCTATTTTATTCACGGGGTTGGACTTCTCTGGCCAATACTGTACCGAAGGTCAACACATATTCGCCGCATATTAATTTTCGGTTATATTCGGCCTGGTCATGTTTGGCCGAAAATTTGTTCCGGCCGAAATTTTGTTTTGCAAGGTTCAGTGTGACAGTGTTTTCAGGCGGCAGGAGTACAGGCCGAAAATCTGATGCGGCCGAAATGGGTTTTAGCCCTGGGAGGCCGAAATTTGATGCGGCCGAAATGGGTTTTAGCCCTGGGAGGCCGAAATTTGATGCGGCCGAAATGGGTTTTAGCCCTGGGAGGCCGAAATTTGAATAGGCCGAAATGGGTTTTAGCCCTGGGAGGCCGAAATTTGAATAGGCCGAAATGGGTTTTAGCCCTGGGAGGCCGAAATTTGAATAGGCCGAAATGGGTTTTAGCCCTGGGAGGCCAAAATTTGAATAGGCCGAAATGGGTTTTAGCCCTGGGAGGCCGAAAGTTTGTAGATTTACAGTAGTTGATCGAGACCCGCACTGGTCATATTACTTCGAAGTACCTATGCTTCCACTCTACTATGTGGGCTTGTTTTTAGTTGTTGCGAAGTAGGCTGTCGTTTGGAATCGTTGTGTCTCTTACTTCACGGCCTCAGTCTGGCCAAGAGTGGTGATTATGACTCCACTGTCGACAACGAATGAGGACTGGTCAAACTCTTTAAGCTTCTTTGGTATGGAATATTCGATTCATTTAGGGAAATATTCGATTCGTCCCGATTCCGAATATTCGTTCCACGAGTAGCTACTTGTATAACAAGTTGGGTATTGTTATGAAGTGTTATTCAATTCACCGATTATCTATGGGAAAAGTGTACGTTGACAAACGGGACACGGCAGGAACCCGCAGTGACAGGCACTTGCAGTAACGTAATCACATTGATTTCCTGGCAACAACATGCACATAAGCAGCATTGCAAGCACAAGTATGAGCATGCGCAAGGAGCACGCAGGTATGCTATGGCAGAAGTCTATGCGAACGCTATAGGAGTGGCATGCTGTGCACAATACAATCCTTAGGTCCATGTACATGCACATGAGCTCTTCACTAAAAACAAAGCTATGGACGGAGTTCTGCCTCGCCCACTACAAGGCTGCAGGCACAACCTGTCAACTACATGATTGTACTAGTAGCAGTACGGGCTACACTCACTCACTGGCATGGATGCTACTACTAGTACTTGGAGTAGGCCGCTGCCCAGCTGTGCGCCGTTCTAATCTTACACGGCGGTTGCTTCTAGTTCGTCTAGTTCGACAGGAATCCTGGATTCAGCTGGGGAGGTCGGTTCTGCAGGGGCAGTGTGCTCCACGGGTTCGGCAGGGGTAGTGGGCTCCACAGGTTCTGCAGGGGTAGTGGGCTCCACAGGTTCGGCAGGGGTAGTGGGCTCCGCAGGTTCGGCAGGGGTAGTGGGCTCCGTGGGTTCGGCAGGGGTAGTGGGCTCCGTGGGTTCGGCAGGGGCAGTGGGCTCCACAGGTTCTGCGTGGGTAGTGGGCTCCGTGGGTTCGGCAGGGGCAGTGGGCTCCACAGGTTCTGCGTGGGTAGTGGGATCGGCAGGGGCAGTGGGCTCCACAGGCTCTACATATTGAGCCTCTTGCGCGGCTGGCTCGTCTGGTTCGAATGCGCCATCATCACCCACTTCTGCATATACACAGTCGCCGTCGTCGTCGTCTTGCCTGTTGCGCTCCTCGATCCTGGGTAAAGCGTTGTCGATGGCCGCCGTGTCAACCTCGGAGTACATCCTGTTCTCATGTGAACCTGACCCAGCCAGCTCAGACTCCATACTGACCGCGCTTTTTGTCGTGCTCCCTTTGTCCGGCCGGGGCTGCCCCCACTTTGGCTTGTCGACCACCATGGCATTGTGGTAGGTGTTTTCACGATGCGGACGACCCAGCTGGTCCATTGGTACATCATAGTGTACGACTATGTCTTCTTCAGACTGCCTTTCTGTTAGCCGTAATCAAACAAGATAGAACGGCCACAGCAGCAGCAGCAGCAGCAGCAACAACAACACAACTTAACATTGGCAAGGTGAGCCAGGTGATATGTATGAGTACATCCATGCCTGGAAGAAGACTGTGACAAGATGAGGTACATGTACTCATGCCATCCAGTTGTTCCCTGTGTTATGATGAGGTACTGGTGTACTTATGCCATCCAGTTGTTCCCTGTGTTAAGATGAGGTACATGTACTCATGCCATCCAGTTGTTCCCCGTGTTATGATGAGGTACTGGTGTACTTATGCCATCCAGTTGTTCCCTGTGTTATGCACGGCACCATAAAGTACATGAATGGTGTATGAATAAACGTGGACTGTCGTTGTTCAGTTGTGAATCACTGATAATTATCTGTTCTGCGCGCTACCATTTGACCATTTGACGTCGATCGCCGGAGGCGATGATAGCGATGCTACAGCAGAAGCCATAGCAACTTGTGCTGGGATTGCACCATTCAACAGCTTGCACGGCTGAAGAATTGACCGCCACTGTTCAGCCTGGTCTACACCACACAGCTATGAAGTGGCTTTTTCTGGCCAGCGAATCCCTAGTTTTTGGTCTTTTCTACAGTAGAGTCGCACGCCCAAGAACGTCGTTTGCAAGAGGCATACGGCTGCAGGGGCGTACACCGCTCGCCTCCAAGAGTGGTTCCCATGCCAACTGATCAACCAACATTCCACACAATTGCAAGTGCTCTTATACGTATCCGACGGAGTTCCTGCATAAACTGCTGGATAATGTCATTACAACGCATTTTTGATATAAAAAGACTGAACTTTGCCAAGGCATTTTTATGGTTGTTTTGTTCAGCAGGACAATTTCATGCAGTCTTGAGTCGCGTTATATTCCCGAGAGGACTGTGGTACAGCTGCCCAAGCTTCGAATCATCTGGAGCAAACATGACGCAGGGCGGGCAGAAGCCACCATGGCATGCCCGTCAAAAGACTACCCAGGGAAACTCCTCCAACCGCGGGATAGTTGAAATCGGCGCTGTTTGCCATCCGTCTGGACACGCACAGGAAACGAAATCCTTCGCCTTCAGTGGCGCACAATGATTGTCGATGACGGAAATCTTTTCCATGTCCGGCAACTTTCGGGGGAGTCAGGGATTCCACTGTGGAAGTACACTTTCAGAATACCCTTTCCAACACACTCCAATGTCACTGAAGAAAGTCTTGATGATCCAGCAGCTTCCAACAACGGTCGCTCTAGAGCTTCGCCGACGATTCCGTCCTCTGTGCTGCTCGTTGCAGACTCCACTTGCAAGTCAGGTGCGTCCGCAATCTCATCTATCGCTTGACCTTCGTCACTGGCTACACGCTTTGCCTCCTGCTTAAAATAGCTCTGAATAGAGCGCTGGCCCTCTGGATGTTGACTCTTCATTTTTCTTTTCCACAAATCGAAAGCATCGTCAAAAACGTAACCAACTAACTAACTTTGTCGAAACAAACTGCAAAGGAAATGACTCTGAGATCGAGGAATCGCATGTAGGGACTTTGTTGCACCCGTACCCAGTTAGTAAAGTTCAGTAGATCTACGCTGTGTCACAAAAATGCCCCAGCAGCACTTTTACACCTGGCCTAAAACCGTCCTCGGACCGTCAGACGGACTGCATGCAGGTGCTTACAATGTAGCTAGGCGCTAGGCATGCATGCACTGCACGCTGGGCCTGGATCAAAACATTCTCCGTACCCACATTGAAATGTTTTTACTGGTTCCCGGGCATCCCGGGAACCGCCCTATGTACGCCCCTGGGCTGGAGTGTTCTTATCTTTGACCAATTTGGCTGCGTTCTTATACATGTAGCACGTCTTTAGAAACAATACGCACTGGATCACGGGCACACACTGATACATACACATACATGATTGTATGTATCACAAAAGCTGGCAGGACACCAACATGGACATTCTCAACTTGAGGCTAAGTCGTTCTTAGCACATTTGACGTTATTTTCGCGCTGGGTGTTCTGGGGCTCCACGGCCTTCGGCGCCACACGACTCTCCTGTAGCATAGTAGGTAATGCATGGAAAGGGGACTGACACCAACATGGACATTCTCAACTTGAGGCTAGGTCGTTCTTAGCACATTTGACGTTATTTTCGCGCTGGGTGTTCTTGGGCTCCACGGCTTTTGGCGCTCCACGGCCTTCGGCGCCACACGACTCTCCTGTAGCATAGTAGGTAATGCATGGCAAGGGGACTGAACAGCTTGTAGGATCGTGATGAAATTGCGTGCATGGCATGTATGCAACATGGAACCCAGAGCTGAGCAGGCATCTACTATTCTAGGAAGGTGGACTGTCTGCTGAAACGCTCCATTAGCAAGTTGTAAATGCCGCGTAGAGACGCTATGGATGCAACCTCACCTCGGTGTCGTGAAATGAGAATTGCCGCCAGAATCCAGATGGCACAGATGACCCAGATGATTGCAGCAATGCTGCCTTGACTGATTTCATCCGCGAGGATCGGTGGAGAACCTGGTGCAAGGAAGAAACAGTGCACACAGCATTCAGAAAGACTACATTACCACACAGTCACACTTGTTCTGTAATGTGTACACTTCAGCCTCTGTTGTGTCTGGTCCATGCTCTCGTTTTACCACTCTCTACCCCCTCTCAACATCAGTGCTGCATGGTTAAAGGGGAAGTTAGTTAAGCCTAAAATCAATTTTTCACCAGTTGTAGTCTTCTGGGTGCTGAGTCGAGTGGTCTTGGTCCGAGGAAGCTGAGGCGCTCCCTTCCTCCTTTATTCCCAATCGAACTCGCACACTTCCACCGAAACTGGGTGACTGCGCCCTCCTTCGTGTCACTAAAAGCGCCATTTCGTTCTTATAAAAGCACGGATGACCGCGATTGGTCCATATGTTGTAGTCTTTTGGACGCTGAGTCGACTGGTTTTGGTCCGAAAAGGCTGCAATGCAGCGTTCCGCCCTTATTCCCAATCGAACATGGTTGAACAAGCGGTCACGTGCTCCTGCGTACACCAGTCACCTAGTCACCGCGCCAGCAGGCGACAACTTTCAAACCAAGGTTCAACTCAAAGGTTCAAAGGTTCAATTCGAGTGACAGAAACTCGCCCAAACATGCTGTAACTTAGTGTAAGTCACCACGCCAGCAGGCGACAATTTTCACACCAAGGTTCAACTCAAAGGTTCAAAGGTTCAACTCGAGTGACAGAAACTCGCCCAAACATGCTGTAAGTTGTAGCCTGCAGGCACGGTGACCAGGTGACTGGTGTACACAGGAGCACGTGACCGCTTGTTCAGCCATGTTCGATTGGGAATAAGGGTCATCCGTGCTTTTATAAGTACGAAATGGCGCTTTTAGTGACACTTTGCATACAAATCCCCATCTCGTAGGGCGCAGTCACCCAGTTTCGGTGGAAGTGGTCGAGTTGGATTGGGATTAAAGAAGGAAGGGAGCGTCTCAGCTTCCTCGGACCAAGACCATTCGACTCAGCACCCCGAAGACTACAACTGGTGAAATTTTGATTTTAGCCTTAACTTCCCCTTTAACAGTGCTCTTTCTAAATGTTCCATCATCGTCTTTGGATATACATGCATGTACGTGTATCTCCTTGTTTCTCCTTGTCCTGTTGTGATGTTGTGATGTTGTGGTGTTGTCACGTATGGTGGAATCCTACTGGTGACCATCACCAAACAACGTTTTCGGGGGAAATGGACCTGTCTTCGGGGGGAAATGGCCCTGGACCTGTCTTGCCTTGTCGTGTGCATAGAGTAACGGATGTGCAGTTAATTTTACTCATAACCTTTATGTAAATTGCTGTTTCCGTGTAGATCATTCCACACAGGAACGATCAAGATAACCGGATGCAATACACACAGTTAAAGTCTACTACTACAAGACTTGATTTCAGCATGCAAAGCAGTGCCAAATTGGCAATGCTTTCAGGCCGACCAAACTGCTTTCCTTGATTATCCGCCCCACCTGGTGGGTATTGCACACATGGGATTCACTTCTTAGGGCGCGTTCGAATTGTCTTCATTAACTGTTCAAACAAATTTTATAAAGAGATTAGTTGAAGTGTCCCATTGAATGGTTTCTATCATTTTAGAGTTTTTCAGTGGAATTGTCATGGCGATAATGACGTCCTATCAGATTGACCATCTCTACGTAGTACGTGACGTAGCTATTCCAAACTCTTCGAAAGTAATCCACCTCTCCCATCGGGTGAGGTTGTGGAATTTCGAGGAGTTTCGAGGAGCTTCGTTTTTCTGAAGAGGCCAATAAGGCCACCTCTTCGGAAAAACGAAACTCCTCGAAAAGTCAAAGAGTGACAATTTGACGCGCCCCTAATTGAGCGGTTCAAGGACCAAGCAATAGCTGACGTGAAGTGTGCTTTGTGTGATCAGCTGCCACAGGCCTGAAAGCTGATTTGATGTCTGCACACGCTGTGCGCGCTGTGTATTGAACTGCATATCAAAGACGACAACACCATTCATTGTCTGAAACTGCTCCCTCTACGGGACAAGGATGACCTCAGATGCAGTTGCTGCCTGGAGCATATTGCCCTATCGAGAGCAGTGTTGATGTGTACGAATCTGTCTCTTCATCGTACCAGGCCTGCACATGTTGTGTGTGAGGAATGTGATGAGGAAGACGCAGCTACGTTCAAATGTGGTACCCGTTCCACTGCATGCTTCATGGCACGGGTCAGCTGAGATGAAATCGAAGTCTGGCCAGAGTCACATGATGGACTGTATCCGTGACGACGCAGCCGGCAGTAGACACGAGGAGAGATCTCATCCAACCAGGTGCCCTCTTCATCCCAGCTCAAGCCTGGAGTGGCACTGCGTCCTATGCAAAGAGTTCCTGTGTGAAACATGCCGGATTAACCCGACTGCTGCATGGACGATAAGTGCTGCGAATAGTGATCATGCACCCTGGCCTGAGTAGCTCGCTTGGCTAATTGAAAGTCTGCCGACCTGGGCCACATTATGTTGCTAATACATGCACAACCCCAGTCACCGCGCACAAGCTGGTTGAGTTTGGCCGTCAGGAGGCCAGCGCAAGGTATCCGGGGCGCGGGTCTGATTTCAGCGAGGGGCAATGTGGTACCCCGCAGCGCAAGGGTAGCGTGATACCCTAAGCCAAAGTGCGCGCTGCATGAGTAGCGTGATACTCGCTGAGCGCTTTTGCTGTTGCCTTGCAACGCGTTTCTGTCTTTCCTGGGCCCCCAAATGCATGTTGGGTGGCCCTGCGCATGACTGCACGTTGTCATAGCAACCTTGGAAACCTCAAGCCGGTTACCAACAAGCTAGGAATCAGACCAAGCCGCCGAATGCCCCCGCCGCCCCCCGGCGCTTTATTGCAATTGAATTAATATTTGTCCAGAATAGTGAGCTAGGACAGATCAAGAGGCGTGGGTGGGAGGGAGAAATTGCAAAACAGTTGGATGCACGCAGCAGCACAGCTAGCAAGAGAAAGAGCCGTAGATGGGTTTGTTCCTGTTTTTGATGGCTGTGGCCATCCGTTGGCCCAACGGTCTCGTGTGAGTACGGTGTTTGTTTGTGCTGCCAGCTCGCGCCCGGCATTTGTTTGTGCTGGCAGCTCGGGCCCGGTGCGCGAGTGAAACCGAACCGTGACAAAGGCTTTCGCTCTTTAGTGCTATTGACTGGCTTTTCATACGATGCCTATTGATGTCTAGAGACATGCTGTCTAGCCTTCCCCTCGTACGCATTCACGGGGCTTTGTTGAAGTTCGTGCCGTGAACTGCCAAAGGGAATTGTTTGAATGGTGCTGGGGCGAGTGCGATATTACGGCGTCCCTGCAGCCGGCCTAATCGCGTTTGTCGCCACAACCGATTTTACCAGCAAAGTGCATGTTGACCACCTTGACCGAGTTCCGACAGTAGCTAATGCTGTGCGGGATGCGCGCACAGCATTACAGGAGAAAGCATCGGATCAAGCGCCACATGCTCTAACCAAAATTGGCCAAGCCCACACATCTGCAAATGAAGCCACCTGCACTAGGGGTGCGCGGATTATGCCCGTGCGCACCTGATATTATGCTTTTGGGCATTTCCCTCGGAAATTCAAGAGTATTCTCCAAAACATCGAACAAAATTCTCAACCAATCTCTTTTTTAAAGTACATATTGGTCATGTTCGCCAAGGCTTTATTCAGGCTAGCATGTTTAGGCCCTGTTGCATGATATATTGCTCCCTGGCCTGCAGACAGTGCACGCTCAGTGCACGCTCAGATCCATTTTTTGTCTTACTGTATCTCCGTCCGTTGGCACGGAACCTGAGAGCTGCGGTGAACGCTGTGTAGACGGTGACGTTGTTCCGGGTCAGGCTCTGCCCACGCACGCGCATCTCGTAGCTGCCGCTGAAGAGAATGGTCGGCAAGTTGACGCTGGTAGAGTTGCTGGCGACCAGTATGGGCGTGCTCCAAGTGAGGCTGCTGCTGCCACTGGCTATGTACTGCCTGTAGGACACCTCCAGCAGTGGGAACTCCTGCTGTACGGACACGCTCAGGCGGGGCAGCTGTACGGTGACGGCGGCCGTGGACACTGTGACCAGCGAAGTCAGAGAGGCGCCGCCGCCGGCTGTACCGGCCGTGACTGTGCTCACTTCCGGCCATTCAATGAACGTCGGTGCATTGCCTGTTCACGGGGCACGGAGCACAGACACACAGACACACAGACACACAGACACACAGACACACAGACACACACACACACACACACACACACACACACACAGACAGACAGACACACACACACACACACATTGATGTTATGTTTCCAAGGATTCTCCAGAGGCAAATGGATGCCTTCCTGGGGAAAGGAAGTGAAGGTGGCTGTTATGAGAGAGGGAGGAAGGGATATGACAAGGTGAAAAAAAATACAAACAAGAACAGCGGAAGCTTCTTGCAACAATTTGGCATACCTTGCACAGAATACATGCATGGCTGAAGCCAACAGTTACAGAGAGCAAGGCAATGATCCTTCAGGGACACCAGGGCTTTCGAGGCTGCATGGCAACTGATTTATCTGGCGTGCTATCTGCGACTAGCTGTCCAGGAAACGAAAACAACTCCAATCGATGCATGCCTATGCCCGGGGGCTGGCTGCAGAGCTGACCATTCTGATAATTTCCAATTTCCAAGAGCGCAGTACCATGGACTGGACCCGAGGCCCTGCTTATGGGATGTGAACATGCTCTGGGTTTGCGCCTTTGCGGCTAAGAGTGACTGCAGGTGGAAGGGTGCCTACATGCTAGAACCCAGCACCGAGTGTTTCCCATTGAACTTGAAACGGCTGGATACATAGACAGATGAACACCCCCCCCCCCTCTCTGCACACATACAGACACACATGCACACACACATGCACACACACATGCACACACACACACACACACACACACACACACACACACACACACACACACACACACACACACACACACACACACACACACTTGTACTTGTTGCTCACTGCCAAAACTGGTCACGTGAGTCCCCCCGGGAGAGGGGAGAGAGACTCAAAAGGAATCTTAGAAAGATGACTCAATTGGTTATTGAACCGCCCAACGGCCGACACCCCCTGAAATCCCCAAAACTCTGGGTGGACTTGAAAATGATCCCACTTATGGGCTCACCACACCTCAGTAAGTGGGTGAGGACAAGGTGCAGAAAAAGGATTGACGGCATCAGGGTATCCGTCCGGGGATCCAACTGCAGTTACCCCTGCCCCCAGTGAAGGTAATACTTGCTACTAGTGTGGGTGGCTGAATCAGAGTGGATCTGATATCAGCTTCACTAGCACCATTGATTACACAAGAGTTAATCCACATACACACACACACACTTTGAATTCTGCTGCTGTACCTTCTTGTGCTCCGTAAGAGGCTGCTGATACGGACAGCGTGCGCACTATGTTGTCAGAGCTAGTTGCATCCAGCCTGACTTCGTAGCGCCCACCGGTCAAGTTACTGATGGTGAAAGGGAAGTCCACGAAGCTGAGGTTGTGATAGCGGCGTACGAGCTCAGAGCTCTGCGCGGTGCTGTTATAGGCAAGTATTTCTACAGTGTAGTAGTGTGCCGTGCCATTGTCCGATGGTACTGGCACCACAATCCATCCTGCAACACAGAGAGGGATGAGGCCATCATGAGGGGGATGGCACACAGGAGAAGGAGAGAGAGAGAGAGGGAGAGAGAGAGAGACAGGAAGAGATACGATTGCCCACATTTCGGGGGCTTGGTGTAGTCTCGTGGTTGGTGCACGGGTCTGATTTTAACCACTCCTAGGTCCACTCATGCTGTGATTAGTATACACTATCTAGAATTTGTTTTAAATTAGGAGTCACACTTGTGGCCTACCCTACAGAGATAACGGGGAGGGGAAGGGTTTGACGTCCATAGCTTACCCAGTGCGTTCAGATGAAACCACCATGGCAAGGTGAGCGCACTTGTCCAGTTCCGGTTCGTCGCAGAGCGTTGAACCTGCACGCTGTAAGCCCCGTCACTCAGTGGCATTGGAACGACGAACTCACGATTGCCACTGGCACTGCTGCTGACGTTCACAGCACGTAGCCGACGAGTCCAGCTCTCGCTACGGCCCGTGTACCCGAGAACAATAGAGAATACCCAGCAGGCAGCACACGCCTGCACGAATGGCAGCTGGATGGTGACGTTGCTTTCTCCGGGCGCCACGACGTGGCTCGACACGACTTGCCTGTCCTCTGGCCAGTTCACCAGTCTCTGCCAGGTGGCTGTCAGAGCGCACACAGGACACACAAAAAGCACACAGACGGCGGTATGCTCCAAAAAGGCTGACACACGGTGGAGCCTCTCTTTCACAGTCACTATGCAATTGTGACCATCACGTGGAGTCCTCACAGTCACCCGGCTCAGTAAACCATACAGGCATGGCCATCATGTATTAGTGTAGAGGGGGGGCGCTGATTGTGACGAGTCTTCTTTTTCAGCTGGGCGAGAACAGCAAGGACTGTCAGAATGTGTTCTGAACATGGAGGTGACATATCTGCCAAGGAGGTTTTACTTTTTTGGTGCACCTGGGATTTCAAGCCTACAAAAAAGCATTCAAACCCAATCTGCACTCTCTATTCAGCAGCCTCGGCATGGTTACCTAGTCGACGAAACACTCACGGTCAGTTTCAAACGTTTTCACATAGAGGCCGAGAGTCAGGCGACCACCACTGGCGTCAATCCTGTCCACGCGCCGCACATAGTAGCCGTACCGGTCGAGCTGAATTGTCACGTTGAAGTCCTGCTGCTGGTAGTCAGACCTGTTGAATACCACATCGTGTTGCAGTGTGGTCTCGTTGAAACGCGTCACCTGCACAGCGTAGCGCACTGCGCTCGGGTCAGCCGCGAGCAGAGGGATAACAAGGGGATCTGCATGTGACGGCACACACACACACAAACACAACAACTCTGTGTAACAGTTTGGAGATTGTTACATTCCAACTGGTTTGTGTTGTGAAATGGCAAAACTGCACTGCATCGGGTACATGCGTAAAGGACCACACACCGAGTTCATTTCTCATGCATACCTGCCTTACCACACTATCATGCCATCACAATGTAGAACTTGTTTCGTTTTCAAATACTGCTCTTTCCCTGGGAGAAATGAAAGCTGAAGCCCCTCTTGATTCGGAGGCATGCATAGCGCATGTGTACAATGTGAAAGCACAGAACAAGAACAAAGTATTTTTTGCATTTGTATTTATATCATTATCTCATGGCACATCATGATGACGGCCAATAAAACTGAGACAAGGGTGAAAGCCAACCACAGCAGTAAAACAGATAAAAGAATACAAATAAGAGGCAAAGAAGGCAAAGGAGGTGACAAACCAGCAGGATATACATGAAACCTATAATTGAGCAGAGATTTTAGCAACAAAAGTATCCATCGACGTGCTGGTCTTGGCCTGCGTTGGTAATGTTGCCCAAAACACATAGCCAGCAAAGATCGGGGATCTAGTGAATAGGGTGGAGGCAGCGCGTGGGAGACTGAGTGAGTTCCGGATATTCCGTGTTTCGGAGAACCAATTATAAGCCTGCATATGCAAGGGTATTTTATTTAGTAATATTTTATGTATGAGAACACAGAGGTGGTACTTATGTCGAGTGGAAAGGGGACTGATCTTGGCAATTTCGTAAAGACTAGCGGAGGGAAAGCGACGATCTTTGCTAAATAAGATTTTAAGGAGCATGCGGTTATGGGTTTCTAGCTTGTTCAATACAGTAGTAGTTATGCCAGACCAAGCAGTATCACAGTAGTCAAGTAAGGGCAATATATAGCAACGATAAAACAAGCGTTTGCAGGAAAGAGGAAGATGCCTACAGTGGGCTTGAAGAGCCCCAAGGATGGAGCTTGTGCGCTTGCAGACATACTGCACATGGGGTGACCACGACAATTTAGAGTCAATAATAACGCCAAGATGCTTATGCTCTTCAACAATACGAATAGCAACACTTGAAGAAGGAAAACAAAGTGGCAGGGAAGGGGGAGAAGGGGAAATGTACATAGCTGCCGTTTTATCAACGTTTGGCTGCAACTTCCAATCATGCATCCAGGTTATAACTTTCCCAATGCTATCTTGCATGGCTTCGTGCAGGCGTATAGGGCAAGCATTGGAGCAAAGCAGAGCTGTGTCGTCAGCGAAAAGGCTGACACCAGGGGCAATGTCGGGGAGGTCATTAATATACAGGAGAAATAGCAGTGGCCCAAGGATTGAACCCTGGGGGACTCCAGAAGTAACGGGTAAAGGCTCCGATAACACAGTTGAGAGGCGTACAAGCTGATGTCGGTTAGAGAGATACGATGAGAGCCAGCCGATAGCCTTGCCATCAATGCGATATACTGTTCGCAGCTTAGCTAAGAGACCCCTGTGCCAAACAGTGTCGAAGGCCTTTGCGAGATCGAAGAAAACTAAACCAACATGGTTATGGGCGTTCCGGGCGGTGTGGATGTCTTGCACGAGGCGGGTAACCTGGTACCTGGTGGAGTCACCCCGACAAAAGCCCGACTGTGCTGGCGAAAGTGAAATGCGAACATGATCATAAATGATGTCATATACAACACGTTCGCACACTTTTGATAAAGTAGAGAGCAATGAGATAGGGCGATAGTTGCTGGGGGTGGTGCGTGGTCCTCTATTTTTGTAGGTGGCCACGACTACCGCAGTTTTCCACATGGCTGGGAATTTCCCTTCACGAAATGACATATTCAAGATAATTGACACAGGATAGGCAACAGACGGAGCAAGAGCTCTCCAAACTTCGTTGGTAATTCCGTCTTGACCAGGGGACTTGCCAGTTTTCAGATTACGGAGATATTTCCTCACTTGGGCTGTACCAGTCGACAATGATAGGAGGGACGCAGGTATTGAGGGTGAAGGGGTGAGTGGTGGTATAGGCCACGTAGGGTCGTCAGGAAGTCCAAACGACGTAAACTGCGTGTTCAATATGTCTGCTATGTCTGCGGGATCTGTTGCTACCGTGCCGTCTGAAGCTGTCATTGATCGGATCGGCTCCCGACTACAGTTCTTACGGAGATGGCGGAGAAATTGATGGAGACTAGGGCGATCATGGGAAGACAGGGTGGCATGAACCGACTGTACATACTGATGATGGAGGGTACGTGACAAACATTTCACTTCGTTACGCTTGCGCTTAAAGGCAATGAAGTTTTCACTGGTTGGATACTTCCTATAAATGCTATACAAATCTCGCTTCAGTTTCACAGCACACTTGAGGTCCGGAGTGATCCAGGGTCGGGATGCATCCCGCATAGTAGGACGAGGCCTAATGTAGTCTCCTGTCCGCGGAATAACTTTGTAAGGCAACAGATGACGATGGAATGCTGACTGTAGTAAAGCATCAAACAGGACAATGGCATCATCAACACCAGAATGCCGATGAAGTAATGACCAGTCCAACCTAGACAAGTCTTCATTCACAACCTGCCAGACACGGGTAGGCACTTGTTTATACCTGTACTGAGCCTGGGGATGGAGGGACGATTTAGCAATCGCTTGTCGTGTCGAGCACGATGCATAGTTGAGCGTACAAACAACCTGCAGATGATCAGATGTGCCAAGAGGAGCTGCGTGGTCGACTGAGAGGACATGTCGGGGTTTGTTGGTTACCAACAAGTCAAGACATGAGTTGGCACCCGCTGATGAAGTGTATGTTGGGAAACTCACTAGTTGTTGGAGCCCAAGCATTGAAAAAACTGTCTGTAGGTTGGTACCGGCTGTAGAGCAGGGGGTTCGGACGAACCCCCTAAAATAATTTCGACCATGGGTCCAGTCGATTTTTTTGTGGTATCCAAGTAACGTTAGTTATATTAGTCAAGTGCGCAGCCCGCGAAGTGTAGCGTAGATCTACCGCGTAGCCAGTAGACTTCATGATTCACTGGCATGCATCCTGCATGCAGGCATGCAGTGCAGGTCAAGGCATGCAGTGGTTGGGACTGTTGTACGCGTACCGGTCCGTTCGAATCGAAGTGTCTGTACGTACGCGTATCATGTGACTTGAAACGATCGACAGTTCACTCAAGTGGTGGAGCAAAAGGTGGAAAAACTGCCACTTGTCCTACTCTCCCCTGACTCACTTGTGAGGTCTGCATTCGCCACTAACCGGGCACTAAGCCTAGGCTAAGGTGTGCAAGGCATAGGCATAGTGGTGGCCTGCGGAAGCCAAGGCTAGTTTGTGTGTTTCTGAACATTCAAGCGATGCCAACGCGAATCCCGCGAATTATTATTATTATTGTCCTCCTTTAGCCTAGTTTAGGCTTTACCTTCCTTGTCGTTTTGTTTTATTTCGCGCTGGCTGGACTGTAGATTTCCTCCGTCGCAGTACGAAGATAATGTTTGTGTTTGTCGTGTAGTTCGCCATGTCGCGGTGGAGCAAAAGGTGGAAAAACTGCCACTTGTCCTCCTTACCTTCCTTGTCGTTTTGTTTTATTTCGCGCTGGCTGGACTGTAGGCTTCCTCCGTCGCAGTACAAAGATAACGTTTGTGTTTGTCGTGTAGTTTGCCATGTCGCGACGTCTGCCAAAGAGGCGAGCGGCCGATCAGTTGCCATTGAGCTTGGCTTGAACTTCGTTCCGCCGTGTACGGCGCGAATGTGACGACACGGAGTCCCAGCCGGAGGACAGTCAGAGAACTTCGCCTTCCGTCAGTTCGGAAAATGCTGCAGTCACGGCCTTTAGTTTCTGCCTGTGCTGCAGCTTTGTACTTTGTAAGGCTCTAAACGCATTACCCTTGTCTTGTTGGCCAAGGGCTACCGTGACTATAAAGATTTTCCAACTCCCGGTGTAGTGGGTTACTAGCGAACCGAAAACAGTTTGAAGCGAATTTAATTCTGTGCACTCGAAAAAAATTGAACCCCCCCTGAAAAATTCCTGGATCCGCCCCTGTAGAGGTGGAGTCAGAAGAGCACCAATCATTATATTTGGCATTAAAATCCCCCGTCAGGAAGCAGTCACACTCGTCATAGCAAGAGGACTGTATAGCATCGGCCAGCATATCCGAGAAGAAGGACAATTGTTCCGCCGTTTGGGAAGGGGGTCGATACATGCAACATACAAGAATAGGGTTAGAGGTGCATTGAGACTTAACTTCCACCCAGGTAGATTCACAGCCCTGATGCTGCAGGTCGGGTCTGTGGAGAATATGTTGAAAAGCATCAGTCCGGACAAGCACGGCGACGCCACCATATCCTCTAGTGAAAGAGTGTGCATTTCTGTTCTCGTGTGCTGGTCTGTCTCTTCTGAAACAGGAATAGCCCGGTACATGCACGGAAACAGATGGGCACAGCCAGGTCTCCGTGAGGCAAACAATACTTGGCTTAGTGCTCTCCAGAACAATCGAAAGTTCAGCTAATTTATTGACGAGAGACCGACAATTCATGGTTATCAGCGTTAGGTCGGATTCTGATCTGGGGTAGAATGGGGTAGCATGCAAGTTGAGGGAAGACATAGACAACATGATTATGACGAGGAACTATCACCACCACGTTCAGTCACGTTGGTACCGTCGGCAAAGCGCCACTTACGGACGGTGTGGCTAATTGTTGCCGGCCAAAATCCTGCACTGAGTATTTTGCCTTCATCCATCGCTAGGACAGTCAGTCGTGCATATGCTGTGCCAAAGGTCCGGGATTCGCTAATACTGCAATTGAGCACCTCAACCTCACGGTCCTTGCACCAGTCAGTAATTGCGTTAGCGCTACACTCCATGTGGACATTGCCCACGTAGAACACAGATTTCGCGACTTTTTCTACGCCTGTAAGGATGTTGGGGTTAGCTGGGGCCACAGGCTTCACGTACCGGGACGTGACCCGACGCCGTACAACTTCGGCCCAGCCATCCGAACTGCTTCCCGTATATTCACTTGTACTAGTTGTAGCCAATGTTGATCTGGTTGGTGCAGCCGGTGGTGTTTCAGTGCGTGATGAGGTCTGGTGTACATGTGTCGATGTTTGGGAAGTGCGGGTACGGGTGGTAGAGTGTGCGTTGGGGGGAGTACGAGTCCGAGTGACGGTTTCCCTCACCCCAGCCCCTGTACTACCTGAACTAGCTACACTACTGTACGTTGTACTCGGGGTTGTAGATTGTGCAATCAGGTTTGGACTCCCGCCTTCCTCAAGGTGTATCATCTTCGCCACGAGGCCATCAATGGTTGCTTTCATTTCTCTAACTTCCCTATCCCTGTCCTCCCTGAGGGAGACCATTTCCACAGTTAATGCAGTGATAGTCGAGGACAGTGCACTGATAGAGCTCACTAGCGCTGGCATACCTGATTTGCCGATGTCCATGGCGCGAAGTTGAAGTACAAGGTCCGGTCGGGCCAACGAGTCCACACCTGCAAGTCCTGACTTTTTGGCCAAGTCACGAATCCCCCCATCCAGCAGCAAGGCCAGGTCCATATTTGAGTTCTCCACCATATTAGGGCTGGGACTAGTTCCAGGTTCACCTATACTTACAAAAGTGGCCGAAAGGCTATTCCATAGATGGAAAGGCAGGAGCTAAAAACTTGCTTCCTACTCCTACGACTTGGGTGACAGAGAAAGTGGTCAGAATCGTGAAATCTTTAAATTATCAAGTTTTCCAGAGTTTTGACTCCACCTGAGGTGAAAATTCCCATGCAAACACACGCACACACGCACACACACACACACACACACACACACCTCAGACCTCAGACATGCCCATCGCGGAAGCGATGATAGCGAACAGCTATCTTAGACATAGCAACTTGTGCTGGGATTACACATGCACACACACACACACACACACCCACACACACACACATACACACACACACACACACACACACACACACACACACACATACACACACACACACACACACACACACACACACACACAGCCTCACTTACAGTTTCCCAGGACGGGGAAGTAGAGCGGCAGTGACACGATTGACCTGGGTAATGCTATCACTTGCAGCACATACTCATAGCCGCCTTCAAGAGACACGCGTGGAGTAAAGTCCGCCGTACCGTTGCGCGTTGGAACGATATGCACATACTCGGAACAAGGAGCAGGGTCGCTTGTTTTCTTAATGCACACACCGTACTGGAAGAAAAGAGTGTGAACAGTGAGACGCACGTTCATTTTGACGGTTATGTTCTCCCATCCCGGTCTGATAGGTGTGAGTTGAATGATGTCCTCCGGTGAGCTGCCATTGTAGAAGACTGACTCTTGTAACCAAGTTATCATCGTTGGTGGTAAACCTGTGTAAAAGTCACCGCGTTAGGATCCGCGTTCACCAGCAGCAGAGAACATATGCTTGTTAGGACAATGTAGCACAGCTTACCACCCTCTTACCACCCTCTCACCACCCTCTTACCACCCTCTCACTACCCTCTTACCACCCTCTCACTACCTTCTCACCACCTCCTCACTACCCTCTTACCACCTTCTCACTACCTTCTCACTACCCTCTTACCACCCTCTCACTACCCTCTCACCACCCTCTTACCACCCTCTTACCACCCTCTCACCACCCTCTCACTGCCCTCTTACCACCCTCTTACCACCCTCTTACCACCCTCTTACCACCCTCTTACCACCCTCTTACCACCCTCTCACTACCCTCTTACCACCCTCTTACCACCCTCTCTAAGATTCCACGCCATTTCGGTGCCCTCAAGTTCAGCGCCAACCAGGTGAGCGTGACCGTTTCAGTGCCATGAACCCAAGCGCCGGATTTCACAACGCCACATACTTCAGCGCTGTATACTTCGGCGCCAGCAGATACGCGCCGAATATCTCGGCGCCACATAAATCAGCGCCATATATTTCAGTGCCAAATACGTCAGCGCGACCTTTCTCAGCGTGACAGATCTAAGCGCCATGTTTCTCAGCGCCAATTTATTACTATACAATGTATGTGTGAACATCACCTGTTATGACTATGACTGTACAAGTATTGACTTTGCGCTGTACTGTATCACGCTGTACTTTATCACGCTGAACTGTACCGCGCTGTACTTGATCGTGCTGAACTACTTCCCGCTGTAAATTATCGTGCCTTACGTTTTCGCGCCAAGTTGCTGGCGCTGTACTTTGCCGCGCTGATACTAGTACTTCGAAGTAGTCATGGCACTGAAGAAGCTGGCGCTGTGAAATCATGCGCTGAAGTTCTGGCGCTAAAATGTATCGCGCTGAAATGGTGGCGCTGAAGTGGCAAGTCACCCTCTCTAAGTTGGTTGTGTTTCTCAGACACTATTGTATAGCCGGTTGTAGCGTGGATGAGTGAACTAGTTACTTGACTTCATACCACCCTCTCCTGGAGCATACCGGGTATGTGTGAAAACTAGCTGTACACAGCAAAGCGGTTTGAGATTCCTCAAAGTCATGAATAAAATCATGGCCTGTACAGAACAAGAACGGTTGGAATACATGCCATGGGACATAAAAAGCAACTTGAACCAAGGAAGTAAGATCATTATGCTGTTGGTGCTAGTCTAGATTCTCTAGCCCATGCACCCCCTCCCTCCCCCCCCCCAACCCTCTGGCCAACCCACCTAACTATAACATGCACATTCTCTCGTACAAGAGGGGGGGGGGGGTGAAATGAATTTGTCCAACTTGGATTTTGCAAACATTCCTTCATGCTAGTTATTTCAAAGATCGATTGCTGCACCCACTGCCTGCAGCTCTAACTACACGTAGACAGGCGCATGGCATGACTAGAGAAACATTTGCTGTAAAAACATTGTTGTTTGTGCGTTCTCCTGTATGGCAAAGCCAACTTCAGTCCAACTTCAGACCAACATATCCGTCATGAGCCTCAGACACACCACCACACCACGCACCACTTGCAGTAACATTTTCCAACCAACGCCAAGCAATACCTGCCAAGTACTTGTAGAAGCCCATGGCGGCCACGGTGCGCCTGAAGCCCCGTTCGTCAAAGCTCTCCACACGCCTGATGAACGCACTGCTGCTCAAGTTGACGTTAGCCACAAAGGGAAAGTCCCTCTCGGAGAGACCACCTGCCTCAAACACTGGTACAAATAGACTTGAGTTACTCTTGTAATGATAGATCCGTGCACGGTAGGACAGTGCCGCAGGATCCGGGTTGGGCGCGGGGATCGTAAACATAGCTGCAATGCAACAGAACACAAATGCACAGTGTTCGATCACCAAAAGACACATGAGCAATCACTGTGTGGGCTCAGCAATCCACTGAAGTTGTAATGTGTGACATTATATCTAATGTGCCACCTGGACGTTGCATCATGGTGTCTGCATCATGTACTTCGGACGGTTGTGTTTGTTAAAGTTTGCTTGCACCCCATGGGATGCATCTGGCAAAGGGACGTCCTGACTTTTGTGGGAAGCAAAGGCGACGAGGATGAGGAGGTAAACAACGTCCTAATTAGGTCTCTTATTGGCGCGAGTCGCCATCGGAAGAATACAGAATAATAATGTGAACACTCACTGCAACTATCGATATCTCAGTGCAACTAGCAGTATTTCAGTGCAGCTAGCAGTCTCTAATCCCTCATTATGTCAAAACTTAATGTAGCCATTATTGTTATTAGGCCAAACTAAAGAAGGTGTGTGGTTCGACTAACATGGACATTTTTTTTACGGGCGGGCGGGCGGATTTTTTTTTTAAATATATTTTTTAGTACATGTAAATACACTGTACTGCCTTTAGACCCAGTACATCGGCATTATTACGCAGTGTTATGCCATACATGTTGTATAAAGGGATCACTGGCTAATACTTTGAAACATTGTGTAGCTCTGGAACGAGAAGAGAATAACTTCAAGCGGTGACTCCGACTGTCCAAATCATCATTAAGCAAATGAAGAACGATGCGAGTTGAAAGTAAGTTCGGGAACTACTTCGAAGTACAAATTGTACAATGTACCGGTACATGTATTGCTAGTTTGGTGTCGGCTTGCACGAATACATGGGCTTTTTCCATCGACGCTTCCTGTGCTTGCACACATGGAGCAGCAACTTACCGGTACAGGTGAAATATCGTTCCCAATACACGAGGAAAGTGCAATCTCGTCTGTCCTTCATCCCAAAACAGAAGGCCGTCCTTAATCTGGAACGAGGCAATCACTCTCAACCGGACGGTCACTTCAAAATAAGTCTCGCCAGTCTGCCGGTGGTCGTATCGAGTAGACTCTACTACATGTACCAGCACAAGGCAGCAGTCGTACCACTCACTGCACTGCACTGCAGTACAACTACAAGTCAAGTCCAAAAGGAGCCGCCAGCTGCGTCCGCAGACTCACGCGCATGCACGCTGCACAGCACGTAGACGTACGTGGACGTGTTCAGTCCACGTAGATCTACGTCAGTCACACGACAGCCCGCCGAAAAAAAGTTACGGTCGGGCTGAAAAATGTCGGTCGGTCGGGTGAGTCGAACCACAGACCTTCTTCAGTGTGGCCTTATTATTATTATTTATTAAGTAGTGGTTGCGACTTCGGCGATGATTTGTAAGAAAGGGTTTGCTCCCCACACCGGAGCTCGCGCTATTCCGCCGACGTTACTTGACACTTGACTGACTCACGACTGCCATCCAGAGCACACGAGAAGTCCATCGAACCTTCGACTCGGCAAACCTGCAAGAAAGCACCACTCCCTGCTCAATACACAGTGTTTCGGGGAATTCACCCCTCATCAGTTGAGCTTGAGTAGGCTGAGGAAGATTGTGCCTGAAGAGCACCACTTTTATAGTGCTCTCCAGGCACAAACATCACCAGGGATACAAACTTACAGAGACGCTCCGTTTCCAGCGCGACAAACACCTCGTGAACACCAGATAGCAGCGTGAGTCAGTGTCGCTCCTGGATGGTGAGACAGGCGTTGAGGACCCTCGGTCATTCGCAACGCTGTCACCTCCAAACCAACTAGTCGCAAGCCCGCACTGGGCACAACAGTACGAAGTAGTGGTTGCGACTTCGGCGATGATTTGTAAGAAAGGGTTTGCTCCCCACACCGGAGCTCGCGCTATTCCGCCGACGTTACTTGACACTTGACTGACTCACGACTGCCATCCAGAGCACACGAGAAGTCCATCGAACCTTCGACTCGGCAAACCTGCAAGAAAGCACCACTCCCTGCTCAATACACAGTGTTTCGGGGAATTCACCCCTCATCAGTTGAGCTTGAGTAGGCTGAGGAAGATTGTGCCTGAAGAGCACCACTTTTATAGTGCTCTCCAGGCACAAACATCACCAGGGATACAAACTTACAGAGACGCTCCGTTTCCAGCGCGACAAACACCATCCAGGAGCGACACTGACTCACGCTGCTATCTGGTGTTCACGAGGTGTTTGTCGCGCTGGAAACGGAGCGTCTCTGTAAGTTTGTATCCCTGGTGATGTTTGTGCCTGGAGAGCACTATAAAAGTGGTGCTCTTCAGGCACAATCTTCCTCAGCCTACTCAAGCTCAACTGATGAGGGGTGAATTCCCCGAAACACTGTGTATTGAGCAGGGAGTGGTGCTTTCTTGCAGGTTTGCCGAGTCGAAGGTTCGATGGACTTCTCGTGTGCTCTGGATGGCAGTCGTGAGTCAGTCAAGTGTCAAGTAACGTCGGCGGAATAGCGCGAGCTCCGGTGTGGGGAGCAAACCCTTTCTTATTATTATTTATTATTTTTATTAAAAGCATGTCCGCGTAGGTGGCGGGGATGCCACTTTCGCTTATACCATTCAGGATTGATGTCTGAAGAGTAATACGATACAATGAAATGACAGAAGTGACGTCAACAAAAGCCGTTAGCAACAATACCAATATGACTAATGGAAAACTTCATCTGAAGTATAAAATAAAACAGAATATGCATACAACATGTCTGCTCAGTCCTGTTAGGTGGGGCGGTTAGGTAGCTAGTGGTCTCTTAAAGTGTTTAGCTGTCTTTCAGTGTACCTAGCGGCCTCTCAAAGCAGCTGGCACCCCTCAATGCAGCCAGCGGTCTCTGAATGCAGCTAGCGGTCTCGGAATGTACCTAGTGGTCTCTCAATGTACCTAGCGGTCTCTCAATGTACCTAGCGGTCTCTCAATGTGCCTAGCGGTCTCTCAATGTACACAGCGGTCTCTCAATGTACACAACGGTCTCTGAATGCAGCTAGCGGTCTCTGAATGCAGCTAGCGGTCTCTGAATGCAGCTAGCGGTCTCTGAATGCAGCTAGCGGTCTCTCAAGGCACATAACGGTTTCTCAATGCACATAGACTTTTGTATATTAAAATTAGGCCACACCAAGTTGTTTCTATGTTTCGCGTCACCCGCCCGCGTACCTTTTCGAATCCTTGACAAGAAAAAAAAGAACCTAGACGAGCCAATCGATGGCTGTTCTGGCGAACATTCTCTAGCCAGTATGGCAGATCAGAGGTTATCAGCTTCTCGATAATCTTGCATTCCAGGCGATGGTACGTAGAAGGTGCGAGAGATGAAAATTTCTATTTTTCCAAGCCGTGCGGTAGGCCTAGGGCCTGCTCACCAAGCGAGCAGAGATTCCAAGTGTCAAGAACTTCGAGATTTTCCACGATTGTGATGGAGCGGGATCCCACTCGACTCGTGTCAAAATGCAGGAGGAGCCATCCATGAAATCTCTGTATGGCTCCAGCCCAGTCTGCCAGCTGTCCTGTGACGATTTATTGTCGTTTTGGATAGAAGTGACAATTTAGTAGTGGTATTCTGTGTGCAACATGGCTCAGTACACATAGAATGGATTTTGTTTTTTCTTCTGTTTTTGTTTTTTTCTGCCCGCCCGCGTGCCTTTTCCAGAAAATATCCGACGCGAAACATAGAATTAACTTGGTGTGGCCTTATATTAAAAAAATAGCGGTCTCAATGTGCCTAGCGGTCTCTCAATGTACACAGCGGTCTCTCAATGTACATAGCGGTCTCTCAATGTGCCTAGCGGTCTCTCAGTGCAGCTAGTAATATTTAATTACATGTACCTAGTGGTCCGAAAGGACGTAGGGACACCTTGACCTTTATATTGGATGTAACATCCCAGATGAATAGCATGAATGGCAAGACAAATTTTGCCTCCGCATCTTGGTTACTGGGAATTTTTTTTACATGAATATCGACGGACTTGCCCCTTCTGTTCATGCATTGCCCTGCTCTAGCAGTGGTTCATGAATCATCCCAGTCCACATTCCTTCTCCGTTTCTCTCTAGTAATGGTTCATGAATCCGCCCAGTCCACATTCCTTCTCCGTTTCTCTCCGTTTTTCTTTCCTCTCAGTTGCATCTTCCTCTCTGCTCTGTTTTATTTTCTCTTTTCGTTCGTCCCTCTTGATATTTGTACTTTGTACTGTTGAGGCAACAAACTGAAATAATAAAAACCAAACCAAACCAAAAAAAATGTAAAGCGCCCAATATCCACGGCACTAACTTTTGGTGAACTTCCACAACCAGCGAGTTTACGGTGGCAAATGTCCGCGGAGCACTGTGGCCACACATACACGACCACTGTTGAAGTTTGATTTTACGATGGTTAATATTCGTGTTATGCTCTTTTCGCAAAATTAGTAAACTTTAATACGCCGCAAACATCAGGCAGTTTACAGTACTCCGAAGTGCACACAGATAATATGCAGACCATCGTACCATCACGAATTTCGCATTTGAGTTCACAAACACTTTTCGGTTCGAGAACTAGAATGCAAAAATTCGCACTTTTCATTCAGAAAACCAGTCCGAACACGACTCGGGCATTTGAGTCAGGCAGTCATAAAGCTACTACGTTGTACAGTCGCTGTGAGCATGTCTGAACTGCTAGCGTCATGCATGCGTGAATTCTGTTTGCTAGCCCATAACACATTTGGGAATTTTGTTACTGAGTCAACTAACTTTCACTGCAGCGCAAACTCAAAGTCAAAATTGGTGGTGTAAATCCCTGCACGAGTGTTAATTCACGAATGGCAGACAACACAGAAACAAGTGCTAGTCTAAGAAAGGATCGCACGTATTGAAGTGCTCGCAGTGATCAACTCTGCTGCTACAACGTGGTTCAATCGTAGCCACTTACAGATCTGAGAGCGTAGTCTGAAGCGAAGGGTTGGTGAGTAGACACTGAAGGTATCGCAGCAACCCACTTTCTCCACACCACGGGCACGTGTTTCGTACGAGCCATCAGTGAACGTGCCCGGCAGAGAGTACGGCGAGAGACCTAACTGAACCCGGTGGGTAGTCCAGGCTGCCGCACCCAGCGGCCGGTGATCTAGCTCAACAGTCGTGTACCCTGGTACTCGGGGCAGCTCCACCGTTACCGTGCTGGCATTGTCGGCACTCGATGTTCCTCGTGCAGCGTCCACTGAAGACCACTCAACAGGTAGCGGGGCAGTTCCTGCGGATAAAATCAGCCACACATTTGGGAGTGGACAACAGTTACTGGTGAATACTCCCTGGTCTAATCCATCCAATCACAGTCAACCCATAGCCTCGCCATATAAAAGAACTCAGGGAAGAAATGGCAGGAAGAACAGAGCTCTAACAGAGCGAAACAGTTGCTGTCCACAGATTTGAGTATTATAAATTTACACAAGAGAGATTGGAAGCTTTGTCTAAACTCTGAGTTTCACATAATTATTACTATGATCATCAGGCAACATTATAAATTTACGACCATGCTCTAATGCAGGTCAAATCCAACTTGCTTGTTAACCCGACTGCTGCATGGACGATAAGTGCTGCGAATAGTGATTATGCACCCTGGCCTGAGTAGCTCGCTTGGCTAATTGAAAGTCTGCCGACCTGGGCCACACTATGTTGCTAATACATGCACAACCCCAGTCACAGCACACAAGTTGGTTGAGTTTGGCCGTCAGGAGGCCAGCGCAAGGTATCCGGGGCGCGGGTCTGATTCCAGCGAGGGGCAATGTGGTACCCCGCAGCGCAAGGGTAGCGTGATACCCTAAGCCAACGTGCGCGCTGCATGAGTAGCGTGATACTCGCCGAGCGCTTTTGCTGTTGCCTAGCAACGCGTTTCTGTCTTTCCTGGGCTCTGCTCGGTGAGGCCGAGAAGCCGCGTGTAGAGACCTGGCCCTGAGAAAATTCTCAGCCCTTGAGTACGCTTGAGTACGGGAAAATCCCCTACTTCGGTGACTGCTGGTTTGGCCTCGAACCCGACATGCTGTGCACGGGTTTTTGCAGTCTGAATCAGCCGTGTGTTGCCATTGAATTTCGTAACATGCATTGTACGATCAAGTCTAAAATTTGTGGACTCCTTCAGTAGCCCCTTAGCAACAGTTAAGGATACAGTTTTAGGTCAATGTTATAACGGAGGACATGCAGCATGTCTGTGTACGATGGTCCTACCAGTAGGACCGAGGTCTATGCAAGCTATCATTTTAAGAGAGCTCACCGGCTATTGGGTACATTGAGTTGACGAGGGATAGAGTTCGACGTGCGCCAAACGCATCGATGCCATCAACTCGAGTCAGGAAATAGCCTCTCCTGTATGCCAGAAGCACGATTTCATCAAAATCACCAGCAGAGAAGTTGGACCTCGAGTAAACGAGTCTGTAAGCATCCGAACTGGAAAAGTAACGGAAAATGTCCACCACGTAAACGAATTCATTGATGTATGTCGACCCATTTAGTCCAACACGGATTTGGCCTGCAAAGAAGACATTGAGAAAAGAATGGATACTGAATTGCCATGCCATTCGTGATTACGATCGTTAGCAAGGATAAGTTCAAGCCAGGCAATCGCTAGACCATGTGCACCAGTTTGAATTGCATGTATCACTTCATCTAATGGCAAAGTACACACTTATATATATTGTGCAACGCTCACTGCTCTTGGAGCATTTCGAGCACTCTTGGCGGGGTCTGCAGCTCTTTATAAAAATGCTTTGCTTCACGGAAACGTATTTCATTGCGAAGAGCTGCGCTTCGGACCTCTGAGCTGTGCTGAGGAGCTCTAACAGAGCGAAACAGTTGCTGTCCACAGATTTGAGTATATCTAATTATATACAGAGTTCACGGCGAAGTGGCGGCGCGGTGGTGAGCAGTGGAGCACAATCAGCTCAAGGGCCATCATGGCTCGCTTTCTCATCGGCGAGAGGGATGAGGTCCTGCAGGCTGGCAGGAGACGCCGCTCTGATTATTTCCTGACGGTGATCAACGTTTATGCGCCGACGAGCAAGGCCCCTCCAAACGTCAAGAATCAGTTTATGACGGACTTGCAGTCAGTTGTGTCTGACGTACGCCTGGTGATTTATTTGTGCTGTTGGGAGATTTCAATGCACGTGTTGGTTCTGGGCAGCGGGCTGCAGGTGGTGTTGGCCGTTTTGATGGGGTGCCAGACGATGAAATTGTTTGGGGCTCTGCTGTTGGTCAGTTTGGTTTGGGTGCGTGTAATGGAGCTTGTGAGGATTTGTTGATGTTTTGTGCTGCAAATAATCTGTCAATTATGAACACATGGTTCCGGAAGAAAGAGTCACGTAGAGGCACCTGGACACATCCTGCTACCCTTCAAGTACATGCCATCGACTTTGTTATGACGCGCGCAGATCAGCGCCATCTCTGCTTTGATGTTGGCGTTCTCCGTGGAGCCTGTTGTTGGACGGATCATTTCCTGGTTCGTGCAAAGTTGAACGTGGACTGGCGTGTGCGTCGCTCTGCATCTTCAAGGAGGCCTTTTGCTGTGCATCGTCTTCGCGACCGTGATACGCTCGTGGAATATCAGCAGAGGATTGAATCTGTTTGCACTGCTGCTCCCGGCGCCGGCACAGCAGAGGAACAATGGGAGTCGCTGAGGAACGACATGGGCACTGTGGCCGGTGACGTGTTTGGACATGGGCGACAGACTCAGCCGGACTGGTTCTTGTCCAGTAAGGACACCCTGGAGCCGCTCATTGCCGTCAAGCGACAAGCTAACGCAGACTATGTTTCTTGTGGCACGCCATCGTCTCGTAAGGTCTTGAGATCTGCCCAGCGAGCTGTGGGCAAGGCTGTTCGGTTAGATAAGGAGGCGTGGATCAGCGCAATTACGGATGAAGCTGAGGCCGCCCAGAGGTACGGCTCTGTCCGCTGAAAATGTATCAAGAAGTTGCGGGGAATGCACACTGGCCGACAGTCAGTGGTGACATCCAGCGTTCGGGATGAGAATGGCAACTTGACAGACGGTCCAGAGAGTTTGGGAGCTTGTTGGCATCGCCACTTTGATCGTGTCCTTAATGTTGAGAGTGTGTTTGATGCGGAAGTCATTGAATCCATGCCAGTGCTTGACATCAGGCAAAGTCTTGACGACCCGCCCTCTTTTGAGGAAGTGGTATTGGCGATCAGGAAGCTACACCCAGGCACTCCGGGTGGACAGTCTGGAATTGTCCCGGAAATGATTCTTGCTGGTGGCGAGGCCTTGCATGAGCGCGTCCACAATGTGATCAATGAGGTATGGACCTGCGGTTCTGCCGTGTCTGACTGGCGAAACGCAGAGATCGACCCTATCCCCAAGAAAGGTGACTTACGGTCCTGCGATAACTGGCGTGGCATCAGCCTCCTGGATGTGGTCGGCAAGGTCTTTGCTCGTGTTCTTCAGGGTCGCCTGCAGGCGGTGGCAGAGGATGTTCTGCCGGATTCCCAGTGCGGATTCCGCAGGGGCCGTGGCTGCAGTGACATGGTATTCACCGCAAGACAACTGATGGAGAAGGCAGTGGAGCACGATTCTGAGCTATATGTGCTTTTCGTCGATCTGCGCAAGGCCTACAGTAAGATAGGGCGCCGAAGAACGCAGGGGCTCGAGCGCAGCCTAGGAAAGTTCTTAAATTTTTGATTCTAGCCAGACCGTTCTTTTTCACACGCGCGCGGCGAGTCGAGTGACGTCATGACGTTTGTCATGTACATGTAGTGCAATCTAGTACTTCTAAACTAGTGGGTGTCGTAAATGGGAATGACTGTACATGTAGCAGTTACTGTTTACACGTGTACATGACATGTACTCACCTCCCATACATGTACAATGTTCCAAATTTTAAAAGTGTTCTTAAATCTGATAATTCTAGCCTGGACTGTTCTTAAATTTTGCCGGTTTTCCAGCCTGGGTGTTCTTCGGCGAGGTGTTCTTCGGCGCCCGATCTTACTGTATGATTCCATTCCGTGGTCTGCTTTGTGGCTTGTGCTCCGCAATCTGGGCATTCCTCCGAAGCTGCTTGGCCTTGTCCAGTCGCTCCACGAAGGCATGGAGGCGCGTGTTCGGCTCCCGAACGTCGTCACGGACAACATCAACGTCCGGAATGGCTTGCGTCAGGGCTGCACACTGGCGCCTACGCTCTTTAATCTGTATTTCTCTGCAGTGGTCTCTTCGTGGCATCGCCAGTCTTCTGTTCCGGGTGTACGGGTCCGCTACCGTGTCGGCAGGAAGCTCGTTGGGGATCGGACCGCCAAGTCTCGACTGGCCTCCACTGACGTCACAGAGTCCCAGTTTGCTGATGATGCGGCTCTCTACACCACCTCTTTGAGCCACCTGGAGACGATGACAAACGAGTTTGTGTCCTGTGCTTCGGGTTGGGGTCCAACTGTGAGCGTCCAGAAGACCAAGGTCATGGCGGTGAACTGCTCTGACCCGCCACCTTCCATTGATCTTCAGGATGGAGGAAGTGTGGAGGTTGTAAACAGCTTTACCTATCTTGGCAGTGTCCTGAGTGCAGGCGGTGCTCTGGACAAGGAGCTCACCTCCCGCCTTGCCAAGGCCTCTCGTGCTTTTGGCGCTCTCCAAAAGCCAATCTTCGAGTGTAGCGGCCTATCCATTAAGTCTAAGCGTCTTGTCTACAAGGCCATTGTCCTCCCTACCCTCTTCTATGGAGCAGAGACTTGGCCCATGAAGGCCCGGCAGATGAATCGCCTGAATCTGTTTCATCGTTCATGCGTCCGTTCCATCTTGGGAGTCTCAAGGAGCGATCAGCACTCCCGTCATCTTACTACTGCTGATCTAGCCCAGAGAGCGCGTCTCCCTGAGGAGATTGGCACTCTTCTGCGTGAGGACCGTCTGCGAGTACCGTCTGTGAGTGAAGCGGATCTGGAGGAACAACTCCCCTCACGGGACGAGCAGCTAGCAAATGGGAAACAAGTGGTCTGTACAGAAACGGAGGATGAGACAGATGATCAGAGGATGGAAGAGCAATTGGATGACGAAACGGTTGGTGAGGAGACAGAGGACGAGGCAGATGATGGTAGTGATGATGATCGTGAGGATGACGAGCGGAAAGAGGAAGAGGAAGATGAGATGGACGAGGAGGAGTCGGGTGGGAAGGAGCGAGATGAGGCGGATGAATGTGTTGATCGTAAGAAGTCAGCTGTGTATCTACACTTGTTATCTCGTCCTGACTGTCTTGGTGTGTATGATGACTCTCATTTTTCTGTACTGTGTCGTGAGCATGACAAGCAAGGTCCCGGGTACGAGTCCTGGTGTGTCTGGTGATTTATTCTTTCTTCAGGCAGTTCACTTCCCCAACTGATCCATTGAATTTGTAGTTCTCCCAATCCTTTCAAAACAATAATAATGATAATTAACGCAATAAATAGAGTAAGCTGCGCACTCAGTACAAACACCATTAGCAAAACTTGTGTCATGGCCGCGCTTTGGGCGGGTTTGTGACTTGGCTTAGATCAGTCTAGTGGCTACCCAGGTAGACGACCAATATAGTCGCCATCCAAGTTGCTAGCTCACACAGAACGACAGGTTTCTAATTCCACTTGAACAGTGTTTACTTGAACCATTGCAGTACTAGATCGAAAGATCAAGTGTGAAGTGTCGAAGGCCCAAAGCAGGAGCCAAGCGAGAGAGCACTAAAGTAGTGAGCTCCCCGAGAATCGAGGATGAATGCCAGCAAAACAGCTCCTTATATATGCTACATTATGTGATCAAAAGTATACAGCGGCAAGAATGCGTAAGGATTATTTCTATATTACAAACAGTGGTGCAATATGTGCAATCAGCCAAACTAGAATATAGTACAAAGATCAATCAATACGGGGAGCTCGCTCACCCACATTACATGAAAGTATTGCTAATTGGACTCCGAGGCTCTTCGTGCGACGGGGGTCCTGGAGTACGCTGCCCGTGTACTCGGGAGTTGCTGCAGCCGGAGCACGCCGCCTTCGTACGCTGCCTTGATGGTCACCCTTCATCTCCTGCCCGTAGGCCCTTCCCTCTCATTGCCCCGTAGGGTGCCTCACGGTCAAGCCGTGACCTCTCCCAAAAGGAATAACGGAGTCCGCAATGCCTCGCGGTCAAGCCTTGACCTCTCCCAAAAGGGATAACGGAGTCCGCAGTGTGTGAAGCACTTGCAGGACCCTTTACATCGTACGACGCGAGAAGAGGTGCCATGCTTGCTTGACTAACAAAGGTATCAGCTCCCTTGCAGGACTAAGCAGGGTCCCCTCAAGCTCAACAGTGTAGTGAGTACAATGCTGACGCCTTGTACTGAAGGTGTTGCCGACGTACGACATTACTTGCGACTCTAGGCCACGAGTTGTAAGCCATGATTGCTCAACTAACGAAAGCGCCAAATCCTTCGCAGGACTTATCATGGTTCTTACAGAACTCTAGAATATTTCGGAGCCCAGCTTTGGCTGCTGAATCTCAATGCGTGGTCGCTTTCACGACGAGTCGAATTCGGGTCATGACACATGTGTGCGCTTATGTCTGTCTGCATGAGTGCACGAGTGCCCAAGCTGGGCGTGCGGGTGCACTTGGAGGTGCTTGCATGTTGACGGGTGCAGGGGCTAACACCAAATTAAAACTGTGTGTACCCTGGCTAGCGCCAGACGTTACTGAAGTAACGTCTTCTGCATAGCTACGGGAATACTGATCATCTCTTTGATCATCTCTTTTGCAGTGGAAACCGACCGGCACAGAAATCAGTATGTGTGCTACACACTACAGATGGGAGCATGATAAGCAGAGACCAATGACTCAATGTTACAGGATTACAGCACAGAACGAGACACACCAGCAGCAGTACGAACCGTATACATACCGTACGTGGAGCGCATCGAAAATCGAATCGGAGGCGTCCAGCCGCTGCTTGAGTTGAAGAAACCGCCTACACCACTAATCGCCCTTGCTTGGAGTTCATACTGGCCATCCATTAGTACACTAGATGTTGCAGTCACCGCAGCGTTAATTTGGATTTGTGCTTGCGGTTCGAAAGACATATTGACAAGTCGGTACCGGAAGTGTAGGACTGAAAACCAATCCAGCTGCGCGACACTGAGATTGGGCCGACGCATGACCAGACGGCTCAAGCCGAGTGTCATGGACTGGTCTGCAGCAATGCTGTCGCCCTCCAGCCATGACAGGCCCGGAAATGCGTTCCAAGAATCAAGTACTGGGGAGGTGGAAGCCAGTCAGCCAGGGCACATGCACAAGGACATACACACACAGGCACGCACATGCACAAGCACATCCATGTATGCATAGTGCATACGCATGCACCCGCACGCATACACAAACACACATGTACACACACACACACACACACACACACACACACACACACACACACACACACACACACACATACACACACACACACACACACACACACACACACACACATACATGTACATACAAACATACACACATACAACAGAGGCGAAAGGCTGTGTTAGCTGTGACTTAAAACTTCACGCATCGGAGCGATCATCAGACAGTGTGTGTATACTTCTCTGTACATTCGTACATTGAGCACTCTACCTCGAGCTTCCTAGACAGGCCTTGTTTGTTCGTACATACAAACATATACATTCCACCTTTGATCTTTGATGCCCTTCACTGGAGGCGATGATAGCAGTGCTACAGCATAAGCCATATCAACTTGTGGTGGGATTGCACCTTTCAGCAGCTTGCATCGTTGAAGAATGAGCACCACTATTCAGCCTGGTCTACACCACACAGCTTTTGTTGAAGTGGTTTTTGGCCAGTCAATCCCAGTTCTTGTTTTTTTTATCGGTTCGAATGGCATATCTCTTGCTTGCCAACGATAAGCCAAACTTACCAAATCGCCAATTGTATGATATACGTTGCCATAGCGATCAGCGCAGTGATGACATGCGATCGGCTTAGCTCCGCCAGAGAGAAGGTTGATCACTGCAGAATTTGGTCATTTTCAATTGTCCTATTGTATTCACGATGTGCAAGAAGTGCTGTGTTCAATGTTGTCAGTGTCGTGAACTGTTTATTAGTAGTCCTTGCCACTGTGTACTGGTACGTGACACCGACAGGAGAAAGCTGGGGTGCGGAGACATCAGCAGACAAGCTAAAAAGTGGCGAACAAAGTGCTGAAAAATCTTGGTTGGGACACATCAGACGTTTAGCATTTACCCCAACCAAGGACCATGCCGTTTGCTCTTTCCACTTCCTAAAGATAGATGTAAAGCTTGCTGGCGATTCTCCGACATGTAACTGTTATCTCTCATAACGGCTTTTGAAGCCAGGTGAGACGACGGGTGGTGGAGATTGACGAACAACATGATGTCGTGCTTTAGTAAAGTTTGCTGAAAATTTCTCTGGAGAGATGGCGAATACCAAGTATCTTCTCCTAGAGGAACCATTTCCTAGGCTACAGACATTACCGCAAGCTCTAATGTGCTATTTGCTGCTGCTTGTATCACCATTATACCAACTTGAAGGGTAATGGTGCTCTAAAGGCCTGGTCAGAATTTCCATTGGCTATTGTACTTCTTGTGCCAGTTTGTTTTCCCCAGACAGCTCAGGGATGAATTTATTGTCATATTTTTGCATAGCAGTTTCTGCTATACAAAATCACAATTGTGTAGCAGTCTTTGATTTTGATTAGCATTTTTCTTTGAAGTTAGGGTGTTTACCACATTGTCCTTCTTGAGAGTGATGCCTGAAAGCCCGTTTGCAAAAAAACCGACTGAATCATACATGTGCATGCAGATCGAGAGTGCCTGCACCACATACACTGCACAGTATGCATGTTACTTGACAGCACAAGTTAGGCATGGATAGTCTGTATGTATCGCAGTTTTCTGCGAGTCACGGCGACTTTTCAGTAGCAGTAGATCGATTTTGCATCGCAAACTGCGATGCGATACAGGATAAATTCATCCCTGCAGCTATTCTCTTCCTTTTTCCGGCATAGATGTACATCACACCCCTACTCCGGCATACACTGGCTGTTGGTAACCACCCAGAAGTATGAAAGAGAAATCAGGAGGAGACTGCGAAAGAGAAGAAGGGCACGTGTGATCATAATCGTTGGGAACTGAACCCGTAAACTCTTGATTCGAAATATACTCAGGCTGCACGCACAGACACGTACACACGTGCACATACACACAAACACGCCCCCCATACACACGTGTACGCACACATGCATACATACACAAACATGCACGCACGCAAACACACAGACAGACAGACAGACAGACATACAGACATACATACATACATACAGACAGACATACACACAGACAGACAGGCAGACAGTTAGACAGACAGACATACAGGCAGACAGGCAGACAGACAGACAGACAGACAGACATACACCTTCGACCTCAGTAGGTGCTCGGTGCAGAATGCGATGAGAGTATGCTAGGAATGTTTTGTTTTTTCACGGCTGAGCGTAGCGAAAGAGTGCAAAAAACGTATTTTTCACTCACAAATATTTTCGTGCATTTGCTCTTGTTCTGCGCAACTCCGTTGAACCTGCCATCGTGGTCTTTGTTTTTCCTCGTGATAGTTGAAGTTGCCCGCCCACCCACCCTGGTTTCATGGGAGTCGTCCGCTGTTCTTCTTGACAATCTATGCCTATGTGTGTGGCTTATGATTATGACATACACCGGTTATTACATACCATTTCTTGCTATCTCTATTCTTGGGTCTGACTGGCAGCGGGGCAGGAATTAATGAAATAGAAAGGTTTTTTGGCCGAAAGGCGTGTTTTTCCTCTAGCCCGGTTGAGCGGTCGCGGCTAGGAATGTAGGGAGTCATTGTTTTTCAGGCGCTCCCCTGCTGCCCAGTCACCCATGCTCACCACTGGCCATGCTGTTTCACTTGATTTCACGGCCTTTTCTCCCGCTTGCTGGCGGTTCTTTGATGGATTTAGATGTTTTCGGCTATTTATCTATTATGTGGCTGCGAGTGTGGTTTTTTGCTTCTACTCATTTCTGGAAAACCACCACGGTGGTGAATGTGATTGCTCTGGTAGACCACTACCCCATGTACTGAACAGTCGCTTTGTGAGTGAAAAAGCAACTACATGTAGTGCATGTAGTGTATGCAGTGCTATGACTTCAGCAATTACTCCCAACAGCCTGCAAAGGGGAACAGTTGACCATGACTAGTTTATTAGACTGATCTACATCACAATATACATCACATGATCTACATCACATGATCTACATCACATGATCTACATCACATGATCTACATCACATGATCTACATCACAATATACATCGTACATGCAGGTTTCGTAGTGGTCTTTTCTAGTCAGTGACTTCTCATGCGTGCATTGTGGAAAGAATGCTGCTGCTGCTGCTGCTGCTGCTGGCAAGGACAGAGACAAACTTACACGCAGCAAGAGCTGTGTAGTAGGTGAGAGTCTGCGTTCGGTAGTCTCCGTATTCGTCAATCTCGTCCACTTGCACCACGTAATGGCCGGGAACACAGTCTACCATGGCATGGAACGGGAACGCACCGGAACCGGACACTGTTTGCTTGAATAGGACGGTCCCGAGACCGGTTCTGTTTGTACGTAGGACGATGACTTCGTAGCGGACAGGCAATGGCCGGGTCGACGCAAGTGTAGCAGTGTCTGAAAGCACACACGGGAAACCGGACAATTAGCCCTTGCTCTGATCAAGACCACAAGATCCCAAGAGTGTACGGCTCTGAGATTGGCAATGAGGGGATGGGGTAAGAGTGAGTATATGGACCTAAAGTATAAAATTTAGGACGCAATAGTGCTTGTATTGACTACATGCAAATGTGCGTACACACACACACACGCACATACGCACACACACACACACACACACACACACACACACACGTACACACACACATGTGCACACACGCATTTCAAAACATGGTCACCGGCCAGAAATTGGTTTGTAGAAGGTGATCTCCTCTTGGCAACCACCTAGGCTAGCCTAGTGTTTGGCCAGCTTGGCATTACATACACTGTATGTGAGATGACTCCAGCCGAAAGACGTATCCCGGACTCTCATGGCTGCAGTTGACGAGGCTGGCACCCAGTTGAACGCAGAACCGCAGAACCAATTCATACGTGCCATCTGTCATGTTGCCAATGCTGAACTGAGAGTGATTGGCGATAGGAATGAGAAACGTGGAGACTGCAGCAAGGCGTGTACCATTGTAGCCATGCACTGACAGACTATAGGAGGTGTACTCAGTGTTGTTGACAGGTGGAAGCAGGATTTCAACGCTGGAGGTGTTGGCACTGATGGGCGTGCTCCTGAATGGTGGCATGGTCGTGAAGTCAGCAAAGTCTGGCAAATTCTGGGTCAGTTCTAAACACAGAAGGGGAAAAGCACAAGGGCTGTAGAAACAGAACTCGACGGGATTGGTGGAGAGCCTGGCTTGCCAACAGAGGCTTGCGCAGGTGCGTCTGTGTAAAAGCATGTGTGTGTGTGTGTGTGTGTTCGTGTGTGTGTGTTCATGTGTGTGTGTGTGTGTGTGTGTATGTGTGTGTGTGTGTGTGTGTGTGTGTGTGTGTGCAGGGTGGGGGTGGGTGCGGAGAATTGGTTGATTTGTGTACATGAACAAAGGAGAGTACCAGTACCTGTATAAGCTGTGCACGGTAGCCTGAGGCTGTGCACGGTAGCAGGCTGTGCACGGTAGCAGGCTGTGCACGGTAGCCTGAGGCTGTGCACGGTAGCCTGAGGCTGTGCACGGTAGCCTGAGGCTGTGCACGGTAGCCTGAGGCTGTGCACGGTAACAGGCTGTGCATGGTAGCAGTCTGTGCACGGTAGCCTGAGGCTGTGCACGGTAGCCTGAGGCTGTGCACGGTAGCCTGAGGCTGTGCACGGTAGCAGGCTGTGCACGGTAGCAGGCTGTGCAGCTTACCTGGCTTGAACAGATTGGTATAAACACCACGCATTGTCCACGTGCCGTCAATGAGCTTCACCGTAACGCGCGACGCAAAGTACCCATGCCCGTCGGGAACACTGAGCAACACTGAGTCGTTGGTGACCGCTGTTGTATGGTAGAGCTGCTGCATGCGGCCTGCTGTGGCGTTGTACCAATCCACAGATGTGTGTGTTTCCAGCACGTTGCTGCCAGGTATTCCCGGCAGTGGTAATGTGCTCGGCAGAGGTACGCGCACTGATATAGGACACAGTACATGTACAGCAATACACTGATATAGGACACAGTACATGTACAGCAATACAGTGATATAGGACACAGTACATGTACAGTAATACACTGATATAGGACACAGTACATGTACAGTAATACACTGATATAGGACACAGTACATGTACAGCAATACACTGATGTAGGGCACAGTACATGTACAGTAATACACTGATATAGGACACAGTACATGTACAGCAATACACTGGTATAGGACACAGTACATGTACAGCAATACACTGATATAGGACACAGTACATGTACAGCAATACACTGATATAGGACACAGTACATGTACAGCAATACACTGATATAGGACACAGTACATGTACAGCAATACACTGGTATAGGACACAGTACATGTACAGTAATTGTTTTCGGGTTTCAGCTGGTCACAGAGAGTGATGATAAGATAAACCGACCTTGCACATAAGAGTGCTGTTACTGTTGTTGCGTTTACAACCTGTCAACAGTGCTATCAACTTTTAAATTGACAAGGCCGACACAGTGCAGAGGACTTACGCCGCTGCATGCAATCACACACACGCTGTACACCAGTCCATGCTGGCAGCCTGTACGGGTCATGTGCTTGCACACAGCGGGTCATAATTTCACGACTCACCAAGATCAGTGCGGACCAGAAAGTACCAGGGAGTAGAAACTCTCAGGATGGGAGGAGGACATGACCCCACGGTTTCTATGGATACAGTGGCGCGCCAGAAACCAGTTGGAAAGTCTGCCACCACAAGCGTACTAGCATTGGTTGGTGGCATGAGAACTAAATGGCTGCCAAGACTTGTGGAACCTGAGACCCTGGTGAAGTTGACAACAAATGCCGAGCCAAATGCAATACGGCATGCTCCGTTCCGTTGCCAATACAGCTGATTGCCGGGCAGACGCACCGTCAACGTGTTCTCCGTGGGGCTTTCCTGTGTCATGTTCGGCTGTCCAAGTTCCGGCCACAAGGGTCTGAAGTTACCTGGGCATTTCAAAACAAGCAGCGCAAACGCACACAGGCACGCACACGGCGAACACCGTTCAGTAAGAACTTAGACAAAACGTAGACATGGATGTTACGTACAAATGTCATGGCACCTATTCGACCTCCACAAGAGCGCTTGCAACATGTTTACTGTCAATACTTATGCGGGTAAAGCGTTATTCCTGCACAGCCTGGCGTGGTAGTTCCGGGCATGCTAGTCCTGCGGTCCCACCAAGGTACAGCGCCGGGTGGACAGGTGGTTGCACTGTTGCACTTCATGTTGTATCTCAGTTATATTTTATTTTGTTCTTCATGTTCATGATGGCTTGCATGATGTCCTGCTGCCAGAACCACGGGTCCCTACCGGTAGGACCCAAGAAATCGCTCTGCAAAAGTGCTTTCGGCTGAGAATTTTCTCGAAAAAATTGTTGAGATGAGTTCTTTGTAATGCAAAGTAACTTGATGGCGCAAAATGCAAGACTATGTCCAGTGCATTACATATGTGCAATTTTATCAATTGTCAAAATGGCCTCACATGCTCCGGTCGAAGCACTAGCAACTATATCCAAAGCGAATTTTGACCATGGCACATCGATCATGGTGTCGTCAATTCTATTGGACGAACTGTTACTATTGCTCTCCTCGCCACTCCACACAACAAAAGACTAGTGCAAATTGAGAGAGAGAGAGAGAGTGTGTGTTTTCTCAGACTTGACTTCACAAGGCGACTGGAGAACTGCGCTCCAACAAAACGGACAAGAGAATATATTATGGGGACGTGGAGAAAAGAGGGGAAAAAGTGGGGTGCGGGATACGAAAGAGGTGCCTGTGCAATGTACAACAAGGCCTGAACAGGACGGGAGACAAAGACGACCGACGGGGAAATACGACGGACACAAGACGGCAACCAGACAAATACAACAGAGACAAGACGAGAAAATGCGTATACTACAGGGACGAGATGAGAAATAATGCATACAGAGGGGACAGAAGACGGTGCAGCGGCATGTACAAAGCGTTCCAAGACAGCGCAGCGGCGTGTACTACGGGTCAGCAGCATGTACGACACAGAGACACATACGCAGCCACATGTACGACAAAGGGACACAAGCGCAGCCACATGTACGACAAAAGTGAGGTTCTGCCACACGGTATAACGTGCCAAAGTACGTATGGAAACTTCGCCGCGGTACGGGATTTAGTTTGATACGGATTTTTTCATACCGTTTTCCGTGTGAAGCGCGGTTCACACGGACCGGACTCCGTGTGAAAAGTGAGCGTACAGAGTACATGTGGCGGGGTGTTCGTGCATGCTACGAGCATGCTACGTACAGCAGAACCGGTGCAACGTACGAAAAAACCGTGTCAAACTTCACTGCAGTTGACACGGAGTTTGGTACGTAGTTCCGTGTAGCAGAACCTCTCTAAAGAGCAACCCGCGCAGCCGCATGTACAACACAGAGCTACAAGCGCGACCACATGTACAACAATGGTAAGGACTTATTCTCTTTCTCAGCTTCCCGCGGCAGTGGAGTGCAAATTTCCATAGTCCACTTCCATGGTTGCCATGGGCTGTTGCCATGGTATTTCGTAATATGCATTGTATGATCACGTCTAAAATTTGTGGACTCCTTCATTAGCTCCTTAGCAACAGTTTAGGGTCAAGTTTTAGGTCAATGTTAGAACAGCGGCCGTGCAGCATGTCTGTGTATGATGGTCCTACCGGAAGGACCAGGGTCTATGCAAGCTTCTTTGCACCCCGCTGGCAGGAGCTTTTGATTCGGAAGAGGATGTAGCCAGTGTTTCAAGTTAGGAGTTGTTCCAGGGGAATTATTTTCTAGAATTTGTGTTTCGGCACTGAAGAAGAAACAACCTTCTTCGCAATACTACTCGTATAGCCTGAATATATAGATTTTTTTAAATTTTTAATTTGTCTGCGGTACCTCCTTTGCACCATGGCCGGTAGCTCGGCTTACTTAGCTGCACTGATGAGGCCTATATGGCCGAAACAGCTTGCTGTCTACAGCATCGGGTAGGATATTTAACATGTAACCACCACACCAACACTGCACTCTCCGATTTCGTACAAGGCCGAATGCTGTTGTCGTCACGGGTTTGAAATCGTGAACGAACTGCCTCTACGCTCCTCGCCACGCCACACAACAGAGAGCCAGCACAAATTGTTAGAGAGCTTTTCTTCTACTTCATTTCAGTAGGCGACTGGGGAACTCATAAAGAAGAATCAACACTGACAACGAACGACTGACAACGAACGACTGACAACGAACGTCTGACTCTGACAACGAATGTCTGACGACTGACGACGACCGTCGGACAACTGACGACGAACGTCGGACAACTGACTCTGACAACGAACGTCTGACAACTGACTCTGACAACTGACGACTGACATGGCAAAAGGAAAACATGATATCAGAAATTGGTGCCCTCGTCAGCACAAAAGGTGGTGTACTCAGCACAAAAAGGTGCACGTGTCAACAACAAAGCAGCGCAGCAGCATGTACGGGTCAGCAACAAAGCAGCGCAGCAGCATGTACGGGTCAGCAGCACAGAGACACAAATACAGCACTACGACGAAGAGACAACACGTGCAGCCACATGTACACACAGAGACACAAATACAGCAGCAGCTACGACGAAGAGATAACACGTGCAGGCGCAGGTACAACACTATCCCCTACCAAAAAAAAAAACATCCACTCCTGTGGATGGAAGCAAAAGTGAAGTGTATAAAAAACGGAAGAAGACAGACCGGAGAAGAAGACAGAAAGACAGGGGAAATGAAATATGAAGCAACATAAACAGGCGACAATAAAACACAAAAGAGGTGGGCCACAACTGTTGAACGCATGACGAGTAGGCCAGGAGGGTTAAAACACCAGTCGGGAGCCCCGCAAAACTGTGCACCAATCAACGGAACCTGCAAGCAACAGATTTTGCAAAGGACCCCGGCTGGCGAGCTGTTCGACCTGTGTTTGTCCCTTTGGATCTTTTATTCTTAGAACAGCACCAACCTAGTACGCCACCCATCCACCAGTCATGACAAAACAAAAGTACAAATGCATGAGAAAACAGGTTATGCCGACGGACCCAGCGACGCTTCCAGGAGCGGCGAGACCAACAGCACGCACCGGCCGAGAAGAAGACTGGGGCAGCAGGACCCACACTGGCCGGCTGTCCGAAAACCGATGGCGCTACAGAAACTCCGAGAATCACAGGACACACACAGAAAGAGAGAAGGACTGACGCAAACATCTCAGCCATCACCAAAAATCAGAAAAGCACACGAAGGAAGGGAAGAACAGCCAGGAAGAACACGTCGACTGAAACAGGAGCAATTAATCAGTGAGGACACCATTGAGGACACACAAACAAATCGGTTACCAATACGCAAAAAGATAATGAAGAAAAACCACAGGGCGCTACCCTGAAAAAACCCACAGGGCGCTACCCTGAAAAAACCCACAGGGATCGAACCTGAAAAAACCACAGGGATTGAACCTGAAAAAACCCACAGGGATTGAACCTGAAAAACACGGAACTTATAGTACATCCGCTCGCAAAACCAAAAAACTGAAGAAAAGAAACTGTCAGGGACCGATTGGGACGCACAAGGGCCAACCAGCAACACCCGGAAACCATAACACCCGCAAGGCAAACCGATACAAAAAAACGCAGGATTCCTGCAGACCACCAAGCAGACCGTGGCTCACCATGATCAGACGCCCACCCAGACGAACTAGAGAAACCCACATGCCGAAACACAATTATTACAAAACCACACGCTCACAAAAAAAATTCAACCTGGATCAAGAACGAGAATCCTACATGAAGTTCACACCTCCCACCAAACCGGAAGCCAACAGCTTTCCTACTTTGTTGACAGTGCATGACCGAGCCTGACAACGCTCTACACCATGTACACAGAACATGGAGAAACTACTACTAAAACGGTAAAACACGAAACAAAACAATATGGATCGACTACATACGAGGCAGCACCTCGAGAACGTTCAGGTGGACATCTAAACAAATCACGCAACATAGTCTCAAAATCGGAGTAGTCCGCCTGCAACTCCGTGACAAGCACCAGTGCACAACACAAGACGATATCAAAGCTACCCATGCTGAATGCACGACGAGCAAGCAAAAACAAGTTCCAGATTCGAACGAGTAGCGCACGAACAGAAGTTTGAAATTTTCATACACAACAGTACAGTACAGGGTAGTCAGAGCGACACAACTAACACAACGGGGTGAACTTCCAACGAGCAGCAAGACTACACTACGAGTACACATTCGAACACAAGAGAACAAGGTTCCACGGAATTCCTGCCGGGACCCGAGTCACCCGACGCAAAACAATTATTTGAAAATTCGAAATCGAATACAAGGTACGGCAACACATTACGCAGAGCAGACAATTACAAAGGCATGCTCACCTGAGTAGGAGCTCCGAGGATCTAGGAAAGGGTTGAACAGACGCAGCAAAGCGGAGCCATGGCGAGAACGCGAAGAGGAAAACGAAAAACACCGGCCGGAGAGCGACGAGCTTCAGGGTCGTGGGTTCGATTAGTTGGGCGCCAAATGTCGTCACGGGTTTGAAATCGTGAACGAACTGCCTCTACGCTCCTCGCCACGCCACACAACAGAGAGCCAGCACAAATTGTTAGAGAGCTTTTCTTCTACTTCATTTCAGTAGGCGACTGGGGAACTCATAAAGAAGAATCAACACTGACAACGAACGACTGACAACGAACGACTGACAACGAACGACTGACAACGAACGTCTGACTCTGACAACGAATGTCTGACGACGACCGTCGGACAACTGACGACGAACGTCGGACAACTGACTCTGACAACTGACGACTGACATGGCAAAAGGAAAACATGATATCAGAAATTGGTGCCCTCGTCAGCACAAAAGGTGGTGTACTCAGCACAACAAGGTGCACGTGTCAACAACAAAGCAGCGCAGCAGCATGTACGGGTCAGCAACAAAGCAGCGCAGCAGCATGTACGGGTCAGCAGCACAGAGACACAAATACAGCACTACGACGAAGAGACAACACGTGCAGCCACATGTACACACAGAGACACAAATACAGCAGAAGCTACGACGAAGAGATAACACGTGCAGGCGCAGGTACAACACTGTTGCTTACCCTTCTTGACTCTATAGAAACCTGGTTATGTTGTGTGTGTGTGTGTGTGTGTGTGTGTGTGTGTGTGTGTGTGTGTGTGTGTGTGTGTGTGTGTGTGTGTGTGTGTGTGTGTGTGTGTGTAGGTGTGTAGGTTTCTGTGTGCCAGCTAGTTCGGTTGGTGGGTAGATAGTGTTGGTTTGTTGCCAACGGGCTCGATTGCTTGAAGGTGTAATGTTGTACCTGCCACCTTTGTTGGTTTCAGGGTTCATATACTTTCTCTTTGAAAGTATACATACCTGACGGATGGACAACTTCTGGCTAGAGTAACTCTTGTGTAATCAGTGGTGCTGAGTGAAGTCTTTCTCAGATCTACTCTGATATAACCATCCACACTGGTAACAAGTCCCTTCACTGGGGGCAGGGGTGAATGCAGTTGAATCCCGGGACGGATACCCTGATGCTGTCAATCCCTTTTCTGCACCTTGTCCTCGCCCACTTACTGAGGTGTAGTTGGAATATAAGTAGGATCATTTTCAAGTCCACCCAGAGTTTGGGAATTTCAGAGGGTGTTGCCGTTGGGCGGTTCAATAGCCAACTGAGGCATCTTTCCAAGTTTCCTTTTGAATCGCTCTCCCCTCTTCGGGGAGAATCGTGGTTTGACCGTATTGTCCAATGGTCTTGCCAGTATCGTCATCGACATGCATGAACATCCGCCAACGTCCTTCACAGCTGAGACTTTCAGCTCGTGCTTGTCTTGGTTGCGCTCACCTTCCCCTCCTTATGTTATCATATTACTTAGAACCTTCCAAGTTGGAAGGCTGTTGGAGTGCGCATCCAAGATGTACTAGAGCTGTTAGCCAATTAGTTGTAGAACGTCAGTACAATCGGTCAGTGTCGTGCAATGTTATCGCATGAGCTGATTGTTTAGTAACTGGTGGTGTTAGTGGAAATTATAGCATAACTTGTAGTTTCTTGGTCCTTTTCTTTACTATAAATGTTTCCTTGGCTCTCCATCCGAATACTGACGTTCTACAACTAACTGGCTATGGAGCAGGAAATCATGAAGAATAGTGAATACAGAGTATATTGTACAGTATAGATATCATAGTATAAATACCTGTTATAGTATCATTCTCTTCCCCTAGACTTTGTTGGCCCGAATTCAGTTCATCCTCATCATCGAAAAGTGATGCTGAAAAACAGGTAGATTCGCAAAAATAATTATGTTGATTTTCAAGGTACGTTATGACATGCAATTGCTGGCTATGGTGTGTGCATGATTGTGTATGTGTGTGTGTGTGTGTGTGTGTGTGTGTGTGTGTGTGTGAGAGAGAGAGAGAGAGAGTTTGCTGGCTATGGTGTGTGCATGATTGTGTATGTGTGTGTGTGTGTGTGTGTGTGTGTGTGTGTGTGTGTGTGTGAGTGAGAGAGAGAGAGAGAGAGAGTGAGAGAGAGAGAGAGAGAGAGAGAGAGAGAGAGAGAGAGAGAGAGAGTCATGGCACCAAAACTGTTTCCCGTGGAGCATGCAGCCTACTCTCCCTTCTGTTAGTACTTTGCGAGACGAGAAAGATTCATTTGCGTCCGTCATCTCCCATTTTCTTCATCTTCATCTGGACTACATTCCAGATGCAGGCAGTATAAAACACCATGCATAAACGGGTGTGTGATTTGATGGCTCATGTTCTTGTACATGTCCTGGAGAAGACCCGCCCTCAAGTCGCGGAATATTGAAACATGGTTATCCGACGGTCCATTTAGAGGATTGTCAGCCGCGCAAAAGTTGTAACCACTGAAGCCTAAATTTTCGGTTCTAATTAAGTCAAAACTACTAGGGAGTGTGTGTGTGGGGGGGGGGGGGGGGGGGAGAGTCCTGTTCAAAAATCCACCATCTGTCCAAAAAGGGAATCTGCACAGAGTCCCAAGGATTTCACTACATGTACAGTCATCATCGGAGCAAGGATGCGGCTAGCGAACGAAGTCAAGAAATTTAAGTTGATGTGGTTTGGCCATGTTACGAGACATGACGTTTTCTCCAAGCCCTTCCTGCAAGGATCAACTCCTGGATCTCGACCGAGAGGAAGGCCCGCAACATCATGGATTTCTAACATTAAAAGTTGGACGGGTCTTCCCTTGCATGCTCTCTCTCATGCAGCACACGATAGAGTTGGATTCAGAGACATCATTCACAATTCTCTCGCTGATTAATGCCTCTACGATCACCTTGTGATTATGAGTTATACATACATACATACATACATACAGTCATGTACGTTTGGCGTTTAGGTAGAATATAATCATGCACATGTACATCTATGCAACCTTGGCACGTGTGGAAGATTGCCCACTGCAACATTAAAGTGCCCAGAGCAAATGTGTCCGATTTCAAGTGGGGATAAATGCAATTTTGGCCGGAATGAATAATGGTCTTCAGTCATCATTAGGCTATTTTAAATAGTGTTGAAACGAGCGTATCTATAACAAACGAGCGATCAGTTCCACTAACGAGGAAGCTATCGAGCAAGCTAACGAGTTTCATTGATGTGGCAAATATGATTTTTTTTTGTTGCCTGATGATTGCGAGAGCATGAAACTTCAAGTCGCAGCAAACAAGCCTTGATTGTCCTTGTTGTTCTGTTCTGATTTTTTGAATATATATTATTTTTCTAACTTCGATTTTTTTTCAGCTGGTTCAAATTATCACCACCGGCATTTGGGGTTGCTGCGCTGCTTCACTTCGGACTGCTGTTTGGTGTCGAGATGTCTTTTCAGCGCCGTCGTTGAGTAGCCTTTGTAAGAATAGACCGTTTTGCAAAGATTGCAAGTAGCCCTGGTCTTCGCTGCATCGCGGGAGAAAACTTCCAAACGACTGAGCGTAACTTTCACTCGAATGGAGAGGTGACCGAAGCAAATCCTGCGACAGGTCAGCAGATGCGGAACAAGACATCAGTAGAGTCCAACAAAGTTGCAACGACAACTGAAACAACTCAAGTGTCGTGCAGGCATACAGTCACCGTAATTGCTAGTGATTATCACTTTGCGCGGGACTGGACTCTCGATCGACCAGGGAATCATTAATATTTTTCGACTCCCCGGTCGACATGTATTGCCATGTGTACGGAGTACGGTGTTCGTTAGTGCAAACGAGCTGGCCGCACAAACGAGCCGAGTTTCTGGCGAGCGAGCTAACGAGCACCCGGTGAGATCGTTTCAACACTAATATTAAAAACCTAGCCACAGAGTGGGAAAGGCCAAACATGTGCTGTACTACCGGTAACTATCAATTCAGTATTTCTTCCCACGTCCCATGTAAAGGCAGTGGCACAGCACAGTGCAACCACTGAGGCCTCTTTGCCGGGCTGCAGCTGGTAGTGACGCTGACAGAGA